TTACAAACAAATGCAAAATATGCTACAACATAATTGAAATACAAAACAATGATGTCAAAGCCCTCTTAACCTTTAAAATCAAAGGTCTAACTTATCTGGGACTTCGATTGTCCTGTTTGACCTTCTCAGTGGCTGTTGATTTGGTGACTCAAGATTCTGACCATCTGGACTCTCTAGCTCAGGAAGTCCAGGAACTAAATCATTAATTCCAGAATTTACATTTTCTGCCTCTAGAATACTTGGTTCACTCATATCAACAGACCTTGGTTGTGGAACAAGCTGAGTTGGTGTGAACCGGTCAGATCTGGCGGGATTGATAGATTCACACTTATTATCTGCACAAGTTATTTTTAACTGGTCTGCATGTCTACGGACAATAAGTCCATTATTTGTTTTTACTTTATAAGACACAGGTCCTGTACATTGAACAATTTGACCTGGCATCCATTTTTCCCCTCTCCCATAATTTATCAGATACACATTATCATTAACCCCAAATTCTCTCTCAATGGATGTTTTGTCATGATTTAATTTGTGTGTATGTTGATGTCGGGAAACAGACCTTTGAACAGTTGGATGTAGTAGGTCAAGGTGAGTTTTAATTTTCCTACCACACAGCAATTCGCATGGTGCAACACCTGTTGTTATATGAGGAGTTGTGCGGTATTTGGCTAAGAACCTGTTTACTCTTTCCCTGAGAGAAAATTTGTTACCGGTACCCATTTTTACCATAGCGGTTTTGAATATGCCTACCGCTCCTTCAGCCAAACCATTCCCAGCAGGGTGATAGGGTGATGTGGTTATATGCTCAATACCATTTGCTACACATAACAGTTTAAACTCATGAGCAGTGAAACTAGGCCCATTATCTGAAACAATTTGATCAGGTAATCCAGGAGTTGAAAATATTTCCTTAAGTTCTATAATGGTATCACTTGCAGTGATTGTGTTCATGATTTTAACTTCTAACCACTTAGAATGTGAATCAATAACAATTAAGAACATTTTGTTCATGAAGGGTCCTGCAAAATCTATATGGATACGTTTCCATGGTTCGATTGGCCAATCCCAGTTTTGCAAAGGTGCTGTAGCTGGTTGATTTGAATGTTGTGCACAGCTTGAACAAAGCTTTACATATTTTTCAATATCAGTATTATCAGCATCCATATGTGGCCACCAGAACCACGATCGTGCAAGACTCTTCATTTTGGAAGAACCAAGATGAGTATCATGTAAAGTTCTTAAAACTTCTTTTTGTAACATTTTAGGGATAATAACCCTTGACCCCCATAGCACACATCCATCTTCTAGACTTAATTCTATTTTTCTTATTTTATATGGCCTTAAATCATCATTCACTGACTCTTCACGCCAACCATTCTTACAGTACTCATATTCTTTTATCAAGCACTCATCTTTTTGTGTTTCTCTCTTAACATCATTCACATTTATATTGGAGTTATCCATGATAGTGAAAAGAACAAATACATCTTCTGGTACATAACTAAGGCTTTGGTTTTTTAAAGGTAAACGACTAAGACTATCTGCACTATTCTCAGATCCAGGTTTGTATTTCAATTCATAATTGTATGCGGCTAGTGTGATAGCCCACCTTTGAACCCTTGGTGAGGCATGATCAGGTAGGGGTTTGTTTTCCCCAAACAAACCCAGCAATGGCTTATGATCTGTAAAGATGGTGAACTCCCTACCAAACAGAAACTTGTGAAATTTCTTAATACCAAAAATGATGCCTAAGCCTTCCCTATCTAACTGAGAATAATTTTTCTCAGCCTGGTTCAAAGACCTACTGGCAAAAGCAATGGGTCTGTTACCATTTTCATCTATGTGGGATAAAACTGCTCCTACACCATCTGGTGAAGCATCACATGTTAAGATAAGTCTTTTCCCTGGGTCATAGTGAGTTAGTAAGGTGTCAGAAGACAAAGCTTCTTTTGCTGCATTAAAAGCAGCATCTTGTTGTTTACCCCAGTGCCAAGTTGCATTTTTCTGCAGCAACTTGTACAGTGGTGATAGTTTATCAGACAGATTCCCTATGAACTTCGCATAGTAATTTATCAAGCCCAAAAAAAGCTGTTAGCTGTTGGGTATTTTCAGGTTTGGGTGCTTCTTTAATGGCTTTTGTTTTCTCAGGTTGAGGTCTGAGACCCTGTCTGCTCAAATTATAACCCAGAAAACTAATATCTGTCAGCATGAATTGACATTTATCTTTGTTTATCTTTAAACCCTTTTCACCAACTATTTTCAAGACTTTATCAAGTGTTTTAAGATGTTCAGTGTCATTCTTACCAGTTATGTACACATTGTCAAAGTAAACACAAACATTTGGAATGTCCTGAAAAATACTGTCCATAACAGCCTGGAAAATTCCAGGGTTAGATGATATACCAAAGATAGTCTTTCATATTGGTAGAGTCCCTTATGTGTGTTTATTGTCGTATAGACTTTTGAATCTGGATGAAGTTCTAGTTGAGTGTAAGCATGACTAAAGTCTAATTCAGTGAATTTGTCTCCTCCTGCTAAATTCAAAGAAATTTCCTCAATGTTAGGAATAGGGTACCTATTTAGCTCTATTTGTTTATTCAGTGTAGCTTTATTATAGTCTCCACAAATTCTTACAGAACCATCCTTCTTTAACACTGGCACAATGGGCGTTGCCCAATCGGAATAGTCTACCTTTTTTATGATGCCATTAGATTCCAATCTACTTAGCTCATTTTCAATTTTATCCCTCATTGCATAAGGTGGAACTCTAGCTTTGCAGTATCTTGGATTTGTATCTTTAAAGCTTATCTTCACTGTCCTATCATTTAGTAACCCTGAACTACCAAAGGCACCTTCATTTTCAGATACAACTTTATCTATTGAAGTAAAACTAGATTCTCTTGCATTGTTCACTGAAAATATACTCCCCCAGTCTAACTTAAGATCAACTAACCAGTTCCTACCTAGTAATGGTGGTCCGTTTCCTTCAACCACAAGAAGAGGAAGTTTAACACTTTGACCATTATAGCTTATATGAACCATACACTCTCCTATCACCGGAACATTGTCACCTGTGTATGTTGTTAGGCACTTGTGACATGGTTGTAGAGGCACTGATCCTCCTGTGACAGCGTCAAAGTCCTTCTTTGTGATGACGGTTAGAGATGCTCCCGTGTCAAGTTGGAAGATGATGCTCTTACCGTTGATATAAACTAGTACGTTGATTGGAGCATGACTTGTTGATTTCACAGAGAACAGGTTGAACTCCGGCTGCGGATCAGTTTGAGCATTTTCACTGGTAGAGTGGTTCATTGGTTGGGTTAGGCTGTCTTGGTGACAGTTAACATAGTGCTGCCTTTGGTTGCGGTACTGTCCTGACTGGCTAGATCTAGCAACAGACGAAGACTTTGCAAAGCAGGCCTTGGCAATGTGACCTTGCTTACTGCAGTTATAGCAAGTTGCTGACTTGAACTTGCATTGATGAGATGCATGGGGACCGTTGCATCGATGACATTTCTGATAATTATTACTAGATTTAGATCTAGGATTTGAACTTGCAGGTTGTTTAGCATAAGTTGAACTGCTCTGATGGGGTTGTTTGTTGACTGACTTGCATGGATCCCTGAGGGCGCTAGAGATCTGGCCGCCTCGGATGACTGCTGGAATGAAGTTGCAAGTTGTATTGCTTTTTCCAATGTTAGATCTGACTCGAGAAGCAACTTTCTTTGAACATCAGGGCTGTTTACACCTGTCACAAACTTTTCACATAGTCTGTCAGACAGCGTGTCCCCGAATTCACAGAATTAACTTAGATGACGTAAAGCAGCAACATATTCTGATATTGATTCGTTTGGTTGACGAGTCCTACCGTCAAATCTGGCTCTACACAGGAACTTTGGTGGTGCAGGCGCATGATGGTCTGTTAAGAGTTTGCTCAGCTCGTTAAAGCTCTTGGTAGCTGGACTAGCTGGTGCGCATAAGTCCTTTAATAGCCTAAATTGTTGAGGCCCTATAACTGTTAACAATACAGCTCTCTTTTTGGCTTCTATCGTCACGTCGTTAGCTTCAAAATAAAAGCTTAACCTATCTAGATAATCATGAATGGTTTCATCATTCGAATTAAATTCTTTTATCTGGCCATACAGCGCCATTATCCTGCAAATACTTAGCAAATATGCTCTAGCAAGCTTCTTCTTAAGTAAGCATGTGCTCTTTTTAGTGGATGAATTATCCTCGTCGCCAATGAAGTGGATTGTTATCTTAGACAGATAATACAACAGACGAGGAAGCCATTTTTATGTACCTTGTTGTTTATTCTGAATCGGAAACGGAACAATACATGCAAGGGACATCACTCAAACATTATAAGACTAATAAAGAAGAATGAGTTCCCCTCAATATAAAGCTCAATATATTACAATTTCGGATCAATTAGAATACGTAATTTGACGTTAATTAATCCTTAACTAAACGGGTAAAAATGTATTTTTCTTCTATAAATTTTCCATTTTTTTTTCGCCTAGGTGTCACGCCACTAAATGGTGTAACCCCTCTCCCCGCCTCCCACTTGATTATCCTCTGGTAGATCTAATAACATACTGTGATGAGTTCGAAGAATAATAAGTAGTATTAGTAAATCCGGCACTTACGTTTGAGAATTGGTCGTTGCGCACTCTTTCTGCAAAACGGATTGCAATGAACGTTAGAAGAACAACATATTAGATTAATGTAATGCTAAACGTCGCTTTTTATTGGTGCACCCGGACCGACATCACAACCCTAAATAAAGAGGTTTTAGTTTATTTATTTGTTTAATCATATCATCCTCATTTATGAAGAAAATAAAAACATTATGTTTATAAAAATGATGACACAAGTTTTCAATCAATTTGAATTATAGGCAGCTCTGTAGAGAATAATTTTTTGTAATCTCCGTATAATCCACAATCTTTCCTTGTTTTTATGGCAAAAATACGGTAGTAGTTGTACTTAGACTAACCGCCAACCAACAAGGGCAACTACTCTAAATATATAAATACGTGGAAACAGATTTCAAAGCAATCTTTGTCACAATTTTAAAATTTAACATGTTACAACAACGCTAGATCAAGAAATACTTTAAATAAAAGGTCTAGATCTAGAAATCTAGTAAGCCTACTAACAAGTTAATATAAAGAGTATCACAATTCAATTCTATTTGAAAAAGTTGGGTATAAAATTACAATTTGTTAAAAAATGATGCAAGTTACAGATTTTCAAAGTAAGTTTTTTTGAGTTTTAGCTTAGGACTTGCTAGATCTAGATCTATATTATTATTATTATTTATTGGCTTCATGCTTTATACTACGTTATAGGGTCTTAGTAACTGTTTAGTTAGTTACTTAATAAAAGCTACTAAGTACTAAGCCTAAAACAGTAAAACTCAAAAGAGATAGAATCTAGGTAAAATCACGATATAGCGTCGGAAATTATTGGGTAATGTTCGTTGAGTTTCGGTAACATTCGTTACTGTAAACCATAGTTTACTTGACCGTTGAAAGAAAAATAAAGTCAAGTGCATTAAATTTATGTTTTAACTTAATTTAATGTTTAACTGACAAAAAATTAGCAACAATTAGTAAATCTAAATATTATTAATAAAGTCGAGTGTAGTAATTAATGTTTTTTTTTAAGAAACAGAAAAAACCTGCAGAAGATTTGCGACAACCAGCTCTAGTTCTGTTAGAAAATAAGACGATTAGATTTACTAAAGTTAAAAGTAGTAAGAATAACTAGAATAATGTTTAGTAGCAGCAATAATTAGCACATGCACTTTAAATAATTAGAAATACAAAATAATTAGCAAAACAGTATTTAAAATGCAACTAAAATCAATCCTTGCACATTTTTAAACATTATGTGTTAAAAATAATATGGCGGCAAATAAATGATGGTTTACAGTACTTCCGGTGGTTTCCGGAACGGCTTGACAGACTACGCCATGGTTTTACTGTTTTTTACTGCTGTACAGTTCCGGAATAATAACCGACGCTATATCGTGATTTTACCAGAATCTAGGCCCTTAGGCCTTAGGCCTAGCCCTAATCTCAGACTAACTAATCTGTAAAAAGTAAAGTTTCCCTTTCAAACTTGACGGTCTCAATGGGGCAAGTGACCTCGGCATATGAAGAGATAGTGTAGTCAGCACCATGCCCAGCCGACTTTACTTTCTAATCTGTAATAATCATTAATCATCTATCATTTTTTAAATTTTAGGCACATAATTTAATATATTTTATTATATAATATATAATTATATAGATTATTATAGATCTAGGGCTATATGGAAATAATAATATGGCTAATTGGCAATTGCCGCTAATATAACTATAATTACTATATAATATTTTGGAATGAACTTTAAACTCTGTTAGAGTGGCCATCATTCCAGTTAAATATTAAAGTGGTTTCACCTTGATAAGTTTCTATTTGCCCACCTGTTGTATTGATTTTCTCAACTTGGATCCTGATTTGAACTCGAGACTTTTGGGTTAGGGTTAGCACTTTACTGCTTAGGCCGCGCTGTCTATTAGCAACCCACTATAAATAATGTACTTGGAGAGTAACAGTATGCCACTAAAACGTATAACTTAACATCACATAAATAAAAGCATTGAAGCACAAGAATTAAAAGCAAAGATTTAAATATAAAAAAGTTTATTCAAATCTGAAAACATTTATAACCACAATAAGCAACAAGTTTAAAAGACAACATTGAAAATACATTTATGTTCAAAGAATTTTAAATAGACCGTACATCTAATTAGTATTAGAATACTGGTAAAGAATTTTAAATAGACCGTACATCTAATTAGTGTTAGAATACTGGTAAAGAATTTTAAATAGACCGTACATCTAATTAGTGTTAGAATACTGGTAAAGAATTTTAAATAGACCGTACATCTTATTAGTGTTAGAATACTGGTAAAGAATTTTAAATAGACCGTACATCTTATTAGTATTAGAATACTGGTAAAGAATTTTAAATAGACCGTACATCTAATAAGTGTTAGAATACTGGTAAAGAATTTTAAATAGACCGTACATCTAATTAGTGTTAGAATACTGGTAAAGAATTTTAAATAGACCGTACATCTAATTAGTGTTAGAATACTGGTAAAGAATTTTAAATAGACCGTACATCTAATTAGTGTTAGAATACTGGTAGGTAAGCCTACATTAGATTAGTACATCTAATTAGTGTTAGAATACTGGTAGGTAAGCCTGAATGACACAGTCAGCTGCAACACAAATCCAAGAGGCCAAAATGTGGTCGTGTTCCATTAGCCAGTAACCAGATATTCCATTTTTCTCTCAGCTGCAATGGTGCCGATACAGCGCATTTTTTAAAAAAATACTGTTTAAACAAAAGGGAACATAATGCACTTTTTAATGATTTGTGTCTTTTTAAAGAATAAAGAAATTCCATGCAACACCTTACTTTAACGTCTAACCAACGCACTCAGTGCTGTGTCTCTTTAACTTGATCTAACCAGCGTACTCAGTGCTGTGTCTCTTTAACTTGATCTAACCAATGTACTCAGTGCTGTGTCTCTTTAAATTGATCTAACCAATGTACTCAGTGCTGTGTCTCTTTAAATTGATCTAACCAATGTACTCAGTGCTGTGTCTCTTTAAATTGATCTAACCAATGTACTCAGTGCTGTGTCTCTTTAACTTGATCTAACCAATGTACCCAGTGCTGTGTCTCTTTAACTTGATCTAACCAACGTACTCAGTGCTGTGTCTCTTTAACTTGATCTAACCAATGTACTCAGTGCTGTGTCTCTTTAACTTGATCTAACCAGCGTACTCAGTGCTGTGTCTCTTTAACTTGATCTAACCAATGTACTCAGTGCTGTGTCTCTTTAACTTGATCTAACCAATGTACCCAGTGCTGTGTCTCTTTAAATTGATCTAACCAATGTACTCAGTGCTGTGTCTCTTCCTCAGAAATTGGAGTGGGTCTGGCTGGGTTTGGCATTGCCTTTCTGTTTTTGGGCATGCTGTTGTTCTTTGACAAGGGTCTTCTGGCTATTGGCAATGTAAGTTGTGTATTCAGGCACACTGTAGAGTTGATGTGTAGCACAAAAGTGACACGTGTAAGATGACATGTGTAAACACGTGTGTAGCACATATGTGTAGTGTGGAAGTGTCTTGTGTAGCGTGGAAGTGTCTTGTGTAAACACGTGTGTAGCACATATGTGTAGCGTGGAAGTGTCTTGTGTAGCGTGGAAGTGTCTTGTGTAAACACGTGTGTAGCACATATGTGTAGCGTGGAAGTGTCTTGTGTTAGCTAGTGTAGACTACTGCCCACACAGCTCAGGTAATAATTTATTTATTTATTTATACAGCTACATTTCCTGTTTCAGATACTTTTTATAAGTGGACTTGCGTTTGTCATTGGTCTAGAGAGGACGTTTCGTTTCTTCTTTCAAAAACACAAACTGAAAGCTACAGCATTTTTTGTTGGAGGGATGTTGGTGGTCCTGCTGGGTTGGCCCATTGTGGGCATGTGTGTTGAGCTGTATGGCTTCTTCTTACTCTTCAGGTCAGTACCTCTATCTCAGTCAGTCTTGTGCCCTCATGTCAGTCTTGTGCCCTCCTGTCAGTGTTGATTCAAATATACCCATATTTTTTCCAGTGGATTTTTCCCTGTGGCTGTCAACTTTCTACGACGTGTCCCTGTCATAGGAACATTTTTAAATCTGCCTGGCATTAGATCTGTGAGTTGATTGTTACACATTTTTAAATCTGCCTGTCATTAGATCTGTGAGTTGATTGTTACACATTTTTAAATCTGTCTGGCATCAGAGGATTGTTACACATTTTTAAATCTGTCTGGCATTAGAGGATTGTTACACATTTGAGTATAATGAAAACTTTGACAATTTTTTTACCTCATTTTGTTTCAATTATATTTTCAGATTGCTGACAGAATTGGAGAATCTGGCTCAATGGTATAACAGTTTGAACGTCTAGACATGTCCATGTTTTTTATGTAAGACAGACTAGACCTTGTCCATGTATGACTGACTAGACACTGTTGAATGGGTGCTCTGTTTGCTTTGTTGTTATACCATATTTTACCACATCATTCATTAGATCCATTCAACTGACCACTCACTCTATCCATCCAACCGACCACTCATTAGATCCATTCAACTGACCACTCATTCGATCCATTCAACTGATCATTCATTAGATCCATTCAACTGACCACTCATTAGATCCATCCAACCGACCACTCATTAGATCCATTCAACTGACCACTCATTAGATTTATTCAACTGACCACTCATGACATCTACTTTTGAAAGACACATCTCTTGTATTGCATGAATTAATTTTTTTCTACACTTCAAGTATTGTCTTTTTTTTTAACCTATTGAAATAAATGATAGTGATTTGCCCAATATTTCTGGTTATTGTTAGTTACTTCCCCTGAGCTGGCCACTCTTCTGTTGTTTGTGTACTTTGTTAATCCACTTGTTTATTGCATGAGTTGTTTATTTCATCCACTTGTTTATTTCATCCACTTGTTTATTTCAATTTCATCCACTTGTTTATTCTGTTGATTTGTTTATTTCATCCACTTTTTTATTTCATCCACTTGTTTATTGCATGATTTGTTTATTTCATCCACTTGTTTATTCCATTGATTTGTTTATTTCATCCACTTGTTTATTTCATCCACTTGTTAAAAGGATCAAGAATAATTTGATTTGTCACTGTACAATTGAAAATCCCCTCCATAAACTACTAGGTCTAATAATAGAGAGCTTAAAACTTGGTCGTTAATGGGCTTGTAATCAGCTCACCATTAATGGTGTAGTAATCAGCTCTCCTGTTCATACACAACACACATAGGACAGATGAAGTAGATTTAATCTGTTTCAATACCTCAGAATACAAGGGGATATATTTAGCACTTAGTCCAACCACCTTTGGTTCCCGAACAAGAGTCAGGTACCCAATAGACCTGGTTGGACAGGGACAAAAGTCAGGTACCCATTAGAGCTGGGTGGACTCAGGGATCAAAGTCAGGTACCCATTAGAGCTGGGTGGACTCAGGGAGGTGCTCCCCTCTTGAGCCTGGGATCTGATCTCAGGACTTCCAGGTTAGCAAATGTAAGCTTTTTCATTGGACCACACTATCCCCACGCCATTGGACCACACTATCCCCACACCATTGGACCACACTATCCCCACACCATTGGACCACACTATCCCCACGCCATTGGACCACACTATCCCCACGCCATTGGACCACACTATCCCCACGCCATGATTAATGCTTTGATGAATGTAAGGGTTCACTTGTATTTGAGCTTAGAATTTGAATCCAATTCTATCACCAATTCATTTTCTTTGAACATTTTCAGGACAGTGTGTAAATTTGTGAGTATATATTTGATTTCTAAGTGGTTGGTACAATGGTGGTGGTGGTTGGTACAATGGTGGTGGTGGTTGGTACAATGGTGGTGGTGGTTGGTACAATGGTGGTGGTGGTTGGTACAATGGTGGTGGTGGTTGGTACAATGGTGGTGGTGGTTGGTACAATGGTGGTGGTGGTTGGTACAATGGTGGTGGTGGTGGTTGGTACAAGGAAATTTTTATTCATTGACAATTGGTTGAGCTAACAGTTATAAAAACAACTTGACCAGACAACTTGACCAGACAGAGAACTAGAACTAGATATTTTCAGACAACTAGAAATGCTCTGTCCACCCCCACATGACCTATATACCCAGTCAGCTGAGCCTTACCAGAGGGAGACCCTCAGGTGTAAGAACATTAGTGTACACAGCTCCCCTGACAGTGTACACAGCTCCCCTGACAGTGTACACAGCTCCCCTGACAGTGTACACAGCTCCCCTGACAGTGTACACAGCTCCCCTGACAGTGTACACAGCTCCCCTGACAGTGTACACAGCTCCCCTGACAGTGTACACAGCTCCCCTGACAGTGTACACAGCTCCCCTGACAGTGTACACAGCTCCCCTGACAGTGTACACAGCTCCCCTGACAGTGTACACAGCTCCCCTGACAGTGTACACAGCTCCCCTGACAGTGTACACAGCTCCCCTGACAGTGTACACAGCTCCCCTGACAGTGTACACAGCTCCCCTGACATTGTGTACACAGCTCCCCTGACATTGTGTACACAGCTCCCCTGACATTGTGTACACAGCTCCCCTGACACTAGTGTACACAGCTCCCCTGACACTAGTGTACACAGCTCCCCTGACAGTGTACACAGCTCCCCTGACATTGTGTACACAGCTCCCCTGACACTAGTGTACACAGCTCCCCTGACACTAGTGTACACAGCTCCCCTGACACTAGTGTACACAGCTCCCCTGACACTAGTGTACACAGCTCCCCTGACACTAGTGTACACAGCTCCCCTGACAGTGTACACAGCTCCCCTGACATTGTGTACACAGCTCCCCTGACACTAGTGTACACAGCTCCCCTGACACTAGTGTACACAGCTCCCCTGACACTAGTGTACACAGCTCCCCTGACACTAGTGTACACAGCTCCCCTGACACTAGTGTACACAGCTCCCCTGTCATTAGTGTACACAGATCCCCTGTAATAACTGACTTGAGATCTAGTTTGATGGATAATGTTCTTGCTTTCTCATTATCTGCTCAGTGTAAGGGATATGTTAGGATACATTCTACATTGTGTAAATGTTAGGATACATTCTACATTGTGTAAATGTTAGGATACATTCTACATTGTGTAAATGTTAGGATACATTCTACATTGTGTAAATGTTAGGATATTTTCTCGTACATTTTGTTTCAGAATTGTTGCGCAAATATTTTATAAATAAATTAAATGTGAGTTAATTCCCCTTGGTCAGGGCTCTCTACAAAATATAGGTTTGAGAGATGCTAAATTTGGATTTTCTCAAGTTTTCACAAAAGTAAATGGAGACAAGCGAGTTGACGAGATTCCTTCCATAGTGTTGTTGACATGGAATAAAAACGTGCTTTTTAGATTTAGACCGTAAAAAAAAAACAAAAAAACTTAAGCCTAAAATTAATTTAGAAATTGTATATTTTTAGAATAAATGCTATAAAAGTTGCAAATCCAGAGAACTTGAAAATAATTTGTTGAGTTTAAGGCTACATCTCTATTTATTTTCATCAAGCCTAAGTTATAACCGGATGTTTCACTTTTGTAAGACAAATATTGATTGGCTGTACAGTAACTTAGTGATCAATAACTATTTGTTTACAAAACTTTGCAGATCAAGTTTTTAAATAACAATGCAAATTTAAAACCCCATGACCTAGTTTTCTATTTTTAGCTTACAATGTGTACAATAAAATTTATGTCGGCCTATCCAATAGCAGGATGCCATTGTTTATGTCGCCATTACACGTGAAAACCAAATTGTTTTTGCTTTTTTTTTTAATTTTTATTTAGTTACCGAAAATATTAAAAACATCAAATACGTCCAATCTTTAGTAAAGTCCGAAAAAAACCAGACAGACAGGATTTTATAACCATATTAATTGTAACTACGCCGTGCAAGATTTTTAAATTAATGCACCTCTCAAATACCTTTGAGACTTTTCTCGCTTGTGTCCATTATCAAAATCTAAAACAAAGTCAGTCTCTATTTTTTTAAATTTATTTTTATTCATTTGTTAAAACAAAAATACAATACAACACAAATAAATTAATCGTGTTTTCCTAATGGTTTTGTGTGTTTCGGTTATTATAGTAAAATACGCTCAACTGTAGGTAAACAGGCAGCGGAGAATAAAATACGCTAAGTTTTACCCTAAATTTGTTATAAATCTTTAAAAATTTATGGCCAACGATAAAAGTATAGATTCTAGTTACATTTTAAAAACGTACAGTTGTTTGAGAACAATCGATTACACTTATTTCCATAATTTGCTATTGAATATTACTTGAATTATTTTATCAATTCATCAATTATTTTTAAAAACCGCCCTCAATCTCTTCTCGAAGTCAACCGTCATGGCCAGGGAGAGTAAAACTATGAAAGGTCACATCAATTGTTTTCCGTGATAAAATACACAATAGTAGTCAATGGTGTATAGCCTAGTATTGTATTGATTTATTAAATATAACATTCCCTCTCACCGCAACATCCTGACTATACTAATCCAAATTAAAAATAAAAGTGTTGGCTAAATTACTTTTATTATTACTAATTATTATAAGTTTAAATATTTTTGGCTTTAATAAAACCAGAAGTCATTTTGTACTTATTTCACAAATCTTATAAAATATTCAATTTTGGTTGAAAATAATTTAATATGCTTTCTGGCTACAAAAATTTGTAATAATAATTTGAAACCAGCTTTCCAAGTCTATTGTATGAAAAATTTGAAATGAGATTAGGACACATTTTTGGCCAAGACACACGGTGCTTATGAAATAGAGTTTCAATGACCTGACCTCACTGGGATACATGTATGGTCAGCACTCTGCCCACCATACACTCAGTGTTTCATCCAGACTTTTTTCTCCGGGGGGGGGGGGGGGCTGGAAGAAACTCTGCATACACTGCCCAATAGAGTGGGTTGGATCAAAGTATCCAGCCAGGAATGTGAACTTAGGAGTTTCATGTTGTACTTCATTTGGTCCGTGATTCAAGTGTCACTTCAAACTATTTTCTTACATACATATATGTATGACCCCATACATATCTCCTTTGATTATTTTCTAGTGTTTTTTTTTTCTCCTTCATACATCTCTTCGTTAGGGTGAGAACTTTTTTTTTTTGCTTTCTCAAATCTACTGGTAATTGAAGGAAAAATATTAAAATAATTAATTGTTAGCTATTTGATGATTTACGTATTCTAATGATTCAATTAATTAATTGTTAGCTATTTGATGATTTACGTATTCTAATGATTCAATTAATTAATTGTTGGCTATTTGATGATTTGAGTATTCTAATGGATTAAATAATTAATTATTGGCTAATTGATGACCTGAATATTCTAATGACTTGTGTGAACCTAATTGACAGGTGCAGAGAAATGTGCTGGTCTTCTGGGGTTTGGCAAGCTTTTCTATCACAGTGTTGCTCACTGGATGGTGTTAGTGTTGTCATAAGATTATGTTGGTGTCTGCTAGTTTGGTGTTGTTATAAGAATATGTTGGTGTCTGCTAGTTTGAATGGTGTTGGTGTTGTTATAAGAATATGTTGGTGTCTGCTAGTTTAAATGGTGTTAGTGTTGTTATAAGAAAATGTTGGTGTCTGCTAGTTTAAATGGTGTTTTTATAAGAATATGTTGGTGTCTGCTAGTTTAAATGGTGTTAGTGTTGTTATAAGAATATGTTGGTGTCTGCTAGTTTAAATGGTGTTAGTGTTGTTATAAGAATATGTTGGTGTCTGCTAGTTTAAATGGTGTTAGTGTTGTTATAAGAATATGTTGGTGTCTGCTAGTTTAAATGGTGTTGTTATAAGAATATGTTGGTGTCTGCTAGTTTGAATGGTGTTGGTGTTGTTATAAGAATATGTTGGTGTCTGCTAGTTTAAATGGTGTTGTTATAAGAATATGTTGGTGTCTGCTAGTTTGAATGGTGTTAGTGTTGTTATAAGAACATGTTGGTGTCTGCTAGTTTGAATGGTGTTAGTGTTGTCATAAGATTATGTTGGTGTGTCTGTTACATGAAGCTACTAAATTCGTGCTAGCCTATTAAGTTTGCGTGTGTCAGATTTTGTTCAGCTTTGACTCACTGTTGTATGAGAATAAAAGCAGTAGATTTCTCGAGTCTGTCCTTCAGTCTGTGAGAATAAAAGCAGTAGATTTCTCGAGTCTGTCCTTCAGTCTGTGAGAATAAAAGCAGTAGATTCCTTGAGTCTGTCCTTCAGTCTGTGAGAATAAAAGCAGTAGATTTCTCGAGTCTGTCCTTCAGTCTGTGAGAATAAAAGCAGTAGATTCCTTGAGTCTGTCCTTCAGTCTGTGAGAATAAAAGCAGTAGATTCCTCGAGTCTGTCCTTCAGTCTGTGAGAATAAAAGCAGTAGATTCCTCGAGTCTGTCCTTCAGTCTGTGAGAATAAAAGCAGTAGATTCCTCGAGTCTGTCCTTCAGTCTGTGAGAATAAAAGCCGTAGATTCCTCGAGTCTGTCCTTCAGTCTGTGAGAATAAAAGCCGTAGATTCCTCGAGTCTGTCCTTCAGTCTGTGAGAATAAAAGCCGTAGATTCCTCGAGTCTGTCCTTCAGTCTGTGAGAATAAAAGCCGTAGATTCCTCGAGTCTGTCCTTCAGTCTGCCAGCTTCGCTTAACTAGAGCCGCCACATGAGACCAATACTTGATGGGGTGCTCTCATTAAGCTCTGGTTGCTCATTAAGCTCCCACCCTCACCACTCCAACTCCTGGATAGAATCCCCTGGTCACAACCCTTCTCTACACCTTCCCCCCTCCCCCGAGGCATAGCTAGGGTGGGGCGCCAAAAGGGATTTTAAGCTGGAGTTTTGAATTATAAACATTCAAAGTTGAGAAATGTAGCGGCTACGAGTCTTTACAAAACTGTCTTACTTCTACCTCGATTGTGTTCTGTAAAACATCCTTAAGAAACAATGATGGGGGAAGGGGTGCTTTTGTGCCAACTAAAATCTGATGGGTTTGTACTGGATGTGTTGATTTACTAAACTTTACCACTTATAAAAGAAATCAATTGTATTGTAATTTACTAATTATGTACGATTTCACAGCTAGTTTTGTTAAGAAATGACGCGACTAATTCATTGAACGATTCTACGGTTATCTGAGCTACAAGGTGAGAGATGAGATACTCGATTAGATGTCATCACAATCTGGATTCTTGGGTCGCTATTCGATGAGTGCAGTCGGAAGGCGTTACTCTTCGTCGAAATTTTAAGAGAGATAAAAAAATTAGTAGGCCTATAGTTTCTCTCTGCTTCTATTTTAATTCGTTATCTCAAAATAAAATCCCCGTAAAGACGACTATAATAACTAGACTTACCCAACCCTCTCCCCTTTAGGGAAAAAAATTAAAATGACGTCACAGTCAATTTCAAAAGTTATGTTCGTGCAATGACTTTCTAGGCATACTGATTTAAAAAACTAATGAGCTCTGACCCAGGCCGTGTCTTGTTAGTGGAGAAGAAATATATGATAAGACTGTTTTTAACAGGAGAGGAAGGGGGTCTCCCATAAATAACATCACACTCCTAGGGGGTGGGTATCCGTAATTTTGTGACGTGATACTTTTGCATTAACAATAAATGTTAAGAAACTGAATTTTAGCCGTTAATTCGCGTTTTAGAAAACAGTTTTAGTGAATTGTAATAGAAATTGATTACAATACCCTATATTGGTCGAGCTCAGTCAATATTTTAAAACTATTAAAAGAAAATCGATGGTTAAAAAAATAAATCGAATGCATTTTGATGAGGGGGTGGGGGTAGCGGTTGTTGGATGTGTTGTGACGTATTTTTCTTTTTGGGATGGGGGGAGGTGGTTGTCTGGCTTTTGTGACAGAGGTAGAGGAGCTTGTAGCCCCAATGGTCTAGTTTCTAGCAGCTTGTAGCCCCAATGTTCTAGTTTCTAGCAGCTTGTAGCCCCAATGTTCTAGTAGCTTGTAGTGCCAATATTTGACATCAGACTTGATGTAAGAAATGAAGAAAGTCAGGAAGTCAATCATTAGCTTTATTGAGTGGGGGAGAGTCCTCTCAGTGGACTGTGATGAACTAGACTAAAATGTCCAGAGAGGACCCACCCATACAGAGGGGATACAGAGGGGTCAGAGCACACAGGAGACAACATTCATAGCCCAGCCACCCAAACACAAGATCAAACATGAAAGCAGGCACACAAGCACCCAGCTGATGCAAACATTGATGAGAGTCAGCCTCAGTCCAGTGGAGACTGACACAAAGGATGTGTACGGGCTGATCCAAAGCAAATGAGACAAAAAAAGTTATGAATGAAATAAATAAGTGACCCAAGCAGCCTGTTCTGTAGAGTAGCAATTGACTGGTTCAAAGTTCAAACTTGATAGCTCTCTTCAATCATTGCTTGTTCCAAAGTTCAATCATTGCTTGTGCTATGAGTTTGTAGAGCCAAACTTGCAGAACATAACATCACAGATTTTTTTTTCTTACTGAAATCAATTCATAAAAGGCATTTTAAGACAAGGGAATCAGTATTATTTACAAACACTATAATATAAATAACTGCTTTAAACCTAGATGGCTTCATACAATAATAATATTCTTTAACTACAGCGCTACCAATCAATTTCAGTCTCTAAAATGCCAAAGCACTTGTTTTGTTACAGATTTAAAGAATTTTTAATAATCAAAATGTATTTATAAATAATCAAAATGTATTTATAAATAATCAAAGTTGTATACAAACATAATACAGGAAAATGTCAAGAAAAAAACAACTGATTATATAAAGTATGTATAGACAGAGGAGCTGGACTTTGTTCACTCACATTGTTAATGCTAAACTCTTCGGTCACTTTAATTCACTTACTTGTTACACTATTAATGCTACAAGTTATCCCTAAACTAAATTGAACCTGACTAAAATTCACTGAACATAGATCCACAAAATTTAGTAATCAGTTCATGACTGCTTCACTCAGCTTTGTATTTTTGCTTTACTTATGCAGGCCAAAGCCTATCAAGGATGTTTGCTTCTTCCTACTTTCAGAATGTTGCAAAAATACATTCGACAAGTACCTTTAAATTGGTGCAATAACAAGTATCATTAAATTGGTGCAATAACAAGTACCTTTAAATTGGTGCAATAACAAGTATCATTAAATTGGTGCAATAACAAGTACCTTTAAATTGGTGCAATAACAAGTATCATTAAATTGGCACGATCAGTTGCACATTTTTTGGGTGTTTCTTCTTCGTGATCCAAGAAACCCACAGTTCTTAGTTCCTCAAATTTTGCTCATCTCAAATAAAAAAATCACTGGCTCGACTGCTCATACCTTCAAAATCTTGTACGTCAAACCATACAAGTGCCATGACATCGTATGGTCATACAGGTGCAATAACACAACAGATTTTTGTTAAGTTCCATTCAGCTTAGAGATAAAGTATTATGTTGAGAGTGTAACAATTCTGTTCAGTAAACTTCGTTAAGTTCCATTCAGCTTAGAGATAAAGTATTATGTTGAGAGTGTAACAATTCTGTTCAGTAAACTTTGTTAAGTTCCAATCAGCTAAGAGATAAAGTATTATGTTGAGAGTGTAAGAATGAAGTCAATTGAAATGACCAAAAGAGTTTAGCATCCATAAACTTCTCTCTGCCAGCATCTTTGGTCAAATGGTTGTGTTATTTTCATGGGAAAATAGTTTTTTTTCTTGACGTTTTCGTTTTTTTTTCTTTTATACATTATATTCAACAGTCTACGTCAACAGTAAACGTAATTAATAAATAGATTTTTCTTATTCAAAAACATGTGACAGACCGAAAAAAAGGAACGGCATTTTGAAATGATATGGCATTTAGAGGGCAGAAATGAATAATGGCATTTCAATGGGAAAAATTTCTTTGAGATGTGAGCACTTTGACCCTAAGAGCAAGCTTAAGGAAGAAATCCAATTCAAAATACCAAGACATAATAATAACATAGCGTTTAAAATGAGGAATAAAAAAATTATATGGACTGTTAGAATGAATAGTGAAATAAAATGAGATGAATAACAACAGTATTTAGGGTAAAGAGTCAAATAGAATGAGATGAATGTCTTGACATAGAGAAGACTGACCTGGACATAGAGAAGACTGACCTGGACATAGAGAAGACTGACCTGGACATAGAGAAGACTGACCTGGACATAGAGAAGACTGACCTAGACATAGAGAAGACTGACCTGGACATAGACTGACCTGGACATAGAGAAGACTGACCTGGACATAGAGAAGACTGACCTGGACATAGAGAAGACTGACCTGGACATAGAGAAGACTGACCTGGACATAGACTGACCTGGACATAGAGAAGACTGACCTGGACATAGAGAAGACTGACCTGGACATAGAGAAGACTGACCTGGACATAGAGAAGACTGACCTAGACATAGAGAAGACTGACCTGGACATAGAGAAGACTGACCTGGACATAGAGAAGACTGACCTAGACATAGAGAAGACTGACCTGGACATAGACTGACCTGGACATAGAGAAGACTGACCTGGACATAGAGAAGACTGACCTGGACATAGAGAAGACTGACCTGGACATAGAGAAGACTGACCTAGACATAGAGAAGACTGACCTGGACATAGAGAAGACTGACCTGGACATAGAGAAGACTGACCTGGACATAGAGAAGACTGACCTGGACATAGAGAAGACTGACCTAGACATAGAGAAGACTGACCTGGACATAGACTGACCTGGACATAGAGAAGACTGACCTGGACATAGAGAAGACTGACCTGGACATAGAGAAGACTGACCTGGACATAGACTGACCTAGACATAGAGAAGACTGACCTGGACATAGAGAAGACTGACCTAGACATAGAGAAGACTGACCTGGACATAGAGAAGACTGACCTAGACATAGAGAAGACTGACCTGGACATAGAGAAGACTGACCTGGACATAGAGAAGACTGACCTGGACATAGACTGACCTGGACAAGACTGACCTAGACATAGAGAAGACTGACCTGGACAAAGAGAAGACTGACCTGGACAAGACTGACCTGGACATAGACTGACCTGGACAAGACTGACCTAGACATAGAGAAGACTGACCTAGACATAGAGAAGACTGACCTGGACATAGAGAAGACTGACCTGGACAAAGAGAAGACTGACCTGGACAAGACTGACCTGGACATAGACTGACCTGGACAAGACTGACCTAGACATAGAGAAGACTGACCTAGACATAGAGAAGACTGACCTGGACATAGAGAAGACTGACCTAGACATAGAGAAGACTGACCTGGACATAGACTGACCTGGACATAGAGAAGACTGACCTGGACATAGAGAAGACTGACCTGGACATAGAGAAGACTGACCTGGACATAGAGAAGACTGACCTGGACATAGACTGACCTGGACATAGAGAAGACTGACCTGGACATAGAGAAGACTGACCTGGACATAGAGAAGACTGACCTGGACATAGAGAAGACTGACCTAGACATAGAGAAGACTGACCTGGACATAGAGAAGACTGACCTGGACATAGAGAAGACTGACCTAGACATAGAGAAGACTGACCTGGACATAGACTGACCTGGACATAGAGAAGACTGACCTGGACATAGAGAAGACTGACCTGGACATAGAGAAGACTGACCTGGACATAGAGAAGACTGACCTAGACATAGAGAAGACTGACCTGGACATAGAGAAGACTGACCTGGACATAGAGAAGACTGACCTGGACATAGAGAAGACTGACCTGGACATAGAGAAGACTGACCTAGACATAGAGAAGACTGACCTGGACATAGACTGACCTGGACATAGAGAAGACTGACCTGGACATAGAGAAGACTGACCTGGACATAGAGAAGACTGACCTGGACATAGACTGACCTAGACATAGAGAAGACTGACCTGGACATAGAGAAGACTGACCTAGACATAGAGAAGACTGACCTGGACATAGAGAAGACTGACCTAGACATAGAGAAGACTGACCTGGACATAGAGAAGACTGACCTGGACATAGAGAAGACTGACCTGGACATAGACTGACCTGGACAAGACTGACCTAGACATAGAGAAGACTGACCTGGACAAAGAGAAGACTGACCTGGACAAGACTGACCTGGACATAGACTGACCTGGACAAGACTGACCTAGACATAGAGAAGACTGACCTAGACATAGAGAAGACTGACCTGGACATAGAGAAGACTGACCTGGACAAAGAGAAGACTGACCTAGAGAAGACTGACCTGGACAGAATCAAGCAGCTGTTGAACGTCCACATCCCCAGACACAGTGTCCCCTATCCTGACAAAAAGCGAAAACGTCCAGCTGGACTGACCGCGGTCATCTTTAGCTGTAACAGTGTAGGATCCTGAGTCAGTGGACAAGGCGGCAGGGATGGTCAAAGTGCCACTAGTTCCATCTTGGCTAAAGGTGAAGCGACCTGCATCATCAATAGGCCGGCCATCTTTACTCCAAGATACTGCCAACAACAATAAGTTTTTTTATAGTGGTAGTTTCATCATTAAATAGCTTACAGTATTGATATAGCTGTACTACATTTATTATCTGAAGGCTATTTAAGTAAAGTTTAAACTAATTAAATTTAAACATGTATTCTCATTATGATCCATAAGGATTGATGCTACAATTTGATGCAACATCAATTTAAACATGTATTCTCATTATGATCCATAAGGATTGATGCTACCATTTGATGCAACATCAATTTAAACATGTATTCTCATTATGATCCATAAGGATTGATGCTACCATTTGATGCAACATCAATTTAAACATGTATTCTCATTATGATCCATAAGGATTGATGCTACCATTTGATGCAACATCAATTTAAACATGTATTCTCATTATGATCCATAAGGATTGATGCTACCATTTGATGCAACATCAATTTAAACATGTATTCTCATTATGATCCATAAGGATTGATGCTACAATTTGATGCAACATCAATTTAAACATGTATTCTCATTATGATCCATAAGGACTGATGCTACCATTTGATGCAACATCAATTTAAACATGTATTCTCATTATGATCCATAAGGATTGATGCTACCATTTGATGCAACATCAATTTAAACATGTATTCTCATTATGATCCATAAGGATTGATGCTACCATTTGATGCAACATCAATTTAAACATGTATTCTCATTATGATCCATAAGGATTGATGGTACAATTTGATGCAACATAAGCATTATTAAATAAATAATTTAAAAAAAAATGGCAGAAGTTTGAAAAAAAAAAAAGGTTGTCCAGTCATTGTTGCTGTACCTGAGACTGCAGATGTAGCTTGTGTAGCTTGTAGACTGAAGGCAAAAGTGATGGGGCAGCCCTCATCAATACAAGCACTCTTTGGGAAGGTGGCGAACACAGGAGCAGAGGGCTCTTCATCTGGGACTTAACACACAGACAGGCCATTACATGATGGTTTAACCCAGGCCATTAACTGATGGTTTAACCCAGGCCATTAACTGATGGTTTAACCCAGGCCATTAACTGATGGTTTAACCCAGGCCATTAACTGATGGTTTAACCCAGGCCATTACATGATGGTTTAACCCAAGCCATTAACTGATGGTTTAACCCAAGCCATTAACCGATGGTTTAACCCAAGCCATTAACCGATGGTTTAACCCAGGCCATTAACTGATGGTTTAACCCAGGCCATTAACTGATGGTTTAACCCAGGCCATTAACTGATGGTTTAACCCAAGCCATTAACTGATGGTTTAACCCAGGCCATTAACTGATGGTTTAACCCAGGCCATTAACTGATGGTTTAACCCAGGCCATTAACTGATGGTTTAACCCAGGCCATTAACTGATGGTTTAACCCAGGCCATTAACTGATGGTTTAACCCAGGCCATTAACTGATGGTTTAACCCAGGCCATTAACTGATGGTTTAACCCAGGCCATTAACTGATGGTTTAACCCAGGCCATTAACTGATGGTTTAACCCAGGCCATTACATGATGGTTTAACCCAGGCCATAATTTAAATATTAAATGTCACATCACAAGGAGACTAACTGACTTACCACCAACATAAATACTACATGAGGAGGAGACTGATCCTGCAGAGTTGGAAGCCTGTACAGTGTAGACACCCGAGTCTTCTGGGAATATTTCAGCAACAAGAAGCTTGTACACATCTCCAGCATTTTCCATACGGAAATCCTCGGATGGTTGGATGGGCAAACCATCTCTAGACCACTTGATTTCATCTGGCTTGCCTGGAGGTCCAACAAAGGATAATGTAACTATGATCAACTTCAGGTTAGTGTGAGGGTTAGTGTGATAATCTGTCTATACTATAAAACTCAAATGGACTTGGTTTATCTTTAACAGATTAGTTACTATATTTATGATACACATATATTAGTCAAAAAAAGCAAAACAAAAAAAACTCCACTTTATCACCATTGTGCAATATTCATTTTGTTTCAATTTTTGTACATAAAACATAAATCGATGGCTAGAAAAATCTCTATTAAAACATTTTCAAAATTAAATTTCACTTTGCAACTTAGTATTGTTATTGACGTGAAGTGCAAAGAACAAAATTAAACTAAATTTATTATCCTTCGAGATAACTTCAGTAGTTTATTTTCATGTTAGAAAAGAACTATAGAATTTTCATGCCTTGATTAAGTGCAATGTAAAACACAGACACAGGTATTTTAAATATACTCTAAACGTACTGTTTACTAATAAAAGTCATTCTAATGTTTTGGTCTATGTCTGTGTTATTGTTTTCTTATGCCCAGGGTACATGATGCTTAATGTGAAACAAGTTAGGGCCCTTTACAGATAATTTGATCTCAAATACCAGTGCAGGTCCTGGCCGGTACGGCTAGTGTACTACTAAAACTTGAGGAGTTCCCCAATATTTTTTTATTGTAAAGCTAATTTTTCTGTCGGTTATCTAGGCTATAGCTTTAACAATATGTCTGTTAACTATTTTTATTAGGTTCCAACACTATTATCAATTTTCAATAGGATACACTTGACAGTTCTAATTTGAGTATACAATAAATTTATCTAGATCTATAAAATAATTTTATCTAGATATATACAATAATTTTATCTAAATCTATAAGCCCTACAATACATTTATCTAGATCTATATAATAAATTTATCTAGATCTTTACAATAATTTTATCTAAATCTACAGATAAACTTTAAGGAGAACAGTAGACCAAATGAGTATGAATTAGTTAAAAACAAAAACAAGTATAAAAACACAATAAATAATTGGATTTCTTTACTAAACCTACAAGGCCTCAAACATTTGATATAAATCTTCGTTTCTTAGCAATGTAATTGGTTAAGTTAGGATATAATTTAATTTAAAATAATATTTGGCATGATTTAACTTTGTTATGAAGACTAAGTATAATAAAACATTTTCACCACTGGCAGATCTTTTTTAAAAAATGCGGGTCTGAACCCCATGCGCTTATGATTTTAAAAAAATAAATCTTCCCATTCAGATGGTACAAAGTGGAAAAATTCCAACGCACTCAAATCATTTCAATCCTTAGTTGTTAATTCAAGTTTAGCTTTAATGATACATTAATTTGTTATTCCAATTAGATGGAAGTTCCCCCAACATGATCAATTTTTGTATAACAGTTTAGGCAGATCTTACAGTTGGAGACTAAAGAAATTAATCTTTGTATTCATTGTTTCAATCATTTTTCTTTTGGTCGGCCAAATGATAGATAAATAATTTTTTAAAAATACCTATTTATAAAGGGGAGTTTAAATTATTTAAGGCAATGAATCTATTTGGATATTTAGTAAAGTAATATGGTGTTTTAATGATTAACATATAAATATTTTTATTTTGGTTATTTTTTTCTCTTAGTAGTATACCAATCTGATGTGTGGAGGTTACAGCTAGGCCTACCAACCCTTCCCCCCAACCATCCTGCAAGCGTTACAGCTAGGCCTACCAACCCTTCCCCCCAACCATCCTGCAAGCGTTACAGCTAGGCCTACCAACCCTTCCCCCCAACCATCCTGCAAGCGTTACAGCTAGGCCTACCAACCCTTCCCCCCAACCATCCTGCAAGCGTTACAGCTAGGCCTACCAACCCTTCCCCCCAACCATCCTGCAAGCGTCCACAAAACTCAACTTTACTATGACCCCCCCCCCCCCCCCCCATATGTACGTCATAAATGGAGGTTGCCAAGGGATTTGGCGAGAGTTTGGGTCTAAGAATAGATTTATTTGGGGTTAAAAGACAATCAAGTGTGGGGTGGGCAAATGGAATATTGATTTGTGTTGTGCAACTGATAGACTGCTTAGGTGATGATGTAACTTAAGGTTAGGTTTGACCTGGGTTAGTTGGGTGATGATGTAACTTAAGGTTAGGTTTGACCTGACCTGAAATTCTGCACTGAAGTGTGACAGCATCTCCATCACTGACCACTTGACCTTGAAGTAGGTCAATGAACTTGGGAGATTCCACAGTTTTCTTGGTTGGGACCGGTGTCTTTACTGCAAGAACAAGATCAAATCTAGCTTCTTACAATGTTTGCTCAAAGAAAAGTAAGGTGCTATTCATGAATGTGATCCACACAAGAACATATTTCATAAACCCCCCCCCCCTGTACAAAGTATTTTGATGTTGGATTTAATGTATGGATGTTAACTTAAACATGGATCCCCCACCCCCTAATTCACGTGTGGGAATGTGTCACACCCCTCCTATTCTGTGGAGCACTTTTATGGATGACATGACATAAATGGCTGACCCATTATCTCTAACAAAGAAGAAATCTGCCCACCTTTAACTGTAACATTAGCTTTAGAAGAGGCAACACCAGCAGTGTTTGTAGCTTTACATACATAATCCCCTTCATCTTCCAGCACTGACTCGGAGATTTCAAGCTTCGCCACACCTCGACGCAAGCTGATGGAGATTACATCGTCAGACTTCAAAAGCTGGAAATACATTGGTTGTGTGAACATATGAAATACATACATTGGTTGTGTGAACATATGAAATACATACATTGGTTGTGTGAACATATGAAATACATACATTGGTTGTGTGAACATATGAAATACATACATTGGTTGTGTGAACATATGAAATACATACATTGGTTGTGTGAACATTTGAAATACATACATTGGTTGTGTGAACATATGAAATACATACATTGGTTGTGTGAACATATGAAATACATACATTGGTTGTGTGAACATATGAAATACATACATTGGTTGTGTGAACATATGAAATACATACATTGGTTGTGTAAACATTTGTTCTAAGATTGACATTAACATTGAATGAACCATAAGAACTATCCTCAGCATAGAGAGACTTACCTGACCATTCTGGTACCATTCAACATTAGGTTCTGGTGTTCCTGTAACAGTGCAGGAGAGAATTATTCTCTCCCCCTCATTGACAGCTACTGGTGACACATTTTCTGTAAATTTTGGTGCCTCTTCTTGTGGCTCCTCCCTCCCTAAATTAGTAATCAACAATAATCAGAGCAATTAAAAAAGGAGGTAGGACATTGTCAGTTCATAAGGACTATGATCCATGCTATCAAACATTGTGGTAGGACAGTGTCAGGTCATAAGGACTATGATCCATGCAGAGGCGTATCCAGGTTTTCGGTGTAGGGGGAGCGGAAATAGCAAAAAAAGGTGCCGAATTTGTAATATCTTCTATATAAGTATATATATATATATATATATATATATATATATATATATATATATATATATATATATATATATATATAAGCTGTATGTTATTGCTTCAATATGATGTAAAATAAATTTAAATTAGCACTCTGAAGAAATAAAAAAAACACACAATGTAGGCCGACGAAACAAAAAAAATGGTATCACTCTAAAAAAAAAAAAAAAATATGTATATAAACACACTACAACCAAAAACAATGAACGCTGCAAAATCTGTTTTGTAATGCTTGTAAAAAAAAAAATTACATAATAATTCCTGGGACATCTATTAAGACTAGCGAAAAGGGGAAATAATCAATATCTTAATATAAATATGTATATGTCTAAACATTTTATTATAAATATCAAAACAAATCAATAATTACTTTAGAATCTAATAAAGTAGCTTAACGCTATTCATTTTTACAAAAATATTTTGTCTACAATCAGAATTAAATATATTGTCATCATAAATGCTAAAGTACTACAGCATAGTGAAAGTTTTTTTTACATTAGATTTGGTATAAAAGCCTGCTTTATGTTGAAGTAAAACATTCTGAATAATAGCCTACGTATAACTAAAATATCGGTCTTACATTTCAAATCATGCACTTTTTAATTAGCTACTGACTTTTTGTGTTCTTTAAAGATAATTTTTTAAAATAATGAGAAGTTATGGGTTAGATCACTGTATTGCTCACACACCTTTTACTGGTAATTGCAAAAACAATATTCACAGAGATTTAGGTTTCAAATGTGCCGACAAAAGATAATTTTAACAAATATCAATGTTTAAAACTTTGAGTTTAAAAAGTTTCTAAAAAGGCGCCACTTTGCTTAAAATGGCCAGACGGGGAGCGGCAGCTCCCCCTGCTCCCCCCCTGCGTACGCTACTAGATCCATGCTATCAAACATGGAGGTAGGACAGGTCATAAGGACTATGATCCATGCTATCAAACATGGAGGTAGGACAGGTCATAAGGACTATGATCCATGCTATCAAACATGGAGGTAGGACAGGTCATAAGGACTATGATCCATGCTATCAAACATGGAGGTAGGACAGGTCATAAGGACTATGATCCATGCTATCAAACATGGAGGTAGGACAGGTCATAAGGACTATGATCCATGCTATCAAACATGGAGGTAGGACAGGTCATAAGGACTATGATCCATGCTATCAAACATGGAGGTAGGACAGGTCATAAGGACTATGATCCATGCTATCAAACATGGAGGTAGGACAGGTCATAAGGACTATGATCCATGCTATCAAACATGGAGGTAGGACAGGTCATAAGGACTATGATCCATGCTATCAAACATGGAGGTAGGACAGTGTCAGGTCATAAGGACTATGATCCATGCTATCAAACATGGAGGTAGGACAGTGTCAGGTCATAAGGACTATGATCCATGCTATCAAACATGGAGGTAGGACAGGTCATAAGGACTATGATCCATGCTATCAAACATGGAGGTAGGACAGGTCATAAGGACTATGATCCATGCTATCAAACATGGAGGTAGGACAGGTCATAAGGACTATGATCCATGCTATCAAACATGGAGGTAGGACAGGTCATAAGGACTATGATCCATGCTATCAAACATGGAGGTAGGACAGTGTTAGATCATAAGGACTATGATCCATGCTATGAAAGATACCAGGAAACTTACCATGAGAGAGGCTAGAAGAACTAGTCACTACAGCTGAGGAAACAAGGAAAACAGCTCATGCTTCTACCAGCCATCAGACATGCATCTAGGTCACTCTTACATCTTACACTCTATATCTTACACAAACTTAACTACACAGTAGAGTCAAGCAGATTTGAAGCTAAACTACACAGTAGAGTCAAGCAGATTTGAAGTTAAACTACACAGTAGAGTCAAGCAGATTTGAAGTTAAACTACACAGTAGAGTCAAGCAGATTTGAAGTTAAACTACACAGTAGAGTCAAGCAGATTTGAAGCTAAACTACACAGTAGAGTCAAGCAGATTTGAAGCTAAACTACACAGTAGAGTCAAGCAGATTTGTAGCTAAACTACACAGTAGAGTCAAGCAGATTTGAGGCTAAACTACACAGTAGAGATAAGCAGATTTACAAATTCTTACTTGACTTCCTGGAAGAATGTGAGCTGACCGCTTCAGTTACCTCCCCTCTTCGTCCTTTCTTGACACTGGAACTAGTTTCTTCATAGCTGGAAAACTCCTCCACATTGACGCCAGACTTTGTACGCCTCACTGTGCGTGATGTGTGGGAGCTCTCTGTGGTCTTCACACCTGTGCTCACTCGATCTGGCACAAGAAAGTCAATGGGTGTCTTAAGTCAGCTCAGTGGGTGTCTTAAGTCAGTGGGTGTCTTAAGTCAGCTTAGTGGGTGTCTTAAGTCAGCTCAGTGGGTGTCTTAAGTCAGCTCAGTGGGTGTCTTAAGTCAGCTCAGTGGGTGTCTTAAGTCAGCTCAGTGGGTGTCTTAAGTCAGCTCAGTGGGTGTCTTAAGTCAGCTCAGTGGGTGTCTGAAGTCAATGGGTGTCTTAAGTCAGCTCAGTGGGTGTCTTAAGTCAGCTCAGTGGGTGTCTTAAGTCAGCTCAGTGGGTGTCTTAAGTCAGCTCAGTGGGTGTCTTAAGTCAGCTCAGTGGGTGTCTGAAGTCAATGGGTGTCTTAAGTCAGCTCAGTGGTTGTCTTAAGTCAGCTCAGTGGGTGTCTTAAGTCAGTTTAGTGGGTGTCTTAAGTCAGCTCAGTGGTTGTCTTAAGTCAGCTCAGTGGGTGTCTTAAGTCAGCTAAGTGGGTGTCTTAAGTCAGCTCAGTGGGTGTCTTAAGTCAGCTTAGTGGGTGTCTTAAGTCAGCTCAGTGATTGTCTTAAGTCATGTGTTTTTCTATATGTTGATTGGAGTCTATATGTTGGGTGGAGTCTATATGCTGAGTGGAGTCTATATGTTGATTGGAGTCTATATGTTGATTGGAGTCTATATGTTGATTGGAGTCTATATGTTGAGTGGAGTCTATATGTTGAGTGGAGTCTATATGTTGAGTGGAGTCTATATGTTGGGTGGAGTCTATATGTTGAGAACCATAGGTTCCTTACCTTCAACAACAACTTTACAACTTGTCTCATGTTCCCCAAGTGGATTTGTTGCTATACAAGAGTATTTCCCAGAATCCTCTGGCTTAGCGTTGGAGATCTCCATTGTGCAGATACCAAAAGAGTAAGCGATAGAATAATGGTCGCCATCTTGAATTTCTCTCCCATCTTTGTACCACTGCACCTAAATTCATGATGTTAACATTCAGGTGTTAACAGTAGTGCTAATAATAGACTAATGTAGATGTTAACCTAATGTACCAAGAAGCCTATAGATTACAACAGTGAGACTAGGCTATAGATGTCAAATTTTTACCTTGGGTGCTGGATGAGCTAACCTAATGTACCAAGAAGCCTATAGATTACAACAGTGAGACTAGTGTTTACCTTGGGTGGTGGATGAGCTAACCTAATGTACCAAGCCTATAGATTACAACAGTGAGACTAGGCTATAGATGTCAAATTTTTACCTTGGGTGGTGGATGAGCTAACCTAATGTACCAAGCCTATAGATTACAACAGTGAGACAAATGTTTACCTTGGGTGCTGGATGAGCTAACCTAATGTACCAAGAAGCCTATAGATTACAACAGTGAGACTAGGCTATAGATGTCAAATGTTTACCTTGGGTGCTGGATGAGCTAACCTAATGTACCAAGCCTATAGATTACAACAGTGAGACTAGGCTATAGATGTCAAATTTTTACCTTGGGTGGTGGATGAGCTAACCTAATGTACCAAGCCTATAGATTACAACAGTGAGACAAATGTTTACCTTGGGTGCTGGATGAGCTAACCTAATGTACCAAGAAGCCTATAGATTACAACAGTGAGACAAGTGTTTACCTTGGGTGGTGGATGAGCTAACCTAATGTACCAAGCCTATAGATTACAACAGTGAGACTAGTGTTTACCTTGGGTGCTGGATGAGCTAACCTAATGTACCAAGAAGCCTATAGATTACAACAGTGAGACAAATGTTTACCTTGGGTGCTGGATGAGCTAACCTAATGTACCAAGCCTATAGATTACAACAGTGAGACAAATGTTTACCTTGGGTGCTGGATGAGCTAACCTAATGTACCAAGAAGCCTATAGATTACAACAGTGAGACTAGGCTATAGATGTCAAATGTTTACCTTGGGTGCTGGATGAGCTAACCTAATGTACCAAGCCTATAGATTACAACAGTGAGACTAGGCTATAGATGTCAAATTTTTACCTTGGGTGCTGGATGAGCTAACCTAATGTACCAAGAAGCCTATAGATTACAAAAGTGAGACAAATGTTTACCTTGGGTGGTGGATGAGCTTGCACACAACAAATAAGTTTAAACTCAGAATGGGCTTGGATAATTCGGGGTCGAAGGTCAAAGTTAAAATTTGGTACTTTGTCTTCAATGGGTTTTTCAAATTCTTTTTCTTCAAATACACGTTTCCTATTGAATAATGCAAAGCACAAAACTTAAGAGTTTTTTTTTAAATTGTCTTCTAATATAAAATGTATTATAGTAAAAGTTATAAGGCAACATTTGAAAAAATTGTCTTTAAATGGTTAAAAAGATCTATTTTGCTAGTAATTTTATGGCAGAAGTTTCCAGTTGGCTTGAAGGAAACATTTGACACTTGAATTTGTATGTTGATATCCAAAAGATTAAAATACTAATATACAAACAGAACAGTTCACCCTCATTTGATTATTTAAATTTTTATAAATTAATATTTATTAATATTGAAACAAAAAATGTTTTAAAATTACTTTCTCATAGGAGTTGTCTCCCTGCTAGGTGCTGAGGGCTTCTCAATACCAGCTGAAAGAAAGAAAAAATTTCAGTGTGGGAAGATTTCAATGTGGGAAGATTTCAGTGTGGGAAGATTTCAGTGTGGGAAGATTACTTTGAGGTTTGCCCTTCAACCAAGAAATGTCAACTCACGTTCTACTTTAAGATTTGCCCTTCAACCAAGAAATGTCAACTCACGTTCTACTTTAAGATTTGCCCTTTCTTCCTTGCGGCCAAAGGAGTTCTCAGCTCTGACGATGTACTCGCCCTTGTCATCCATCTTAATCCTGGAGATCTTGAGCTCATACTCCAGGCCCATGTATTTCTGCATGTGTTTATAGCTCTGGCCCAGCACACTATCGTCTTTGTACCTGGACAACATTGACAAACTCAGACATTGTTTACCAACAACACAATCTTTGTACCTGGACAACATTGACAAACTCAGACATTGTTTACCAACAACACAATCTTCTAGACAACATTGACAAACTCAGACATTGTTTACCAACAACACAATCTTTGTACCTGGACAACATTGACAAACTCAGACATTGTTTACCAACAACACAATCTTCTAGACAACATTGACAAACTCAGACATTGTTTACCAACAACACAATCTTTTTCAGCACTTTTGTATACATTATCCAGACGGTATATAGAAAACAAGTTTAGAATTCATCTTGTTGATAATAGTCAAGTGATACCATGAAACTGTGTCAAGGCTATGGTCAAGTGATGTCAAGGTTATGTGATTGTCAAGGTCATTTGATTTATCAAGGTCATGGGTTCAAAAGGAAACAGAAATGTAGCCTAAATGTAACACATTGGGTTTCAAGTTATCTGACTTGAAAGGTTTTTAAAAACTTGAATTGAAAGGTTTTTAAAAACTTGAAATGAAAGGTTTTTAAAAACTTGAAAGGTTTTTAAAAGCTTGAATTGAAAGGTTTTTAAAAGCTTGAATTGAAAGGTTTTTAAAAGCTTGAATTGAAAACTTTAAAAAAGTGATAGGCAACTTAGTGCAAGCCTTTACAGAAGAATGGAGCACAGTCCATGTCACCATGGCAACAGTAATAGACTGGTCTATGTAGCTATACACAGATGTAGACATTAGACAATACACAGATGAAGACATTAGACAATACACAGATGAAGACATTTAATGGGTAACACAAACAGAACAGCTTGGGCCGAGTTTAAATCCAATGGACACCAGGGAGAAAAGTCTCAAAGGTATTTGAGAGGTCCATAAATTAATTTAAAAATCTTGCACGGCGTAGTTACAATTAATATGGTTATAAAATCCTGCCTATCTGTTTTTTTTTCGGACTTTACTAAAGATTGGATGTATCTGATGTTTTTAATATTTTCGGTAACTAAATAAAAAAAAAAAAAGCAAAAACAATTTGGTTTTCACGTGTAATGGCGACATAAACAATGGCATCCTGCTATTGGATAGGCCGACATAAATTTTATTGTACACATTGTAAGCTAAAAATAGAAAAACTAGGTCATGGGTTTTAAATTTGCATTGTTATTTAAAAACTTGATCTGCATAGTTTTGTAAACAAAATAACTATAAAGTGGGGCTGTCAGAAATCGATCACAGAGTTCCTTTACAGCCAATCAATGTTTGTCTAACGAAAGTGAAACATCGGATTAGATGAAAATAAATAGAAATGTAGCCTTAAACTCAACAAATTATTTTCAAGTTCGCTGGATCTGTAACTTGTATAGCATTGATTCTAAAAATATTAAATTTCTGAATTAATTTTAGGCTTAAGTTCAGGGTTCGTACTGCTTTTTGAAAATGAAATTCCAGACTTTTTCCAGACTTTTTTGGAAAAATTCCAGACTTTAGACAGATAATGTGTTAGCGAATAATTTTTTAAAATGATGCACTATTTGTACTGTCATTATAATTACTTATATACTAAATTGACATTTATTTTAGGCAATTGAGCTATATTCATAGTGAACTTTCTCTAGCCAAATTGACAAAAAAACATTTTTTCTTAGTTTGCCTACTCCACCCTACCTAAAATTTTAACAATTAAAATAATTGATTAAAATGATGCAACTATTTTGTTTCCAACATTAGACTTATGTAATCTGTTCCTGATCTAATTGCTTATGTTTTCAATTAAACTATCATTAAAAATAAAATGGTATTGCATAATAGAGAGACTTAATTACTTTAAAGAATAATAATGTAATGTATTAATTTAGGTCTGCTCTTGTTAAGTAGCCTATAGGCTACTTGTAAAAAAAAAAATGTGGAGCCAAAAAAACAAAAAAAAAAACACATCATTCACTGTTTGTGCTTATAGTAATAGCTGAGAAACGGGTCTACAATAAAAAAAAATTGCCGGTATCCTCCCCCCCCCCCCCCCCCCCCCCCACAGACATGGTGAAGCGGTCACTGTGAGGTCATAGTGGTATAGACTTCAGTATAACATGAACTGTGCTGTGACTTATACCCCCTCCCTACTTACCAAGCAGTACCAACTACCAACTTGGGGTCACAGTGAGTTCACACAAGTGACCGATGTTGCAAGGAAGGAGGGGCGGGGTAGTCTAACTTTAATTGTCAGCATTTGCAAAGATATCAAAAATAGTTTAATGGAAGGTGAATTAAAATTAAAGGGGTCATCCATTTATGACGTACACATGGAGGGGGGAAGGGGTCGGACGATTTTGTGATTACATTCTAAAACAAACATAAAACGTGTATCTTGCGAGTAGAAAGTAAAATTAAGACGACTGTGCTGGTGTTTTAAAAACCATCACAGCGTGTAAATAAAACACGGTATTTATATCTGCCCCAACATTATTGCAAGAACGTGTCGTCACACTTTATAAAACCCTCCTCCTGACTTTCCGGAGTGTGACGTCATTTATGGACGACTCCCAAATAAAAAAATAGTACCTCTTTGTTAAGCTGAAGCAAACAGAAATACAGGTATGAACCCAAGGAGGCCTTGCAACTTAATAATCTTATAAATGTTAATATTAATCCAAAGTAAGTGAACGCGTGTGGACAGAGGGCGGGGGGGGGGGGGGGGGGGGGGGGGGAGGAGGAGTGGGGAAAGGGGAGGGTCTAAAATCGGAAAAATTGTTGTAAGTCATAAACGTATGACGCCTTACAGACTGATACATTATATCTAAACTACCACTCACACATCTCCCCCATAACTTTTGTTAACGATGAAAAAATAGCGGGTAAAATCGAGAGCCTAACAATCATGACGGCGATCATTCTTTCATTAAATGACAATTGTACGTACTTGTAACACATTCACACGGTTAGTCGTGCCACAAAATATCTCTTCCCTCCCTTCCCCTCTTCTCCCAATGACGTAGTAACTGAGCAGCCGTCTTTTTTCTGCAAACCAGCGGAAAAAACGTCACAGCACAGTGTAAACCCGCCGCGCGGGGAAAAAAAATTGGAGTAAATTCACTTTAAAAAAAAACATTTTTTTTTTTAGTTGGAAAATATGGACTACGAAGTTTTGTTTCTAAAACTAGATTCCAGACTTTTTCCAGACTTTTAAAAAATCCTGCCCAAAAACTAGCGATTTTCCAGACTTTTTTAAGTCTTAAATTCACTTTTCTAAATTCAAGACGTTTTCCAGACTTTCCAGACTGCGTACGAACCCTGTAAGTTTTTAATAAAATTTTATCTTTTATTATTTTTATGGTCCTAAACCTAAAAAAGCACTTTTTTATTCTATGTCAACAACATTACGAAAGGATTTTCGTCAACTCACTGGTGTCTATTATTCTCAAGCAGGAAATACAAACTAGAAAAATCAGCAGCATTGACGATATGCTTCAAATGATCTGAATATTGTTTTAGAACAAACTTCATTTGAACTCAGTGCATAAGGTCCCTGTCTGAACTCATAAGGTGCCTGTCTGAACTCATAAGGTCCCTGTCTGAACTCATAAGGTCCCTGTCTGAACTCATAAGGTCCCTGTCTGAACTCATAAGGTACCTGTCTGAACTCATAAGGTCCCTGTCTGAACTCAGTGCATAAGGTCCCTGTCTGAACTCAGTGCATAAGGTCCCTGTCTGAACTCAGTGCATAAGGTCCCTGTCTGAACTCAGTGCATAAGGTCCCTGTCTGAACTCATAAGTTCCCTGTCTGAACTCATAAGGTCCCTGTCTGAACTCATAAGGTCCCTGTCTGAACTCATAAGGTCCCTGTCTGAACTCCTAAGGTCCCTGTCTGAACTCATAAGTTCCCGGTCTGAACTCATAAGGTCCCTGTCTGAACTCATAAGGTCCCTGTCTGAACTCATAAGGTCCCTGTCTGAACTCATAAGGTCCCTGTCTGAACTCATAAGGTCCCTGTCTGAACTCATAAGGTCCCTGTCTGAACTCAGTGCATAAGGTCCCTGGACAAACAGTTCTATATAGTCAGTTAAAACTGAATGGAACATTTGGCTGGCAGGATGAAAGGTAACAAGCAGGTACTACTAACCAGGTGACGATGGGAGGTGAAGCTGCAACAATCTTACAGTCAAACTTGGCTGTCTGGCCCTCCGCTGAAACTTGGTTACGAGGTTTGCGAACAAATCTCGGCACAGCTTCCTTGCGGTCTGACATATAAAACACATTCAATAAACATTTCTAAAAGTGGAACTCACACACTGAAACCAGTTATAAAAATACACAAACACACTCAATTATACAAACACTCACTCAATTATACAAACACTCACTCAATCATACAAACACTCACTCAATCATACAAACACTCACTCAATCATACGAACACTCACTCAATCATACGAACACTCACTGACACTAGTTATATAAAGACACAAATGTTTTTTGATGGGATTAGAACTGACCAAAGTAGGAATCATATATTTTGTATGGGGTTGGATTAAAACTGACCTAAGTAGGAATCATATATTTTGTATGGGGTAGGATTAAAACTGACCAAAGTAGGAATCATATATTTTGTATGGGGTTGGATTAAAACTGACCAAAGTAGGAATCATATATTTGGTATTCTTGTGGCCGATGTTTGCGCAGTGAGCTGAAGTTGGCAATACGACCAATGGCTGGTTGTGGGGCTGGCCAGTCAGCCTAGTGGAGCAAAGAAATTCATCAGCAAACCCAGGGCTAGAACAAAATATTGATCTCAAACATTAATTAAACTTCCATTTGAAATGGCTACAAGAAAATATTGATCTCAAACATTAATTAAACTTCCATTTGAAATGGCTACAAGAAAATATTGATCTCAAACATTAATTAAACTTCCATTTGAAATGGCTACAAGAAAATATTGATCTCAAACATTAATTAAACTTCCATTTGAAATGGCTACAAGAAAATATTGATCTCAAACATTAATTAAACTTCCATTTGAAATGGCTACAAGAAAATATTGATCTCAAACATTAATTAAACTTCCATTTGAAATGGCTACAAGAAAATATTGATCTCAAACATTAATTAAACTTCCATTTGAAATGGCTACAAGAAAATATTGATCTCAAACATTAATTAAACTTCCATTTGAAATGGCTACAAGAAAATATTGATCTCAAACATTAATTAAACTTCCATTTGAAATGGCTACAAGAAAATATTGATCTCAAACATTAATTAAACTTCCATTTGAAATGGCTACAAGAAAATATTGATCTCAAACATTAATTAAACTTCCATTTGAAATGGCTACAAGAAAATATTGATCTCAAACATTAATTAAACTTCCATTTGAAATGGCTACAAGAAAATATTGATCTCAAACATTAATTAAACTTCCATTTGAAATGGCTACAAGAAAATATTGATCTCAAACATTAATTAAACTTCCATTTGAAATGGCTACAAGAAAATATTGATCTCAAACATTAATTAAACTTCCATTTGAAATGGCTACAAGAAAATATTGATCTCAAACATTAATTAAACTTCCATTTGAAATGGCTACAAGAAAATATTGATCTCAAACATTAATTAAACTTCCATTTGAAATGGCTACAAGAAAATATTGATCTCAAACATTAATTAAACTTCCATTTGAAATGGCTACAAGAAAATATTGATCTCAAACATTAATTAAACTTCCATTTGAAATGGCTACAAGAAAATATTGATCTCAAACATTAATTAAACTTCCATTTGAAATGGCTACAAGAAAATATTGATCTCAAACATTAATTAAACTTCCATTTGAAATGGCTAGAACATGGGCTACAGTAAGGACTGCCATTTGATGACCACAGAAATGACCATACAATTTAAAATGACCACAGAAATGACCACACCATCTAAAATGACCACAGAAATGACCACACCATCTAAAATGACCACAGAAATGACATACAATCTAAGATGACCACAGAAATGACATACAATATAAAATGACCACATAAATGACCATACAATCTGTATGAAGACAAAAATGACTGAAAGAAAGACTGCAGTAGACTTACATATTTTTCTTGAATCTGTTGTCTGATCCTGCTGTATCACTTACATATTTTTCTTGAATCTGTTGTCTGATCCTGCTGTATCACTTACATATTTTTCTTGAATCTGTTGTCTGATCCTGCTGTATCACTTACATATTTTTCTTGAATCTTTTGTCTGATCCTGCTGTATCACTTACATATTTTTCTTGAATCTGTTGTCTGATCCTGCTGTATCACTTACATATTTTTCTTGAATCTTTTGTCTGATCCTGCTGTATCACTTACATATTTTTCTTGAATCTTTTGTCTGATCCTGCTGTATCACTTACATATTTTTCTTGAATCTTTTGTCTGATCCTGCTGTATCACTTACATATTTTTCTTGAATCTTTTGTCTGATCCTGCTGTATCGGCTGGATGGGATACGGCTGGTCAGGTTGCTGTGATCTCCCTATAACAATAAAATCTGATATCAAGAATACTATCTGATATCAAGAATAGTATCTGATATCAAGAATACTATCTGATATCAAGAATAGCATCTGATATCAAGAATAGCATCTGATATCAAGAATAGCATCTGATATCAAGAATAGTATCTGATATCAAGAATAGTATCTGATATCAAGAATAGTATCTGATATCAAGAATAGTATCTGATATCAAGAATAGTATCTGCTATCATGAATAGTATCTGATATCAGACAGAGGGAGGCAGGCATAGAGAGAGGCAGACATTGAGAAGCAGACATTGAGAGAGGCAGACATAGAGAGAGAGACATAGAGAGGCAGACAGAGAGAGAGACATAGAGAGGTAGACATAGAGAGACAGACATTGAGAGAGAAACATAGAGAGGCAGACATAGAGAGAGGCAGACATTGAGAGAGCCATAGAGAGGTAGACATAGAGAGAGACATAGAGAGGCAGACATAGAGTTTGATGTACCTGAAGCCAAGCATGCTCTAGAGCTTCATGGACTGTCAATCTTCTCCTGAAATACACAAAATAGTTGCTTGATCTGACAAATACATGTGTCCCAATGATCTGACCTATACATGTGTCCCAATGATCTGACAAATACATGTGTCCCAATGATCTGACAAATACATGTGTCCCAATGATCTGACCTATACATGTGTCCCAATGATCTGACTACAAATACATGTGTCCCAATGATCTGACAAATACATGTGTCCCAATGATCTGACTATAAATACAGATGTCGCAAAGAGGGTGAAAAAAACAAAAACTCACTTGGGCTCTTTCTGTAGCAAGTTTTTGATGAAATCTTTGGCTTCAGGAGAAACAGAAGAGAAGGCTTCTTCGTCAAAGTCCCAGTCACAGCGTTTGACATTTTGTAAGGTCTCTAGGTCATCTTCTCCAGCAAACGGGGACAAGCCACTCAATCTATAGACACAGTTCTTTTAGACATTATTTATTCAGGGCGAGGAGGGGTGGGTGGTGAACCAAACTTAAACAATATATTTCCTAAATAAATTATTTCTTCTACTTTATCCAGGTGGGTGGGGGGAGCATGTGGAGAGATTTGATGCAGATGACAAGCTGAGAGCATCAGGAGTTGAGCTCCTAACTTACAGCACATAGGCCAGGACACCAATAGCCCACATGTCTGTGTAGAATCCAACAGGTTCCCTGTCCACTATCTCAGGAGAGGCAAACTCAGCTGTAGCTGTTGTCACCTTGACGATCTCATCGGGGTTGAGCTTGGTGGCCAAACCAAAGTCAATGATCTTCACACTGTTGGCTTTCTTTGTTTCACACATGATGTTCTCTGGCTATACAAAAAAACAGGACACATGGGTTTACAACTTGCTTCACACTTGCCATTGGTATGGACCTGTACAGTTGACTGAGTGTATGAGACTCATTAGGGAAGTTCAGAAGTACTTATCAAGTTTATACTGACTGAATTGGCCTCAATTTGTATCTGTAAATTGATTGGCTCTATCCGCTTGATACTTCAGCCAGTTCTAGCATGCCTAGCTTAAGCATCACACAAGCCAAAAATGCCAAATAAGAGAGATTGAGAGAGAGAGAGAGAGATTCTCTTAATTGGTCCAATGTTTTACATGATGTCTTACTAGAGAGGCAGATGGGGGAGGGCTAATAGATTGGAGAAAATTATTTTGAAGCTGCCTTAAATTTTAGATTCCAAATGTCTAAAATGGATTTCAAATGGCAGTAAAAAACTTGTGTTTAATTGTGTTTAGGAAGCTTCTAATGACCTTAAGTCCAGGTGTACTATGCTAATGACCTTAATGTCCAGGTGTACTATGCTAATGACCTTAATGTCCAGGTGTACTATGCTAATGACCTTAAGTCCAGGTGTACTATGCTAATGACCTTAAGCCCAGGTGTACTAAGCTAATGACCTTAATGTCAGGTGTACTATGCTAATGACCTTAAGTCCAGGTGTACTAAGCTAATGACCTTAATGTCCAGGTGTACTATGCTAATGACCTTAAGTCCAGGTGTACTATGCTAATGACCGTAATGTCCAGGTGTACTATGCTAATGACCTTAATGTCAGGTGTACTAAGCTAATGACCTTAATGTCCAGGTGTACTATGCTAACGACCTTAATGTCCAGGTGTACTATGCTAATGACCTTAATGTCCAGGTGTACTATGCTAATGACCTTAATGTCAAGGTGTACTATGCTAATGACCTAAGTCCAGGTGTACTAAGCTAATGACCTTAATGTCCAGGTGTACTATGCTAATGACCTTAATGTCAGGTGTACTATGCTAATGACCTTAATGTCCAGGTGTACTATGCTAATGACCTTAATGTCCAGGTGTACTATGCTAATGACCTTAAGCCCAGGTGTACTATGCTAATGACCTTAAGTCCATGTGTACTATGCTAATGACCTTAAGTCCAGGTGTACTAAGCTAATGACCTTAATGTCCAGGTGTACTATGCTAATGACCTTAAGTCCATGTGTACTATGCTAATGACCTTAATGTCCAGGTGTACTATGCTAATGACCTTAATGTCAGGTGTACTATGCTAATGACCTTAAGTCCAGGTGTACTAAGCTAATGACCTTAATGTCCAGGTGTACTATGCTAATGACCTTAAGTCCATGTGTACTATGCTAATGACCTTAATGTCCAGGTGTACTATGCTAATGACCTTAATGTCCAGGTGTACTATGCTAATGACCTTAAGCCCAGGTGTACTAAGCTAATGACCTTAATGTCCAGGTGTACTATGCTAATGACCTTAAGTCCAGGTGTACTATGCTAATGACCTTAATGTCCAGGTGTACTAAGCTAATGACCTTAATGTCCAGGTGTACTATGCTAATGACCTTAATGTCCAGGTGTACTATGCTAATGACCTTAATGTCAAGGTGTACTATGCTAATGACCTTAAGTCCAGGTGTACTAAGCTAATGACCTTAATGTCCAGGTGTACTATGCTAATGACCTTAATGTCCAGGTGTACTATGCTAATGACCTTAATGTCCAGGTGTACTATGCTAATGACCTTAAGTCCAGGTGTACTAAGCTAATGACTTTAATGTCCAGGTGTACTATGCTAATGACCTTAATGTCCAGGTGTACTATGCTAATGACCTTAAGCCCAGGTGTACTATGCTAATGACCTTAATGTCCAGTTGTACTATGCTAATGACTTTAATGTCCAGGTGTACTATGCTAATGACCTTAATGTCCAGGTGTACTATGCTAATGACCTTAATGTCAGGTGTACTATGCTAATGACCTTAATGTCAGGTGTACTATGCTAATGACCTTAATGTCAGGTGTACTATGCTAATGACCTTAATGTCCAGGTGTACTATGCTGTGCTCATGCATGTGCTTGAGGCCTTCACAAGCCTGGCGCATGTAGTTGATGACTTCAGCCTCGGACATTTTGTAATCCTCAGCGGCTATTCTGTCAAACAGCTCCCCACCAGATAAGCTGAAATAGAACAAGAATACAACAACATCAACACAACATCAACACAACACAACATCAGCACAACATTAACACAACATCAGCACAACATCAACACAGTACAACATCAGCACAACATCAACAAAACATCAGCACAACATCAACACAGTACAACATTAACACAACATCAGCACAACATCAACACAACATAAACGCAACATAAACACAACACAACATCAGCACAACACAACACAACATCAGCACAACACAACACAACATCAGCACAACATAAACACAACACAACATCAGCACAACATCAGCACAACATCAACACAACACAACATCAGCACAACACAACAACAACACAACATCAGCACAACATCAGAACAACATCTACACAACACAGTAGCGTAGCGAGGGGGGGGGTGTGTGTACATATGTCCCTGAGCGCCGACCTTAGGGGGCGCCAAAATGGGTTGGAAAAATAAATTGAAAGGTTGAGGGGGGTGCAAATTGAAAGTTTGAGGGGGGTGCCGGGAAGTGTCGCTACGCCTCTGACACAACATCAGCACACTCCTATGAGGCACTAATTATAATAGTAGTAGTACTCCACTTTGCTGCAGCCATTCCTATGAGGCGCGTTCCCCCTTTTTTATTTGTGTTCAACTAAATGGTAATAAATAATTCTTTTATAAATTATGAAATATATTGTCCATACGACTGGTTTTACAAATGTATTTTTTTTGTTGATGAGAATTTATTTATTGTAAAACCAACCCTATAACTAGGTTATATTATATAGAGTAGTGCCCCTATCATAGTACCTGGGGGGGGGGGGGGGGGGGGGAGGAAGAAAGGTAAGTTGTTGCATGACCTTCTTTTTTTGGTACCATCATCATGGTAATTATGCTGGGCCGCAGAAAACGATACTGTGATTCTGATTTTTAAAAATGTTTGATGGTCATTTCAGAAATATATACTAATAATCGTTATTTTTTCATACTATCCAATGATATCGATCTAATTTTAACAATGGACTAGTGTTTGATGCAAACCTGCCATTTGTACATTTTTTTTTATCTAATCGCTGAGAATATCGAGCAGAAATATAATAAAAGTAACCAAGACCTGAATTGCTTTATTTAATATTGTTGTAAACTTACTCAAAAATAGATAAACTATAGAAAATTATATATTGCATCCTACTAAAATAATTTCATAAAGTTTTTAAAAAGCATGCAGGATAAAAACAAAACCTTCAAAAAATAACCTGATCGAGACAACAGCTAACTAACCCGCCCATTTTCCCCGCCGTGTATTTGATTGGGAGAAATCCAGCAGATGACACATTTCTGCTGAACGGTGATGAACTGTCAATCGCGTCACAACAACTTTCCTTAAAAACTAACCCACTGTATCACTGAGTTTCAACCATATCATCATAGCCATTTAAAAACAAACGCGTTTTTCACAAATCATTTTGTAGGCTACCAATTAAATTTGATGAATAAAATTGGTATGAAATTAAAGGTAAGTAAATGTAGTTTTTAATTGTTTAAGTCATCTTCAACAATAATGAAGTTTAAAATCTTAGGCGACACCCTAGTTAAAGGTTAACAAGAGATAAAAGATGGTTTAAAATCTTAGGTGACACCCTAGTTAAATGTTAACAAGTCACCCTAGTTAAAGGTTAACAAACTACCCTAGTTAAAGGTTAACAAGACACCCAAGTTAAAGGTTAACAAGAGATAAAAGGTGGAATTTGTTTACTTACAATTCAAGAATGAGCACCATTTCATATTTGTCTTCAAAAGCATCATGGAGGTTGATGAGCTTAGGGTGGTGTAGTTGGTTCATGATGGAGATCTCATTCTTCACTGTGTACTTGTCCAGGGGGTAGGGCGTGTTGATGAATTTGGCCACAAACACCCTGCCAGTGGCTTTCTCAATACAACGGTGTACCACACCAAAAGCGCCACTGAAATCAAGAGCAAAGGGTTTTCTATTATTCTGGTTTGAGTGTACCACACCAAAAGCGCCACTGAAATCAAGAGCAAAGGGTTTTCTATTATTCTGGTTTGAGTGTACCACACCAAAAGCGCCACTGAAATCAAGAGCAAAGGGTTTTCTATTATTCTGGTTTGAGTGTGTCTCCTATAGCAAACCTGGACCAGCAGGGCATTAACAAGCAAGACAGTTTATACACTTATCTCTTAACTGTCTTAAGTACAAGCAAGACAGTTTATACACTTATCTCTTAACTGTCTTAAGTACAAGCAAGACAGTTTATACACTTATCTCTTAACTGTCTTAAGTACAAGCAAGACAGTTTATACACTTATCTCTTAACTGTCTTAAGTACAAGCAAGACAGTTTATACACTTATCTCTTAACTGTCTTAAGTACAAGCAAGACAGTTTATACACTTATCTCTTAACTGTCTTAAGTACAAGCAAGACAGTTTATACACTTATCTCTTAACTGTCTTAAGTACAAGCAAGACAGTTTATACACTTATCTCTTAACTTTCTTAAGTACCCAAATATGCTCAAGATTTGTCTGAAATGTTACTTTCAAATGTGGCCAAAAGTGCAATTATTTCCAGGTAGTGAGTAAGTCTTGCTGGTAACATTATTTTGAGAATACTGACCAAAGAGGAATATTTTAAATTTTTTAAAATGTTTCTTTCACTGTTTTGTTAATAATAATTGATATTTAAGATCTATTTTCTAAAAAGTCTCTGGCAATCTAATTAGTGAAAGTAATACTACTTAAAATTGTTCCGTGGTAAATCTGGCTAATAAAGTGATATCAAAATACAATGTAATTCCAGAGACTATGATGAAGTTTTGTTCTTTTAATTTCTAATTACATTTTTCATTAAAATTAATAATAAAAGATTGTTTTTTTTCTATGGATTTTATCAACTATTTATTTGTAAATTATTAAGCAGCTAGAGTCAGACATAATAAAGTAGGCTACTTTCCATTTTAAAGCTTTTGTTGAGATATGTTAATGTGTGTGGATCAATTTAAAACTTACATCTAATTTTTTTCTCCCCCCCCCCCCCCCCCTCAGGCATGTAATTTAAGATGGTTTACTTATATATAGATCTAACACAAAACGTCTACTGTGTTTCTATATGTTTGTGGATAACATGTACATAGTAAAAAACCTAACTTGATCGAGATTGTGTAATATTTTTAAAGTATTCATTTTTGTACTTAAATCTAAATTAATAATTAAAAAACTCAATATTGAATATTTTCAAACTTAATTTTCAATTTAGTTTATTATTTTAGTTCATGTAATTAAGCTACATGTTTTACTCTTTGCAAAAATTCTAATTGTGGTTGAAAAAAGTATACAAATTACACCCCTTTGTACCAACTGCTTTCCTTGATAGATGACTAAAAAAAAACCCAGACACAAAAATTTACTTTTTAAAAAGTTTGTTTTGATGTTGGAGAAAAAACAACAATAATCTGATTAGCATGGATTGGTGCAATGTGGTAGGTAAAACATGGCTGATTAGCATGGATTGGTGCAATGTGGTAGGTAAAACATGGCTGATTAGCATGGATTGGTGCAATGTGGTAGGTAAAACATGGCTGATTAGCATGGATTGGTGCAATGTGGTAGGTAAAACATGGCTGATTAGCATGGATTGGTGCAATGTGGTAGGTAAAACATGGCTGATTAGCATGGATTGGTGCAATGTGGTAGGTAAAACATGGCTGATTAGCATGGATTGGTGCAATGTGGTAGGTAAAACATGGCTGATTAGCATGGATTGGTGCAATGTGGTAGGTAAAACATGGCTGATTAGCATGGATTGGTGCAATGTGGTAGGTAAAACATGGCTGATTAGCATGGATTGGTGCAATGTGGTAGGTAAAACATGGCTGATTAGCATGGATTGGTGCAATGTGGTAGGTAAAACATGGCTGATTAGCATGGATTGGTGCAATGTGGTAGGTAAAACATGGCTGATTAGCATGGATTGGTGCAATGTGGTAGGTAAAACATGGCTGATTAGCATGGATTGGTGCAATGTGGTAGGTAAAACATGGCTGATTAGCATGGATTGGTGCAATGTGGTAGGTAAAACATGGCTGATTAGCATGGATTGGTGCAATGTGGTAGGTAAAACATGGCTGATTAGCATGGATTGGTGCAATGTGGTAGGTAAAACATGGCTGATTAGCATGGATTGGTGCAATGTGGTAGGTAAAACATGGCTGATTAGCATGGATTGGTGCAATGTGGTAGGTAAAACATGGCTGATTAGCATGGATTGGTGCAATGTGGTAGGTAAAACATGGCTGATTAGCATGGATTGGTGCAATGTGGTAGGTAAAACATGGCTGATTAGCATGGATTGGTGCAATGTGGTAGGTAAAACATGGCTGATTAGCATGGATTGGTGCAATGTGGTAGGTAAAACATGGCTGATTAGCATGGATTGGTGCAATGTGGTAGGTAAAACATGGCTGATTAGCATGGATTGGTGCAATGTGGTAGGTAAAACATGGCTGATTAGCATGGATTGGTGCAATGTGGTAGGTAAAACATGGCTGATTAGCATGGATTGGTGCAATGTGGTAGGTAAAACATGGCTGATTAGCATGGATTGGTGCAATGTGGTAGGTAAAACATGGCTGATTAGCATGGATTGGTGCAATGTGGTAGGTAAAACATGGCTGATTAGCATGGATTGGTGCAATGTGGTAGGTAAAACATGGCTGATTAGCATGGATTGGTGCAATGTGGTAGGTAAAACATGGCTGATTAGCATGGATTGGTGCAATGTGGTAGGTAAAACATGGCTGATTAGCATGGATTGGTGCAATGTGGTAGGTAAAACATGGCTGATTAGCATGGATTGGTGCAATGTGGTAGGTAAAACATGGCTGATTAGCATGGATTGGTGCAATGTGGTAGGTAAAACATGGCTGATTAGCATGGATTGGTGCAATGTGGTAGGTAAAACATGGCTGATTAGCATGGATTGGTGCAATGTGGTAGGTAAAACATGGCTGATTAGCATGGATTGGTGCAATGTGGTAGGTAAAACATGGCTGATTAGCATGGATTGGTGCAATGTGGTAGGTAAAACATGGCTGATTAGCATGGATTGGTGCAATGTGGTAGGTAAAACATGGCTGATTAGCATGGATTGGTGCAATGTGGTAGGTAAAACATGGCTGATTAGCATGGATTGGTGCAATGTGGTAGGTAAAACATGGCTGATTAGCATGGATTGGTGCAATGTGGTAGGTAAAACATGGCTGATTAGCATGGATTGGTGCAATGTGGTAGGTAAAACATGGCTGATTAGCATGGATTGGTGCAATGTGGTAGGTAAAACATGGCTGATTAGCATGGATTGGTGCAATGTGGTAGGTAAAACATGGCTGATTAGCATGGATTGGTGCAATGTGGTAGGTAAAACATGGCTGATTAGCATGGATTGGTGCAATGTGGTAGGTAAAACATGGCTGATTAGCATGGATTGGTGCAATGTGGTAGGTAAAACATGGCTGATTAGCATGGATTGGTGCAATGTGGTAGGTAAAACATGGCTGATTAGCATGGATTGGTGCAATGTGGTAGGTAAAACATGGCTGATTAGCATGGATTGGTGCAATGTGGTAGGTAAAACATGGCTGATTAGCATGGATTGGTGCAATGTGGTAGGTAAAACATGGCTGATTAGCATGGATTGGTGCAATGTGGTAGGTAAAACATGGCTGATTAGCATGGATTGGTGCAATGTGGTAGGTAAAACATGGCTGATTAGCATGGATTGGTGCAATGTGGTAGGTAAAACATGGCTGATTAGCATGGATTGGTGCAATGTGGTAGGTAAAACATGGCTGATTAGCATGGATTGGTGCAATGTGGTAGGTAAAACATGGCTGATTAGCATGGATTGGTGCAATGTGGTAGGTAAAACATGGCTGATTAGCATGGATTGGTGCAATGTGGTAGGTAAAACATGGCTGATTAGCATGGATTGGTGCAATGTGGTAGGTAAAACATGGCTGATTAGCATGGATTGGTGCAATGTGGTAGGTAAAACATGGCTGATTAGCATGGATTGGTGCAATGTGGTAGGTAAAACATGGCTGATTAGCATGGATTGGTGCAATGTGGTAGGTAAAACATGGCTGATTAGCATGGATTGGTGCAATGTGGTAGGTAAAACATGGCTGATTAGCATGGATTGGTGCAATGTGGTAGGTAAAACATGGCTGATTAGCATGGATTGGTGCAATGTGGTAGGTAAAACATGGCTGATTAGCATGGATTGGTGCAATGTGGTAGGTAAAACATGGCTGATTAGCATGGATTGGTGCAATGTGGTAGGTAAAACATGGCTGATTAGCATGGATTGGTGCAATGTGGTAGGTAAAACATGGCTGATTAGCATGGATTGGTGCAATGTGGTAGGTAAAACATGGCTGATTAGCATGGATTGGTGCAATGTGGTAGGTAAAACATGGCTGATTAGCATGGATTGGTGCAATGTGGTAGGTAAAACATGGCTGATTAGCATGGATTGGTGCAATGTGGTAGGTAAAACATGGCTGATTAGCATGGATAGGTGCAATGTGGTAGGTAAAACATGGCTGATTAGCATGGATTGGTGCAATGTGGTAGGTAAAACATGGCTGATTAGCATGGATTGGTGCAATGTGGTAGGTAAAACATGGCTGATTAGCATGGATTGGTGCAATGTGGTAGGTAAAACATGGCTGATTAGCATGGATTGGTGCAATGTGGTAGGTAAAACATGGCTGATTAGCATGGATTGGTGCAATGTGGTAGGTAAAACATGGCTGATTAGCATGGATTGGTGCAATGTGGTAGGTAAAACATGGCTGATTAGCATGGATTGGTGCAATGTGGTAGGTAAAACATGGCTGATTAGCATGGATTGGTGCAATGTGGTAGGTAAAACATGGCTGATTAGCATGGATTGGTGCAATGTGGTAGGTAAAACATGGCTGATTAGCATGGATTGGTGCAATGTGGTAGGTAAAACATGGCTGATTAGCATGGATTGGTGCAATGTGGTAGGTAAAACATGGCTGATTAGCATGGATTGGTGCAATGTGGTAGGTAAAACATGGCTGATTAGCATGGATTGGTGCAATGTGGTAGGTAAAACATGGCTGATTAGCATGGATTGGTGCAATGTGGTAGGTAAAACATGGCTGATTAGCATGGATTGGTGCAATGTGGTAGGTAAAACATGGCTGATTAGCATGGATTGGTGCAATGTGGTAGGTAAAACATGGCTGATTAGCATGGATTGGTGCAATGTGGTAGGTAAAACATGGCTGATTAGCATGGATTGGTGCAATGTGGTAGGTAAAACATGGCTGATTAGCATGGATTGGTGCAATGTGGTAGGTAAAACATGGCTGATTAGCATGGATTGGTGCAATGTGGTAGGTAAAACATGGCTGATTAGCATGGATTGGTGCAATGTGGTAGGTAAAACATGGCTGATTAGCATGGATTGGTGCAATGTGGTAGGTAAAACATGGCTGATTAGCATGGATTGGTGCAATGTGGTAGGTAAAACATGGCTGATTAGCATGGATTGGTGCAATGTGGTAGGTAAAACATGGCTGATTAGCATGGATTGGTGCAATGTGGTAGGTAAAACATGGCTGATTAGCATGGATTGGTGCAATGTGGTAGGTAAAACATGGCTGATTAGCATGGATTGGTGCAATGTGGTAGGTAAAACATGGCTGATTAGCATGGATTGGTGCAATGTGGTAGGTAAAACATGGCTGATTAGCATGGATTGGTGCAATGTGGTAGGTAAAACATGGCTGATTAGCATGGATTGGTGCAATGTGGTAGGTAAAACATGGCTGATTAGCATGGATTGGTGCAATGTGGTAGGTAAAACATGGCTGATTAGCATGGATTGGTGCAATGTGGTAGGTAAAACATGGCTGATTAGCATGGATTGATAAAGTGCAATGTGGTAGGTAAAACATGGGTATTTAAAATACTACCTTTCATTTATTTTATACACTGAATGTACTGTTAACTAATTATTATTTATGATCAATAGCAGTTTAGAAGATAGACCTAAATGTCTTATATGTTTACGTTTCCATTTGCATTACCTTTGTGTTTTGCTTTTGGTTGTGGTTAAGCTTAGAGTTAGGTTTCGGGTTAGGGTTGTGGTTAAGCTTAGATTTAGGTTTCGGGTTATGTATTTTTTTCATATTGGCATATAGATATTTAATAAGAAAAGTCATAGATTTCTTAACATGGGCAATGCTGGGAATATGCTGCTTAATAAACACACAAGTCACTGCCCTTTACAGATAAGTTTTTCACAGAGGCCAGACGTCTAGTTGAGATATATTTGTGTATGTGGATCAATTAAAAAGTTGAATGATGTGGGTGAAATGAAATAACTTTTGTGGTTTTAAAAAAATGTCATTGCTAGGCAAAAACAAGAAGTAAATACTAGTTTCTGCCCAGCAGGAAATGTTTCAAATTTGTGTGAATGACAATTGGTGCATCAATTGTGTGTGTGAATGTCTGTGTGAATGACATTTGGTGCATCAATTGTGTGTGTGCATGTCTGTGTGAATGACATTTGGTGCATGAATTGTGTGTGTGTGTGCCCATGTAGTAGTTTCCTACTTACCTTCCTAGTTCCTCTAAAATATCATAGTAGTCATAAACACTTCCTTGTTTGATCTCTACAGGTTGTGGGACATATTTCTTCCAGATATCTTCATCTAATACATACATATTTTCATATATATCTTCTTCTAATAGATACATATTTTTACATTTATCTTCAACTAATCGATACATATTTTTATATTTATCTTCCTTTAATAGACACATATTTCTACATTTAATAACATCTATTCACAATTTATTGGCTTAAACCATTTACACTTAAAAAAAATAATATTAAAAATTCATAGGCCATGCAAACTCTGTTGTTGCACTACCTGCAAAGCCTTTATTAACTTTTTGTTGAATACACAAGAAGAATAGGAAGATTGGACTTACAAAACTTGTCATAGTCATTGATTTTTGGTCCATCATACTTTCCTCGAAGTTTTCTACCAAACTCATCTAAAAATAAATAATGTCAAATGAAATCATTGCAAACAAACACACTTTATAAATATAGCAGATATATTGAGCAAGGAGCAAATGAGTTGAACCTTCCATCTGTTTCTTCTTGCGAACAGCTTCTGGTTCTTCTGTTTTGATTGGAGCTGTGGGCTCACACGGCTCACTGCGACCATAGAAGTTGTCAGCAAACACACGGAAGCGATACTCTTTGTTGGGGGAGAGGCCAGCCACATTGTGGAAGTTAAATCTGGAAACATGAAGGTTTTATGGTCATGGGTCAGCCACATTGTGGAAGTTAAATCTGGAAACATGAAGGTTTTATGGTCATGGGTCAGCCACATTGTGGAAGTTAAATCTGGAAACATGAAGGTTTTATGGTCATGGGTCAGCCACATTGTGGAAGTTAAATCTGGAAACATGAAGGTTTTATGGTCATGGGTCAGCCGCATTGTAATAAATCTGTGAATCTAATCTAGCAACAAAGAGAAGGTATAATAAATCTGTGAATCTAATCTAGCAACAAAGAGAAGGTATAATAAATCTGTGAATCTAATCTAGCAACAAAGAGAAGGTATAATAAATCTGTGAATCTAATCTAGCAACAAAGAGAAGGTATAATAAATCTGTGAATCTCACAAAGCAACAAAGAGAAGGAATTTGTCCTGACCTGGTGGCAGCCACTCTGACCCATTTGTCACTGGGAGGTTCATTTCTCTCCACTACATATTCTGTGATGAAGCTGCCTCCATCATTTAGTGGTGGTTTCCATGACAACACAACAGAGTCATCACGAATGTTTTCAACAACAGGAAATCTTGGCGCATCAGGACGATCTGTATAGAAAAGGTTTGAACTCAGATCTTTAAAGTAGCCTATAAAGTCTGATCCTTTAAGTATGAAGTCAGATCTTTTAAGCCTATAAGTATAAGTCAGATATGGGGCGGAATAGCCTAGTGGTAGAGAGCTAGACTGCTAAGCCGTCTCAAGTTCGAATCTGGGTTCAAATCAATAGACCGTCGGATGGGTACCTATCCCACCTTAGGGAAAGTAAAGGCGGCTGGGTATAGTGCTGACCACATTATCCATTTATATGCCGAGGTCACAGAAACAGGTGAACTCTACTTCACTTGCCCCATAAACCGTTAGGTTTGGAAGGGGAATTTTACAAAAAAAAAAACAATCCTGCTAGCACCCCACTTGTGGGACACTTGTTTAAAAAATGGCTAAAATTAATTAAAAACTATTTAAAACACATATTATGTTTCATTTTACTTGGAAATGGCAAAACTATTGTTTCTGTGTGTTTAGTAAAACCTTTTAAATTCAAATCTAATAAAAATGTAAGAGTAATAATTTTTTGAACAACTTCATTATATCAAGTGTACAACAAGAAGTGGGATGCTAGCAACGAATGGCCCTATATAGATTGTTGCACTAAAGTCCAATTGATAGGACACTTTTTGACATGAGATAAAAATAAAGAATAAATTCTGTAGACTTTCTTGGTGTGAGCGGGTGAATGTATTATTATATTTTTGTGAGTGAATCTGTGCCTGAATGTTCAACTGGACATCAGGGTTTCCCTTCCTGATGAGCGGGTATATAAGATGAATGACCACTTGGGTCTTTCTTTCTTTATTTGTCCCTGTTAGTTTTTTTTTTTAATTAACTCTTTTTGACAGTTGGTTCCATTCTTTTTGTTAAATAAATTTGATAAACTGTTATTTTTTTTGTTTTTTTTTAGTTTAGACCAAGGTTAGGATTTTAACCAGTGTGGGTTTGACCAGACTTGCACTGACCTGATAATTTACATAAGCCTAGGGACATAGATAGTTACACCCCCCCCCCTCACTAGAGTGAGGGAGTCTGAGACTTACCATTGACTTGAACTTTGAGCACTGTGGAGTCAGAGCCTAATTCATTCTCCAGCTGCAGCCTGTAGGGGCCGTCATCCAACTTACTGGCATCTTTGATGGTCAGGATGGCATGGCGCTCCGTCACCTCCTGCACAAACCTGTCAGCAAACATGGGAGGGGGGGGGGTTAATTCACAGCAAGACTTACATCATTAACAGCTGCTGACCTCTTCGTTATGCTCACCTTGACCCTCTCAGCTCCTCATTGTCTCTGACCCATTTCACGCTGGGCTTGGGGTTTCCAGTAAATGGAATTTTAAGCGTCACATTCTCTCCCTTCTCAAACGTACACACATCACGGAATCTGGGTGGGACATTTATCTTGGGGGGAGCTGAAATGGATCCAGAACATTTAAATCATGGGAATGAGTTAAATACTTAGATCTGATCTTGAATGATGTGGGTAAATTGAGGACTTACATCTGATCTCCAATTCTGCGCGAGAAACTCTACTACCTCCTCTATTAGTTGCCCTCACAGAATATTCATCTGCATCTTCACCATAAATGTTTTTTACAATCAGAATCTGTTTAGTCCCTTCACATACAATTTCAAACTTGTCAGAGTCATAGATTTCACGTACACCCTTAAACCTGAGATTAAAAAACAATTGTCAAATGTTGATGCATTTTAGACCATTAAACATTTTTTATCAAAAATTTAATTAAACCAACACAATGATAGTCTAACCATGAAAACAGAGTGATAAGAAGGTTTGCTGAGTGGCAGTTATTATACAAAACCTTTGATATAAGTGAATGAACATGGAATTGATAAAAATTGTCTTGAGACATGAACTCACCACTGAATATCAGGTTTTGGATTTCCTGAGACGTCACATTCAAACCTTGCAGACTTGCCCTCAACAGCTTGAACTTTCCTCAGTCCACTGGTGAACTCTGGGATATCAGCAGCTGGAAATTCAAACCGTTTTTGCTTGACTTAACAACATTCAACAATATTTGCTTGACTTAACAACATTCAACAATATTTGCTTGACTTAACGACAAGCAACAATATTTGCTTGACTACCTTCAACACAAGTAACAATTTTGCTTGACTTAACAACAAGCAACAATATTTGCTTGACTTAACGACAAGCAACAATATTTGCTTGACTTTACACAAGCAACAATATTTGCTTGACTGCCTTCAACACAAGTAACAATTTTGCTTGACTTAACAACAAGCAACAATATTTGCTTGACTTAACGACAAGCAACAATATTTGCTTGACTACCTTCAACACAAGTAACAATTTTGCTTGACTTAACAACAAGTAACAATTTTGCTTGACTTAACAACAAGCAACAATATTTGCTTGACTTTACACAAGCAACAATATTTGCTTGACTGCCTTCAACACAAGCAAGATGCACTCAAGACTTCAAGCATGTTTTCATCTTGTGGTGTGTGAATCAGGTTCGTGTGCACACATTTTGACAGCATACTATTTAAATAAACTGTTCGCTAATAAAAGAAAAACTATATTTTATAACATTTTTAGTTGAGTGATTTGAATAGTAATACAAATACAAAAAGTGTTTAAAAAACAACATTTGGATGCACCAAAAGTGTGGAGTTCAAATCAAGACCATAGAACATCCCAGCTCTGATGGTTATTGACCCAAGTTTGGGCAAAGTGCTGACCACATTATCCCTTCATATGTCCAGGTCACAGAAACAGGTAAACTCTACTCCATTTGCATAAGGACTATCAGGAATGAAAGAGGACTTATTTAACAAGTGATGTGAAAGGACCAAACCTTTAGGGTCTTTAATCTTGACACTATTGGATGCAGAGGAAGCTTTGCTCATCCCAGCTTCATTCTGAGCAAAGACACGGAACTCGTACTGGCGATCTTCTATGAGACTGGAGATGTTGATCATGTTGGTGATGCAGGGATTGTTGTTGACACGGGACCAGTTCTCTGTGCCATGCTCTCTCTTCTCTATCCAGTAGCCCAGGATCTTGCCACCCCCGTCTGATCTTGGTTTGTCCCAAGTCAGGCTGACAAAGTCTCCGCCTACTTCTGTCACATTTGGTGTGCCTGGGGCTTCAGGGGCATCTACAAAAACATTTTGACATCTCACAATTTTGTGAAAACATTTTGACATCTGACGACATGTAACAATTTTGTCAAAACATTTTGACATCTGATGACATGTCACAATTTTGTCAAAACAAGCAAACAAATCAGCACATTTTAAAAAACAATAAACAAAGATTGAATTGAGAGAAAAAAATGATTACCAAATGGCATCTTGGCAATGATGGCGTTTTCAGCTTGCAAAAATTGACCCGGGCCATTTTCTGTGACAGCAGCAACTCTAAATAAATACTGAGTGTTCTCATACAGCCCCTGTACATCAAGGCTTGTGTCCTGTACAATACAAGTTGATGTCTTCAAGTCACATAACTGGGTTAGTCATTTATTGAGGGATGGACATTTAACAGAGGGTACTAGTATTTATTTGCTATCTATTTAGAGTAAAATTAATAAGAAACATGAAGGATGGAGCCTTGTGATGTAATCCTTTGACTCTACCTTACAGTGTGATGACGCAGTGACTCTACCTTACAGTGTGATGACGCAGTGACTCTACCTTACAGTGTGATGACGCAGTGACTCTACCTTACAGTGTGATGACGCAATGACTCTACCTTACAGTGTGATGACGCAGTGACTCTACCTTACAGTGTGATGACGCAGTGACTCTACCTTACAGTGTGATGACGCAGTGACTCTACCTTACAGTGTGATGACGCAGTGACTCTACCTTACAGTGTGATGACGCAGTGACTCTACCTTACAGTGTGATGACGCAGTGACTCTACCTTACAGTGCGATGACGCAGTGACTCTACCTTACAGTGCGATGACGCAGTGACTCTACCTTACAGTGCGATGACGCAGTGACTCTACCTTACAGTGTGATGACGCAGTGACTCTACCTTACAGTGTGATGACGCAGTGACTCTACCTTACAGTGTGATGACGCAGTGACTCTACCTTACAGTGTGATGACGCAGTGACTCTACCTTACAGTGTGATGACGCAGTGACTCTACCTTACAGTGTGATGACGCAGTGACTCTACCTTACAGTGTGATGACGCAGTGACTCTACCTTACAGTGTGATGACGCAGTGACTCTACCTTACAGTGTGATGACGCAGTGACTCTACCTTACAGTGCGATGACGCAGTGACTCTACCTTACAGTGTGATGACGCAGTGACTCTACCTTACAGTGTGATGACGCAGTGACTCTACCTTACAGTGTGATGACGCAGTGACTCTACCTTACAGTGTGATGACGCAGTGACTCTACCTTACAGTGTGATGACGCAGTGACTCTACCTTACAGTGTGATGATGCAGTGACTCTACAGTGCGATGACGCAGTGACTCTACCTTACAGTGTGATGACGCAGTGACTCTACCTTACAGTGTGATGACGCAGTGACTCTACCTTACAGTGTGATGACGCAGTGACTCTACCTTACAGTGTGATGACGCAGTGACTCTACCTTACAGTGTGATGACGCAGTGACTCTACCTTACAGTGTGATGACGCAGTGACTCTACCTTACAGTGTGATGACGCAGTGACTCTACCTTACAGTGTGATGACGCAGTGACTCTACCTTACAGTGTGATGACGCAGTGACTCTACCTTACAGTGTGATGACGCAGTGACTCTACCTTACAGTGTGATGACGCAGTGACTCTACCTTACAGTGTGATGACGCAGTGACTCTACCTTACAGTGTGATGACGCAGTGACTCTACCTTACAGTGTGATGACGCAGTGACTCTACCTTACAGTGCGATGACGCAGTGACTCTACCTTACAGTGTGATGACGCAGTGACTCTACCTTACAGTGTGATGATGCAGTGACTCTACCTTACAGTGTGATGACGCAGTGACTCTACCTTACAGTGTGATGACGCAGTGACTCTACCTTACAGTGTGATGACGCAGTGACTCTACCTTACAGTGTGATGACGCAGTGACTCTACCTTACAGTGTGATGACGCAGTGACTCTACCTTACAGTGTGATGATGCAGCGACTCTACAGTGCGATGACGCAGTGACTCTACCTTACAGTGTGATGACGCAGTGACTCTACCTTACAGTGTGATGACGCAGTGACTCTACCTTACAGTGTGATGACGCAGTGACTCTACCTTACAGTGTGATGACGCAGTGACTCTACCTTACAGTGTGATGATGCAGCGACTCTACAGTGCGATGACGCAGTGACTCTACCTTACAGTGTGATGACGCAGTGACTCTACTTTACAGTGTGATGACGCAGTGACTCTACCTTACAGTGTGATGATGCAGCGACTCTACAGTGCGATGACGCAGTGACTCTACCTTACAGTGTGATGACGCAGTGACTCTACCTTACAGTGTGATGACGCAGTGACTCTACCTTACAGTGTGATGACGCAGTGACTCTACCTTACAGTGTGATGACGCAGTGACTCTACTTTACAGTGTGATGACGCAGTGACTCTACCTTACAGTGTGATGATGCAGCGACTCTACAGTGCGATGACGCAGTGACTCTACCTTACAGTGTGATGACGCAGTGACTCTACCTTACAGTGTGATGACGCAGTGACTCTACCTTACAGTGTGATGACGCAGTGACTCTACCTTACAGTGTGATGACGCAGTGACTCTACCTTACAGTGTGATGACGCAGTGACTCTACCTTACAGTGTGATGACGCAGTGACTCTACCTTACAGTGTGATGACGCAGTGACTCTACCTTACAGTGTGATGACGCAGTGACTCTACCTTACAGTGTGATGACGCAGTGACTCTACCTTACAGTGTGATGACACAGTGACCCAGTAAGGCTTGCCCACTTCCTGTCTCTCCACCAGGTAGCTGCTGATTTTCCCTCCTCCGTCATCTTTTGGAGGTTTCCATGCCAGTCTACATGTGTGTTTTGTGACGTCAGACACAGCCAGAGGTCCAGTGGGGGCTCCAGGTGGACCTGCCAATCACAATCAAACATGGTCTAGCCACTTCAAACAGCACAATCAAACCATGGCCACTTCAAACAGCACAATCAAACCTTGGCCACTTCAAACAGCACAATCAAACCATGGCCACTTCAAACAGCACAATCAAACCTTGGCCACTTCAAACAGCACAATCAAACCTTGGCCACTTCAAACAGCACAATCAAACCATGGCCACTTCAAACAGCACAATCAAACCTTGGCCACTTCAAACAGCACAATCAAACCTTGGCCACTTCAAACAGCACAATCAAACCTTGGCCACTTCAAACAGCACAATCAAACCATGGCCACTTCAAACAGCACAATCAAACCTTGGCCACTTCAAACAGCACAATCAAACCTTGGCCACTTCAAACAGCACAATCAAACCTTGGCCACTTCAAACAGCACAATCAAACCTTGGCCACTTCAAACAGCACAATCAAACCTTGGCCACTTCAAACAGCACAATCAAACCTTGGCCACTTCAAACAGCACAATCAAACCTTGGCCACTAGAAACAGCACAATCAAACCTTGGCCACTTCAAACAGCACAATCAAACCATGGCCACTTCAAACAGCACAATCAAACCTTGGCCACTTCAAACAGCACAATCAAACCTTGGCCACTTCAAACAGCACAATCAAACCTTGGCCACTTCAAACAGCACAATCAAACTTTGGCCACTTCAAACTGTGTACAATCAAACTTTGGCCACTTCAAACTGTGCTGAAACTGTCAGAGAAAAACTTACTGACAACTTTCAGTTGAAATGGAGCGGAGGCAGTCCCACTGTCATTGCTGACTTCTATTGTATATTTGCCAGAGTCCTCTCTCTCAGCATCTTAAATTACAAAATTCAAATTCATAAATCTATAAAAAACAACATTTGCTTGATATAATTCTTTCAAATCTTTCAAACCCTTAGCCTACCCCCAAAAAAAATTCAACTTTCAGTAATAATATGCTTCTGTCCATAACTTTTTCAAGAATAATATTGTTCACACATTTTTACTTTATATGCATAGTCCAATTTTATATTATCACAACATTTACTGGCTTAATGGTTATAATCAACTATGTTACACAAAGATGTACTATTCTTTTATTAAAAAAAAGTAATCAACAGGACCCATATCTAAAAAAAAATAAAAGCTGCTTTTTTTGTAATGTTTGTTGCCTGTGAATTATTATATAACTTTTTCTCTATGCTTGCTATAATTCTTTCTATGCTTGCTATAATTCTATAGATAATTCTTTCTATGCTTGTTATAATTCTTTCTATGCTTGCTATAATTCTTTCTATGCCTGCTATAATTCTTTCTATGCCTGCTATAATTCTTTCTTTGCCTGTTATAATTCTTTCTATAACTAGAAGATTTGGTTTAAAAAATAGATGAAGATTTGATCAAGTAACTATCCATGTGTGATTTTCATTTCCTGGGGCAGAGGAGGTTGACACCATAGACCTAGCAGCTTTCACCTAATGGATGGCTGTTGTTATAGAAGGTGAATGGATGGCTGTTGTTATAGAAGGTGGATGGATGGCTGTTGTTATAGAAGGTGGATGGCTGTTGTTATAGAAGGTGAATGTATGGCTGTTGTTATAGAAGGTGAATGTATGGCTGTTGTTATAGAAGGTGAATGGATGGCTGTTGTTATAGAAGGTGAATGTATGGCTGTTGTTATAGAAGGTGAATGTATGGCTGTTGTTATAGAAGGTGAATGGATGGCTGTTGTTATAGAAGGTGGATGGATGGCTGTTGTTATAGAAGGTGGATGGATGGCTGTTGTTATAGAAGGTGGATGGCTGTTGTTATAGAAGGTGAATGTATGGCTGTTGTTATAGAAGGTGAATGTATGGCTGTTGTTATAGAAGGTGAATGGATGGCTGTTGTTATAGAAGGTGAATGTATGGCTGTTGTTATAGAAGGTGAATGTATGGCTGTTGTTATAGAAGGTGAATGGATGGCTGTTGTTATAGAAGGTGAATGTATGGCTGTTGTTATAGAAGGTGAATGGATGGCTGTTGTTATAGAAGGTGAATGGATGGCTGTTGTTATAGACGGTGAATGTATGGCTGTTGTTATAGACGGTGAATGGATGGCTGTTGTTATAGAAGGTGAATGTATGGCTGTTGTTATAGAAGGTGAATGTATGGCTGTTGTTATAGAAGGTGAATGGATGGCTGTTGTTATAGAAGGTGAATGGATGGCTGTTGTTATAGAAGGTGAATGTATGGCTGTTGTTATAGAAGGTGGATGGCTATTGTTATAGAAGGTGAATGGATGGCTGTTGTTATAGAAGGTGAATGTATGGCTGTTGTTATAGAAGGTGGATGGCTGTTGTTATAGAAGGTGAATGTATGGCTGTTGTTATAGAAGGTGGATGGCTGTTGTTATAGAAGGTGAATGGATGGCTGTTGTTATAGAAGGTGAATGTATGGCTGTTGTTATAGAAGGTGAATGTATGGCTGTTGTTATAGAAGGTGAATGTATGGCTGTTGTTATAGAAGGTGAATGGATGGCTGTTGTTATAGAAGGTGGATGGCTGTTGTTATAGAAGGTGAATGGATGGCTGTTGTTATAGAAGGTGGATGTATGGCTGTTGTTATAGAAGGTGAATGTATGGCTGTTGTTATAGAAGGTGAATGTATGGCTGTTGTTATAGAAGGTGAATGTATGGCTGTTGTTATAGAAGGTGGATGGCTGTTGTTATAGAAGGTGAATGTATGGCTGTTGTTATAGAAGGCACATGTAGACAAGAAGTACCAGATTAAACAACTATAGTTTAACTTGCTAAGTTTTGAAAACTAGACTATAAACCAAAAATTAACACCAAAAAAATGTATGTGCTGATAATTTTGATTGTTATAGAAGGTACATGCGTAATCTTTAAGGCATAATTTAAATATCATAATATGGGTGTCAAAATCATGGCAGGCAAAGTGTACAAGCAGGCAACTCTTATAGGCCCAACCTTCTGTCATTATAGACGTGTTTTATCATCTGTCAGACTTGTGTTTTTATATATGTATTATTATGGTATTTTTTTAACAGGCAAGTATTTTCTGGTTCAACAAAGTGTCAAGACAAACGAATGTAAAGCTTTCAGTCACATTTTTGTGAGATGAGAATAAAAGGCTGACCTTTGATGACAAACGTAACAAAGTCATCAAACGGTGAGATCTTGATGCGATTACTTTCAGTGAGTTCTTTCCCATCTTTTTTTACTTTGATCTGGAGAGGTCCTGTGCCTGTGAAGGGCAGCTTGACCTTGAACTGCTCACCCACTTCCACTTTTTGATCTTTGATTTCTTTATCAAATCTGGGAGGAGCTGAAAGCATAGGTGAACAGTTACATCAGTCAACTTATTAGGTAGACAATAAAAAAAAAAAACCACGTGATTTAGTAAATAAAAAGCCACGTGATCTAGCAAATAGAAAACCATGTGATTTAGCAAATAAAAAACGTGATTTAGCAAATAAAAAACGTGATTTAGCAAATAAAAAACATGATTTAGCAAATAAAAAACGTGATTTAGCAAATAAAAAACGCGATTTAGTTAATACAAAAACGAACCAAGGACAGAGAGTTGTGCCGAGCAACTTTCTTTTCCAAGAGCATTCTTGAGTTGACAGGTGATCTGGCAGGGTTCCTGCACCTCTGTCATGACAAGTGTGTAGGTGCTGCCATCAACCTTGACACGGTTCCGGCCTGACACTGACATCTCTACTCCATTTTTGAACCTGGTCAATTGGTCAATACATGAATCATGTTATAGTACATACTAACTGACACACACAGAACACAAACTCACAGTACACACTAACTCACAGACAACACACAGTACACAAAAACTGACACCCACACACAGAACACACAAACTCACAGAGAGAACACACAAACTGACAGACACACACACACTACACACAAACTGACACCCACACACAGAACACACAAACTCACAGAGAGAACACACAAACTGACAGACACACACACAGTACACACAAACTGACCAGACAAACAATTAAGTTTTTAAAATGTTTTTTTTAAACTAATGCCAAAATTGTTTGTTTTTAAAACATCAAAATCAAAGGTGTGAAAAGAAAAGTCACTGACCATAAAACTTGAGGTGCAGGTGATCCAGATATTTCAACACTAAAGGCAGCCTCACCACCTAATGGAGCTTTCACATTGCTCAACTTCTTGACAAAATCTGGAGCATTGCCAACTGTCAAGAAAACATGTACACTTGTTAGCGTTCAGTTGTCAAACCAACCCAAAGTACAGTCAACTGGTAATGCTGTGACTTACCAATCTTTTCCTTGATCCTGATTGGTGCACACGGAAGGCTGGGCTCTCCTGCCCCAGCAGCATTGACTGCTGCAATACGGAACTCAAACTCTGAGTTTTCTGCCAGCCCAGAGACTGTAAAACTGTTGTCAACTACGGGGAATTCGTTGGCCTTGCTCCACAAGTTCATGCCTTTTTCACGCTTCTCAATGACATAACCTGAATCAAGAAATCAGTGATTCTTATTGTTTACCTTTTGTTGCTCTCAAGCAGATCAACCTCTAAATACTGAGCTATAGAATATAAAGTCCTTTACAAATGTAACTTCTATAACCTTGACCTCTATGACTGTGACCTCTATAAAGCTGATGTTGCTATACATTTGAGAACAAGAAGCTAATCATTCTGTGCCAGTTGTCTGCAATTAACTACTAAGTATTAAGTGTGTCTCTATTGTAAAGCTCCCTTAAAGAAAAGATTACCTGTGATTTTAGATCCACCATCATTTCTTGGTTTGTCCCATTTCAGCTCCACAAAAGTTTTTCCAACTTTGGCAGCTTCAGGTACCCCGGGACTAGAGGGTTTAACTGGTGGGAATAAAGCATGTATAGAGGGTTTAACTGGTGGGAATAAAGCATGTATAGAGGGTTTAACTGGTGGGAATAAAGCATGTAAACACCACAATCAACACTTACATTGACACAAATAATTACATGACACCCAACTCACTACAACACTTTCATTAACACCAACACTTAAATCATGACTTACATCAATACAATTATTTCCATAACAACCACATCCACATGTATAAAAATGTATACATGGTAATAGACCAATGTAAAAAAGGGCTCACCATATTTAGCTTTGACTTGTACTGGGCCTGTACTCTCACTTGGATTTCCCAGACCAGCTGCGTTTTTACCTCGGATTCTGAACTCATATTCCTTATCATTCTCAAGTCCTTTCACTGTTGACAACATATTTGACATTTTTATCTGAGAATCTAAACTCATATTACTTATCATTCTCAAGTCCTTTCACTGTTGACAACATATTTGATATTTTTATCTGAGAATCTAAACTCATATTACTTATCATTCTCAAGTCCTTTCACTGTTGACAACATATTTGACATTTTTATCTGAGAATCTAAACTCATATTACTTATTCCTCAGTCCTTGATCTGAAAGTTGACAAATTTTCTTTAACTATCCCATGCTTCTAACATGATTCAAATATAAAGTTGACCACAAGTTTTAGCATGAGCCAGGAATATTACCTGTAGCCATTGTCTCCTTGATTGGGACATCATTGTAAGCTTTCCATCTGTTGGAGGATGGTTCTTTGTATTCAATGATGTAGCCGTCAAGTTTCTTGCCGCCATCACTTTTAGGTTTGTTCCACTTGAGGGTCACTGATGACTCATCCACATCGTCCACAACAACAGATGTTGGAGACTCAGGAATAGCTGCAAGATAAAAAAATTTGGTAATCTATTGTTTTAGGTACATAAAATCGCCCGCGACTAGTAATGTGAAAAACAGGTGACTCCTTACATTTTAATAATTATTTCGCATTTTAAGGAGGATTTATGTTTTGAAAAATATAAAAATGTTTCCTTGTTTCATTTATGTACCTGTTTTAAAACAATTGAATTAAAACTTTTCAGTAATAAATGAACACCAGCGATGTTTCCAACAGATGCAACCATGCTCATTTACTATAGCAGCCATCTTGTTAAAGTTTTATTTTTATAGACTTATAGTATAGCTAGATTCAGGCGGAAGTCACTCTATTTTACAAATGGCTTATATGTGCAGACACTGCTGTTTAAAGTTAATTTCCGGCCTATATTGATATATTTAGCCATTGATTTAGGTTTATTATTCATTTATCTATAATATTTGACACAAACATATCACAATATACTTCTATTACAGCCTTGACAATGAGGTAACGTTTTCGTACATTAATAGCCGCGGGCGATTTTACGTACCCAAAACGATAGATTACCAAAAAATTTTACACAACCTCGAACTAGAGCTCACAAAAATGTAACACAGTAGGCCTAAGAGTAAGGTGTGTGGTGTGTTTTTAATACCATACGATCTAAAATCTAGATGCAGTTTGACCGTAAGTTGTTAGTAAAAGGAAAAGTGTCTAGAATCTAGATCTAGTTTCTAGACTGTGTAATAATTTGAATAAAATTTGGAAATGAAGATCACTAGTTTTTTTTTTTTTAAATCTTTTTTAAAAATATGACAAGCGATACAAATTATTTTGAAATTATAGATCTAGATCTACTTACATTTGTAAAAATTAAAGCCGTTTGGTGACCAACGATTTAACACATATTTATATTTTTTTATTGAATATAATAAGCCGCTGAACAGCCGTTTAGAATTATTTTATAACTTCAAAAACTACCCTCAACCTCTCCTCAAAATCAACCGGAATGGCCAGGGAGAGTAAAGTAATAAGTGTTAAAATAATTGTTTTCCGATCTATGGTGTATAGCGAAGTATTGTATTTATATTAAATAATATAACATCCCTAATCACCACAACACCCTCACTCTACTAATCTAAATTAACCATAACAGGGTTTGCTAAATTACTACCATATTACTAGTAATTAATTATTTCCTTGAGTATTTCTATCCTAATATAAAACCGGAAGTAATTGTATACTTATTACACAAACGAGAAAAATGGCCCGTTGAGGAAGGATACAACGGGCGCTAGGCTGATAGTGCTGTCTCTTTTCTCTAAACTAAAACCACCCCACCCCCCCCCCCCCCCAAACACACACCACCCCCCCCCCCACCCCCATCCCCCCCCCCCAAAAAAAAACAAACATGTCTACCGTCCCATTCAACGAAATATAATTATATACTTTTTCCAGTGTCCGCCCCCTCCCCGAAAATTCTACCCCCGCCACCGAAAATTTCAAGTACCCCCACCCCTCTCTGGGGAGGAAAAAGTCTAAAATAACCCCCCCCCCACCCCACCCCCCCCCCCCCACACACACACCTCCACCCCCCCCCCCCCCCCCCAAAAGAACATGTCTACCGTCCCATTCAACGAAATATAATTATATACTTTTTCCAGTGTCCGCCCCCTCCCCGAAAATTCTACCCCCGCCCCCGAAAATTTCAAGTACCCCCACCCCTCTCCGGGGGAGGAAAAAGTCTGAAAGAAACACTGGCGTCGCGCTTAGCCACTACCCGAAGAATTGCATTAAAGAAATTGCAAGAAAACCACTTTTTAGATTAGACACATTAATTAGGCGGTAATTTTATTATAGAGTATCGATGAAGAAATTTCTTTTGAGTTGGGGAGGGGGGGGGGGGCTCAGACGTTCTTACGCGGGGGGTGGGGCTTCGCCCCTACCCGAAGAATTGTATGCAAGAAACTCTTTACGCAAACCATTTAGATTAGACAAAATTTCCTTTTTATTCAATGTTTACTCGAGAATCAATGACGTCATATTACTGTGTGCACTCTCCGGCTTGAGATGCTAAATGTGGCGACGTCATACTTCGTTTTTCGAATTACTATGCAGTTTTTTAATTTGCTTGTGTTTTCTCTAAAGCGTTCTTGTCAGACAGAGCGTTCTTGTCAGATACATAGACAGACAGCGAAACTATTAGTATTAATGTTATGAATATTTAATTTTTGCTGTAAAATATACTTTCTGGCAACAAAAATTTGGAACCATTTGGAATCTGCTTTTCAAGAGCAGGTTTTTTTCCTAACAAGGGCAGACAATCTGCTCACAAAATCTCACAATAAAAGGAAATTGCATTTTCAACCTTTTCTTTTTTCGGTACCCTCTTGTCTTGTGTTTCTAAAATAAAATAGTATTCCTCTATTTCCTGTCATTTCTACTACATAAGGGAGTCAAGTTTTAATTTGCTTGTGTTTTCTCTAAAGCGTTCTTGTCAGACAGAGCGTTCTTGTCAGATACATAGACAGACAGCGAAACTATTAGTATTAATGTTATGAATATTAAATTTTTGCTGTAAAATATACTTTCTGGCAACAAAAATTTGGAACCATTTGGAATCTGCTTTTCAAGAGCAGGTTTTTTTCCTAACAAGGGCAGACAATCTGCTCACAAAATCTCACAATAAAAGGAAATTGCATTTTCAACCTTTTCTTTTTTCGGTACCCTCTTGTCTTGTGTTTCTAAAATAAAATAGTATTCCTCTATTTCCTGTCATTTCTACTACATAAGGGAGTCAAGTTTTCGTTTTTTTTTCTTACTTTCTAGTAGATCTATACGAATTAGGCCCTACAGATTGTAATCGTGCAAAAATTTGAAATCGAGATTTTCACAAAACTCAACGTTTTACAGCACTCTGAATCGAAGAAAAACATAGTTTAACAATTGTTTCCGTATGTCGTGTGTGTGTGAGTGTGTGTGTGTCTTGTGTATGTCTGTGAACACGATAACTTGAGTACCTCTTCAGCTACGTTGATGAAATTTCGTTCATAAGTAAGTATTATATCAATTCGTAGTTCTGTATCAAAGTTTCAGCGATTTCCGGTAACCGCAATTGGAACTTATTCTACTTTTGGATTTTCAAAAGCCTATAACGTGAGTACTTTTTCAGATAGATAAACTAAATTTCACAAATAAGTAAAAGATCTAATTCTCTGCTTTCTATCAAATTTTAGGTAATTTCCGTTGACCGGAAGTAGTAATTTACGCTATTTCCGATTTCTGAAGAAACCGCATATGAATCTATAAAGTACTAATATTCCGCACTATTAGACACCGTTCACTTGGTGCGCAATTCTTTTGTTTCTACGAGATTCTATTCTATTTTTAAAAAGTCAAAGTATTTAAAAATTAATTTAAAAAATCATGTCTATATCCCAAGTTGCCATTTCCCGTAGTGTTATTTAAGAATATTCGAGAAAACATTGGGAAGATCACTCCCGCTTTATTTTTTATCAAGCGAAGTTGAAGTGAAATATTTAAGTTGGAGCCTATAGTTTTTATAATTACAGCATTTAGATTGAAGTTGAAAAGGGAATAACGATACAGAAGAGCCTTATAACGTTGTAATTTAATCCTAAAATGTTCATAAATATGTCAGCAATTATTTTAAATTAATTTTTCCCTACTTAATTATTAGCTTTTTTTTAGTATTATCGAAGCTAACTGTCAGTTGTAAATTATTGTTTATATTTTTTAAACAGGCATACTACAAAAAATAAAAAAAAATCAAAGCCTAGGCCTATTAGTGAAATTTTTTAAACTAAAGTTTTAGCTATGGTGGCTTTATGTCAGCCAGTGGGGTGATACAATAAACAGAAATGAAATTTAATAAAACAAACTTTAGCTGCTCGTTAACAGGATGTGCCTGAATGCTTCTTTTATATTTGATCCCAAAATACATGCAATCACATTTTGTAGTCAGAATTTCTTTTAGATGTTTGCTTTGGGAGAGGAAAGGGGTGGGGGGGGGGGATATGGCTTTTGAAAATTTGGGGAGGGAGCACTTAAATTTTCGGGGAGAGGGGGCATTGGTTAGTCGTATTTAATTTAATTTAGGGCCTACACGTCGTTTTCTTTCATAATATAGGCTGTAAATAGATCTCCATTAAATCAACAAAGAAAATGTGTTCTAGATGTTTTTCCATATGAGCAACAAAGGTGGAGCTATGTTGAGAAAAAGATGAAAGACTTACTATAAGGGTGCTGCGCAATTGTTGAATTCGTTGTTTCTAATGGCTGGCTCACTCCATATTCATTTTCAGCACTAACTCTGAACTGATATTCATGGCCTTCCAGCAAGCCTAAGACCTCATACTTGGTGCCCCGCACAAATTTACTCACTGGCTCCCATCTGCCTGTTGCTTTGTCTTGTTTTTCCACGATGTAGTTACTAACAGCACTACCTCCATCCTCCTAAATAGTCCACACAAAAGTAGATATGACCTTTATTACAAGCATACAAACATGAAATTATGTGAAAAATATATGAAACACCTGACTATACAAATACCAATTCTCCTGACGATCAAGTAATGACAAGACTATAGTTCAAGTAATGACAAGACTATCGTTCAAGTAATGACAAGACTATAGTTCAAGTAATGACAAGACTATCTTTCAAGTAATGACACACAATGCAAGGGTACACCAGACATTATTGACACTGTTTAAACAAAATTTACTCTGTCTGTCTTTAAATTAAAATATTGGCCTGTCTTTGATTTAAAAAAAAAGTACTTGTCTGTTTTTTTAATGCATAAAAATATCTGTCTGTCTTTCTTTGAGTAAATAAAAAATCCGTCTGCCTGTCTTAGAGTAAATAAAAATATTAGTCCGTCAGTCTCTTTTTGAGTAAACAAAAGTATAATAAAACATTGAGAGGGGAAGCAATCATTGCACTGTTTTGTTAAATATTCTTGATATCTCATCTCTCCAAATACAGCTTTTCAAATTGTATGTGAGTGGCTAGGGTAAGTAAAGTTCCTTTTTAACTTTATCTGCAAAGTTTTCTAAAAAAAAAAAAAAAACAACGATGAGGTGTGGCTGTCAGAAATCGATCACGGAGTTCCTGTACAGTCAATCATTATTTGTCTTACGAAAGTGAAGCATCGGGTTATAACTTAGGCTTGATGAAAATAAATAGAAATTATTTTCAAGTTCTCTGGATTAGCAACTTTTATAACATTGATTCTAAAAATATTAAATTTCTGATTGATTTTTGGCTTAAGTTTTTATTTTTTAAAATTATTTTTACGGTCGCTTTGATTGCAAAATCTAAATATACCGGGAGTGATCTCTCCTAAACTTTATGAAAGAGCAGGGGATGGCAACTCAGGATTTAGACATGATTTGTAATCCATTTTAAATACTTAAACTTTAAAAAATAGAAAAAAAGAATTGCAAACCAAGTGAACGCCAAATGAAATGTGCATAATAGTGCGGTATATTATTAGTACTTTATAAATTCACATGCATTTATTGAGAAATCGGAAATAGCGAAAATTACTATTTCCGGTCAACGGAAATTACTCAAAGTTTGACAGAAGGCAGAGAATTAGATCTTTTACTTACATGTGAAATTTCCTTATCTATCTGAAATAGTATTCAAGTTATTGGTTTTTGAAAAATTCAAAGTAGAAAAAGTTCCACTTCCGGTTATCGGAAATCGCTCAAAAGTTGATACGGATCTACGATTTCGATATAATACTTATTTATGAAATTTCATCAACATAGCTTAACGGCAAAAAGTTATCGTGTTTACACACACACACACACACACACACAGACACATACACACACAGACACGGACAAGATTGCAAAATTATGTTTTTCCGACTCGGGGAGTTGTAAAACATCGAGATTTGCAAAAATCTGTATTTTTTTTTAGCACGATTACAACTTAACCTTCTCTATACTTCGTATATACGAGAAAGTAAAAAGCACGTTTTAATCCATGTCAACAATATGATGGAAGGATTCTCGTCAACTCGGTCGCCTCCATTAGTTGATTTTTTGTTTTTTTTTCTATTTTAATAAATTTTAGGGTTAGGGTTAAATCTCTTTGGGCAAGCCATAGTTGTACTGATGCCCGGTTGTTTATAATCTCTGCCGGTAGATCAGGATTTATTTCGTCGCTTTTTAGCGAAAATAAAAAAAAAATTCATTAATCGGCTTTATTCCGATAAGGGATTATTATAGAACTTGTAATTATGAAGTGGTGGGAGGTAGCAATCAGACTATTGTGTTCTATCAGTTAAACAGGGAATGTCAGAGTTGGTGGGATGATGTATACCCGTGTGGGGGAGGGGGGGGTAAAAAAATCATGAAAATTGTGTGACATTGTTTAAGTTTAATGTATAATAATCTTAAGCTTTTTAGTAAACAAGGACAGGAGTCTTGAGTTAGAAGACATGTGTTTTCAGGCAGCAAGCATACGGTTAGACAATGTTATTGAAAAAAAAAAAGAAACTAAAATTACCAAATAAGGTGCAAAGATAGTCTGAAAACAAAAAGTAAAAAAAAAAGGAATTATTTTTTTACACTGAGACACAATGTCTAATGAAAAATTATTTGAAGCGGTTTGACTAGCGGGGATGGTAAAATTTCTAATTTTATATTTTGTTCTTTAATAAACAAAACCTTACAAATTCTCACAAAAAAAAACAAAAAAAAAACCAACAAACTGTTTTAGGTATGTGTTGAGCATGGTAACAATGGTATGCCTAGTGCAGAGAAACACACCATCAGTTGATGTACACCATTTGCTAAACACAACACCTAAACTACCATCAGCTAAACACAACATCTAAACTACCATCAGCTAAGCACAACACCTAAACTAAATTTCATCTATTTAAATCATTCAATTATTTCTTTTGTAAGAAAAATAGGTTGAGTCAGGATCAAAGGCGTATATGGAGGATAATACGTTCACACTTAATACTTAATTTAGAGGAAATTCTCTCCAATATTGCAATTAAAAATAAAGTAAAAAACAATACCTTAGGTGGATTCCAGGTTAGGATGCATGATTCAGGTGTGACGTCTTTCACATCCAATGGGCCCTCTGGTTTGGCTGGGGCATCTGGCAATATGGCAACAAATATATACATCTGGCAACACTACACACATACATCTGGCAACACAACACACATACATCTGGCAACACTACACACATACATCTGGCAACACTACACACATACATCTGGCAACACAACACACATACATCTGGCAACACAACACACATACATCTGGCAACACTACACATACATCTGGCAACACAACACACATACATCTGGCAACACTACACACATACATCTGGCAACACAACACACATACATCTGGCAACACAACACACATACATCTGGCAACACTACACATACATCTGGCAACACTACACACATACATCTGGCAACACAACACACATACATCTGGCAACACAACACACATACATCTGGCAACACTACACACATACATCTGGCAACACTACACACATACATCTGGCAACACAACACACATACATCTGGCAACACTACACACATACATCTGTCTACACAACACACATACATCTGTCTACACTACACACATACATCTGCAACACTACACACATACATCTGGCAACACTACACACATACATCTGGCAACACAACACACATACATCTGTCAACACTACACACATACACCTGGCAACACTACACACATACATCTGTCTACACTACACACATACATCTGTCTACACTACACACATACATCTGGCAACACTACACACATACATCTGGCAACACAACACACATACATCTGTCAACACTACACACATACATCTGGCAACACTACACACATACATCTGTCTACACTACACACATACATCTGGCAACACTACACACATACATCTGTCTACACAACACACATACATCTGTCTACACTACACACATACATCTGCAACACTACACACATACATCTGGCAACACTACACACATACATCTGGCAACACAACACACATACATCTGTCAACACTACACACATACACCTGGCAACACTACACACATACATCTGTCTACACTACACACATACATCTGTCTACACTACACACATACATCTGGCAACACTACACACATACATCTGGCAACACAACACACATACATCTGTCAACACTACACACATACATCTGGCAACACTACACACATACATCTGTCTACACTACACACATACATCTGGCAACACTACACACATACATCTGTCTACACTACACACATACATCTGTCAACACTACACACATACATCTGTCTACACTACACACATACATCTGTCAACACTACACACATACATCTGGCAACACTACACACATACATCTGGCAACACTACACACATACATCTGGCAACACTACACACATACATCTGTCTACACTACACACATACATCTGGCAACACAACACACATACATCTGTCTACACTACACACATACATCTGGCAACACAACACACATACATCTGTCTACACTACACACATACATCTGGCAACACAACACACATACATCTGTCTACACTACACACATACATCTGGCAACACTACACACATACATCTGTCAACACTACACACATACATCTGGCAACACTACACACATACATCTGGCAACACTACACACATACATCTGGCAACACTACACACATACATCTGGCAACACTACACACATACATCTGTCAACACTACACACATACATCTGGCAACACTACACACATACATCTGGCAACACTACACACATACATCTGTCTACACTACACACATACATCTGTCTACACTACACACATACATCTGGCAACACTACACACATACATCTGGCAACACTACACACATACATCTGGCAACACTACACACATACATCTGTCAACACTACACACATACATCTGGCAACACTACACACATACATCTGGCAACACTACACACATACATCTGTCTACACTACACACATACATCTGGCAACACTACACACATACATCTGTCTACACTACACACATACATCTGGCAACACTACACACATACATCTGTCTACACTACACACATACATCTGGCAACACTACACACATACATCTGGCAACACTACACACATACATCTGGCAACACTACACACATACATCTGGCAACACTACACACATACATCTGGCAACACTACACACATACTTCTGGCAACACTACACACATACATCTGGCAACACAACACACATACATCTGTCTACACTACACACATACATCTGGCAACACAACACACATACATCTGTCTACACTACACACATACATCTGGCAACACAACACACATACATCTGGCAACACTACACACATACATCTGGCAACACTACACACATACATCTGTCAACACTACACACATACATCTGGCAACACTACACACATACATCTGGCAACACTACACACATACATCTGGCAACACAACACACATACATCTGGCAACACTACACACATACATCTGTCAACACTACACACATACATCTGTCAACACTACACACACATACATCTGTCTACACTACACACATACATCTGGCAACACAACACACATACATCTGTCTACACTACACACATACATCTGTCTACACTACACACATACATCTGTCTACACTACACACATACATCTGTCTACACTACACACATACATCTGGCAACACTACACACATACATCTGTCTACACTACACACATACATCTGTCTACACTACACACATACATCTGGCAACACTACACACATACATCTGGCAACACTACACACATACATCTGGCAACACTACACACATACATCTGGCAACACTACACACATACATCTGGCAACACAACACACATACATCTGTCTACACTACACACATACATCTGGCAACACTACACACATACATCTGTCTACACTACACACATACATCTGTCAACACTACACACATACATCTGTCTACACTACACACATACATCTGGCAACACTACACACATACATCTGTCTACACTACACACATACATCTGTCAACACTACACACATACATCTGGCAACACTACACACATACATCTGGCAACACAACACACATACATCTGGCAACACTACACACATACATCTGGCAACACAACACACATACATCTGTCAACACTACACACATACATCTGGCAACACTACACACATACATCTGTCTACACTACACACATACATCTGTCTACACTACACACATACATCTGTCTACACTACACACATACATCTGGCAACACTACACACATACATCTGGCAACACTACACAAATACATCTGGCAACACTACACACATACATCTGGCAACACTACACACATACATCTGTCTACACTACACACATACATCTGTCAACACTACACACATACATCTGTCTACACTACACACATACATCTGGCAACACTACACACATACATCTGGCAACACTACACACATACATCTGGCAACACTACACACATACATCTGGCAACACTACACACATACATCTGTCTACACTACACACATACATCTGTCAACACTACACACATACATCTGTCTACACTACACACATACATCTGGCAACACTACACACATACATCTGTCTACACTACACACATACATCTGGCAACACTACACACATACATCTGTCTACACTACACATACATCTGGCAACACTACACACATACATCTGGCAACACTACACACATACATCTGTCTACACTACACACATACATCTGTCTACACTACACACATACATCTGGCAACACTACACACATACATCTGGCAACACTACACACATACATCTGGCAACACTACACACATACATCTGTCAACACTACACACATACATCTGGCAACACTACACACATACATCTGGCAACACTACACACATACATCTGTCTACACTACACACATACATCTGGCAACACTACACACATACATCTGTCTACACTACACACATACATCTGGCAACACTACACACATACATCTGTCTACACTACACACATACATCTGGCAACACTACACACATACATCTGGCAACACTACACACATACATCTGGCAACACTACACACATACATCTGGCAACACTACACACATACATCTGGCAACACTACACACATACTTCTGGCAACACTACACACATACATCTGGCAACACAACACACATACATCTGTCTACACTACACACATACATCTGGCAACACAACACACATACATCTGTCTACACTACACACATACATCTGGCAACACAACACACATACATCTGGCAACACTACACACATACATCTGGCAACACTACACACATACATCTGTCAACACTACACACATACATCTGGCAACACTACACACATACATCTGGCAACACTACACACATACATCTGGCAACACAACACACATACATCTGGCAACACTACACACATACATCTGTCAACACTACACACATACATCTGTCAACACTACACACACATACATCTGTCTACACTACACACATACATCTGGCAACACAACACACATACATCTGTCTACACTACACACATACATCTGTCTACACTACACACATACATCTGTCTACACTACACACATACATCTGTCTACACTACACACATACATCTGGCAACACTACACACATACATCTGTCTACACTACACACATACATCTGTCTACACTACACACATACATCTGGCAACACTACACACATACATCTGGCAACACTACACACATACATCTGGCAACACTACACACATACATCTGGCAACATTACACACATACATCTGGCAACACAACACACATACATCTGTCTACACTACACACATACATCTGGCAACACTACACACATACATCTGTCTACACTACACACATACATCTGTCAACACTACACACATACATCTGTCTACACTACACACATACATCTGGCAACACTACACACATACATCTGTCTACACTACACACATACATCTGTCAACACTACACACATACATCTGGCAACACTACACACATACATCTGGCAACACAACACACATACATCTGGCAACACTACACACATACATCTGGCAACACAACACACATACATCTGTCAACACTACACACATACATCTGGCAACACTACACACATACATCTGTCTACACTACACACATACATCTGTCTACACTACACACATACATCTGTCTACACTACACACATACATCTGGCAACACTACACACATACATCTGGCAACACTACACAAATACATCTGGCAACACTACACACATACATCTGGCAACACTACACACATACATCTGTCTACACTACACACATACATCTGTCAACACTACACACATACATCTGTCTACACTACACACATACATCTGGCAACACTACACACATACATCTGGCAACACTACACACATACATCTGGCAACACTACACACATACATCTGGCAACACTACACACATACATCTGTCTACACTACACACATACATCTGTCAACACTACACACATACATCTGTCTACACTACACACATACATCTGGCAACACTACACACATACATCTGTCTACACTACACACATACATCTGGCAACACTACACACATACATCTGTCTACACTACACATACATCTGGCAACACTACACACATACATCTGGCAACACTACACACATACATCTGGCAACACTACACACATACATCTGTCTACACTACACAAATACATCTGGCAACACTACACACATACATCTGTCTACACTACACACATACATCTGGCAACACTACACACATACATCTGTCAACACAACACACATACATCTGGCAACACTACACACATACATCTGTCAACACTACACACATACATCTGGCAACACTACACACATACATCTGTCTACACTACACACATACATCTGGCAACACTACACACATACATCTGGCAACACTACACACATACATCTGGCAACACTACACACATACATCTGGCAACACTACACACATACATCTGTCTACACTACACACATACATCTGTCAACACTACACACATACATCTGTCTACACTACACACATACATCTGTCTACACTACACAAATACATCTGGCAACACTACACACATACATCTGTCTACACTACACACATACATCTGTCAACACTACACACATACATCTGTCTACACTACACACATACATCTGTCTACACTACACACATACATCTGGCAACACTACACACATACATCTGGCAACACTACACACATACATCTGGCAACACTACACACATACATCTGGCAACACTACACACATACATCTGGCAACACTACACACATACATCTGGCAACACAACACACATACATCTGGCAACACTACACACATACATCTGTCAACACTACACACATACATCTGGCAACACTACACACATACATCTGGCAACACTACACACATACATCTGGCAACACTACACACATACATCTGGCAACACAACACACATACATCTGGCAACACTACACACATACATCTGGCAACACTACACACATACATCTGTCAACACTACACACATACATCTGGCAACACTACACACATACATCTGGCAACACTACACACATACATCTGGCAACACTACACACATACATCTGTCAACACTACACACATACATCTGTCTACACTACACACATATATCTGGCAACACTACACACATACATCTGTCTACACTACACACATACATCTGTCAACACTACACACATACATCTGTCTACACTACACACATACATCTGTCTACACTACACACATACATCTGGCAACACTACACACATACATCTGGCAACACTACACACATACATCTGGCAACACTACACACATACATCTGGCAACACTACACACATACATCTGTCTACACTACACACATACATCTGGCAACACTACACACATACATCTGGCAACACTACACATATACATCTGGCAACACTACACACATACATCTGGCAACACTACACACATACATCTGTCTACACTACACACATACATCTGGCAACACTACACACATACATCTGTCTACACTACACACATACATCTGGCAACACTACACACATACATCTGTCTACACTACACACATACATCTGGCAACACTACACACATACATCTGGCAACACAACACACATACATCTGGCAACACTACACACATACATCTGGCAACACTACACACATACATCTGGCAACACTACACACATACATCTGGCAACACTACACACATACATCTGTCTACACTACACACATACATCTGGCAACACTACACACATACATCTGGCAACACTACACACATACATCTGGCAACACAACACACATACATCTGGCAACACAACACACATACATCTGGCAACACTACACACATACATCTGGCAACACTACACACATACATCTGGCAACACAACACACATACATCTGGCAACACTACACACATACATCTGGCAACACTACACACATACATCTGGCAACACAACACACATTCGCCTGGCAACACAACGAGTCCCGTAGTTCCAGAAACTCACCAACAACGATAACACAACACAACAAGTCCCATAGTTCCAGAAACTCACCAACAACGATAACACAACACAACAAGTCCCGTAGTTCCAGCAAGCAACTCAACACAACAAGTCCCGTAGTTCCAGAAACTCACCAACAACGATAACACAACACAACAAGTCCCGTAGTTCCAGCAACTCACCAACAACGATAACACAACAAGTCCCGTAGTTCCAGCAAGCAACTCAACACAACAAGTCCCGTAGTTCCAGCAACTCACCAACAACGATAACTCAACACAACAAGTCCCGTAGTTCCAGCAACTCACCAACAACGATAACACAACACAACAAGTCCCGTAGTTCCAGCAACTCACCAACAACGATAACACAACACAACAAGTCCCGTAGTTCCAGCAACTCAACACAACAAGTCCCGTAGTTCCAGCAACTCACCAACAACGATAACACAACACAACAAGTCCCGTAGTTCCAGCAACTCACCAACAACGATAACACAACACAACAAGTCCCGTAGTTCCAGAAACTTAACACAACAAGTCCCGTAGTTCCAGAAACTCACCAACAACGATAACACAACACAACAAGTCCCGTAGTTCCAGCAACTCAACACAACAAGTCCCGTAGTTCCAGCAACTCACCAACAACGATAACACAACACAACAAGTCCCGTAGTTCCAGCAACTCACCAACAACGATAACACAACACAACAAGTCCCGTAGTTCCAGCAACTCAACACAACAAGTCCCGTAGTTCCAGCAACTCACCAACAACGATAACACAACACAACAAGTCCCGTAGTTCCAGCAACTCACCAACAACGATAACACAACACAACAAGTCCCGTAGTTCCAGAAACTTAACACAACAAGTCCCGTAGTTCCAGAAACTCACCAACAACGATAACACAACACAACAAGTCCCGTAGTTCCAGAAACTTAACACAACAAGTCCCGTAGTTCCAGAAACTCACCAACAACGATAACATTCATGGCAATGTTGTCCGAACCCTTTTCATTGCTGAGAGTTAGAGAATATTTGCCAGCGTCCTTCAGCTCAGCTTTCTTGCACCTGAGTGTGATGGAGTCGGGCTTGATTTCAAACTTGATGCGATCATTTTCATGGACTGGCATACCGCCCTGTAGACGTTTGGTCAGCAAGACATACAATACTTGTGGCAACATAAGCATGCGACAGACAACCCATTACAGACAACCCATAACAGAGAACCCATAACACACAACCCATAATAGACCATCCATAACAGAAACGCATAACTGACAACCCTTAACTGACAACCCATAACTGACAACCCATAACAGACAACCCATAACAGACAACCCATAACAGACACCCCATGACAGGTCTGGGCAACTGACCTGAGACCACGTGACTGTGGGTATGGGGTTCCCTGTGTAAGGGATGGCGATCTTGAATTCCTCCCCAACTTTAGCTCGGATGTCTTTGGACGTCGGCATTAGGTCACGGTTGATTTTTGGTGCAACTAGGGAACAGAGGGAACAATTTTGTTGGTGCAACTAGGGAACAGAGGGAACAATTTTATTGGTGCCACTAGGGAACAGAGGGAACATTTTTGTTGGTGCCACTAGGGAACAGAGGGAACAATTTTATTGGTGCAACTAGGGAACAGAGGGAACATTTTTATTGGTGCAACTAGAGAACAGAGGAAACAATTTTATTGGTGCCACTAGGGAACAGATGGAACATTTTTATTGGTGCAACTAGGGAACAGAGGGAACAATTTTGTTGGTGCAACTAGGGAACAGAGGGAACAATTTTTGTGCCACTAGAAAACACACAGAGGGAACAAAATAGTACAAGACACGGGCGTCTGAGTTACATCATGCAATTTATTGTGTAGCCACTGACCAGGAGGGGGCAGAGCTTTGATGTAGCCGCTGCCATCACTGAAGTCACCTATTCCAGCGTTGTTGACTGCAGCCACCCTAAACTCGTACTCCTTGCCCTCTTGAAGTCCTTTCACTTGGTATTCTGTGTCTGGAATCTCTGAGATGTTGGCCCTGAAAGTAAACTACGGTTTAAATCGTGTGGACAAGCAACTGGAAGTCAATCGTGTGGACAAGCTACAGGAAGTCAATCGTGTGGACAAGCTACAGGAAGTCAATCGTGTGGACAAGCAAATGGTCAATCGTGTGGACAAGCTACAGGAAGTCAATCGTGTGGACAAGCTACAGGTAGTCAATCGTGTGGACAAGCTACAGGAAGTCAATCGTGTGGACAAGCTACAGGTAGTCAATCGTGTGGACAAGCTACAGGTAGTCAATCGTGTGGACAAGCTACAGGAAGTCAATCGTGTGGACAAGCTACATGGTCAATCGTGTGGACAAGCTACAGGAAGTCAATCGTGTGGACAAGATACAGGAAGTCAATCGTGTGGACAAGCTACAGGTAGTCAATCGTGTGGACAAGCTACAGGAAGTCAATCGTGTGGACAAGCTACATGGTCAATCGTGTGGACAAGCTACAGGTAGTCAATCGTGTGGACAAGCTACAGGAAGTCAATCGTGTGGATAAGCTACAGGTAGTCAATCGTGTGGACAAGAAGTCAATCGTGTGGACAAGCTACTGGAAGTCAATCGTGTGGACAAGCTACTGGAAGTCAATCGTGTGGACAAGCTACAGGTAGTCAATCGTGTGGACAAGCTACAGGAAGTCAATCGTGTGGACAAGCAACTGGAAGTCAATCGTGTGGACAAGCAACTGGAAGTCAACCTATGATCCAGTAAGAAATAATGCCCCACATTTAGCAACTGAAGCCAAAATCTTACTTTGTCCATTTGGTGTCTCCCTTCTCTCTTTTCTCCACTACATAGCCAGTGATGGGGGCGCCACCATCTTTTTTGGGCGGAGACCAAGTGAGGGTGATGGAATCTTCGGTTGTTGAAGCACACTTGGGGATGCCGGGGGCTTGCGGGGCATCTGAAGAAAATTTTTATTTCACTCAAACTATGCACCACATTCAATGATTGTTATCATTGATCATATCCCTTAGCCTAGTCTCACCATAACTACATACAACAACATATCCCTTAGCCTAGTCTCACCATAAGGAAGTTTGGCTAGAACTGGCGTCTCAGTCTCCAGGAAGTCACTGACGCCCTGGGGGTTCTCTGCGGCCACACGGAACTCATACTTGGTACCTGGCTCCAGATTTCGGACTTCACAGGTGGGCTTGGACAGGAAGCTGCTGACTTTCTGCCACCTGTTGGTGCCAGCCTGTGGAAGCAACACATGCAAATTAACAGGGCATCCGAATTGTCCTCTTGATAAAGTAAAAATAAAAGTGTGCATTTATATGTTACAAGGCATTCTAACTTACTTTTCTTTTTTCTACAATGTAGTTAGCTATTTTTTCTCCTCCATCATCTGCTGGAGGTTTCCATGTCAAGGTCAGGGACTCACCCTGAATATCTGTGGCTTCTAGAGGGCCGACTGGCGTGCCAGGTTTATCTGAGAGTCAACAGCCGTTGTTACACAGGTCATAGGTCATGTTAGGCAATTGATAACTATTACCCAATACATTGAAACTACTCTTACCCAATACATTGAAACTACTCTTACCCAATACATTGAAACTACTCTTACACAATACATTGAAACTGCTCTTACCCAATACATTGACAGTACATTTACTCAATACATTGAAACTACTCTTACCTAATACATTGACATTAACTTTGGCGATATCCGATCCTTCATCGTTCTTAAGTGCAACTTCATATTTACCAGAGTCCTCTCGCTTAGCCTTGGCACAGTGAAGTATAGCATAGTCGTCTGTTAGCTGAGGACAGACGAACCCAAGTCAGTCAATAGCGGGACAGATGATGTGACAGATATAGTGTGACAGATATAGTGTGACAGATATAGTGTGACAGATATAGTGTGACAGATATAGTGTGACAGATATAGTGTGACAGATATAGTGTGACAGATATAGTGTGACAGATATAGTGTGACAGATATAGTGTGACAGATATAGTGTGACAGATATAGTGTGACAGATATAGTGTGACAGATATAGTGTGACAGATATAGTGTGACAGATATAGTGTGACAGATATAGTGTGACAGATATAGTGTGACAGACATCACGTGACAGGCATCACGTGACAGGCATGCTATGATTGGTGAGTCTGCCAAGAATCCCATGCAAATACCCACAGTCATGGTTATTCTTGGTGGATCAGCAACATTTTCCCCATTCAACGTCCACTTGGCCGTGGGCTTGGGTGTTCCAGTGAATGGTATCTTGATGGTGAACTCCTGGCCAGCCTTGACATTGATGTCCTTTAATCCAGATGTGTTTAGTTTGGGTTTCTCTGAAACATTTATCTCAACATCTCAATATGCCTATTCTATCGACTTCTGTATTATATCAGCTTCTGTATTCTATCAACCTCTGTACTCTATTGTGTATTATATCAATGTCTGTCATATATCAACTTGTGTATTATATCAATGTCTGTCATATATCAACTTGTGTATTATATCAATGTCTGTCATATATCAACTTGTGTGTGATATCAATGTCTGTTCTATCAAAATAAGGACGCGTGATTGTACCTGGTTGGTCTTCTATTTTCAGGGAGTTTGTGGGCTTGCTTGGCTCCCCGGGACCGACCACGTTGTCTGCCCGCACACGGAACTGATATTCCTCCCCCTCACTCAGCTTGGGGATGGTGGCTGTGAGCTGGCTGGCGGGAACTGTGGCGCACTCCATCCAGTCCTCGCCTTTCTTCTTCTTCTCCAGCACATACCCTGTCAGCTTGCTGCCGCCATCGCTGGCTGGCTTGGTCCACGACAACGTCACGGAGTCTTTGGTGATCTTGTCAACATTTGGCATGGAGGGGGCACCAGCGGGGACTAGGTTAGATAAAAGTTCATTCATAATTCTCTGGAGAGTCTTGTCAGAAACATAGAAAACAAGACGTTGGTCACACATAGGAACTCAACTCCATGATCAGAGAGTGATAGCATGACATACACATAGCATCTGTAACATGACATACACATAGTATCTGTAACATGACATACACATAGCATCTGTAACATGACATACAGATAGTATCTGTAACATGACATACACATAGTATCTTTAACATGACATACACATAGCATCTGGTCCCTGACTTACAAATAGGATCTCTAACTACGTGTTTTGGGGTTGCTTTGCTGGGTTTTCCAGGGCCTCCGTCATTGACGGCTGTCACACGGAACTCATACTCCGAGCCCTCATTGAGTTTCAGGACACTGAAGCTGGTCTCTGGGATGGGGAAGACGCAGGCTTTTGTCCAGTCTTTGCCTTTCTCTTTCTTCTCTATCAGGTAACCTGTAAAATATTTACAGACCTATAACAGACACTAGATGACACGAAACAACACCCTAATGATTTTTTATTTTTCTGTTATTTGGTTGCCACTACCACAAAATGACCTTTTGGCCAAATCTGACCTTTGATAGGGTTGCCGCCATCACTAACAGGTTCCTTCCAGCTGAGAGAGACGGAAAACCTGTCGTACTTGCTGATCTCCAAGTCCCTCGGCGCCTCGGGTGGGTCTGCTCAAACACACGGGTCAGGGTCAGGGTTAGCACAAAACTATATTCATAACTTCAGATTTACACAATTTGTATACTGATAAAAAATATCGGAACATATACTGACCGAATGGATTTTTGGCTGTGATCTTTTGACTCTCCAGTGGTTCCCCAACACCGTAAACGTTCTCAGCCTTGACCCTGAACTTATAGTTTTTGCCGTCCTTCAAGCCCTTGGCTACGATGCTCTCATCTTTGACAAGTCCAGGCACTTTTTCCCAGAAAGTGGAGCCTTCTTCACACTTCTCAACAACATAGCCTAAAAGTATTCCATGTGTCACGTCAAAGGACATTCTTTCCATTCAAACCTAAGAGTGAAGGTGGCTTAATCTTAACTCACCTGTAATTTCCGCTCCTCCATTATCTTTGGGTGGTTTCCATGACAACGTGCAGTTCTCAGCAGTGATATCCTTAATCTCTAGAGGCCCCTCGGGTTCTCCAGGCTTATCTGTTTAACAGAAAGTCATCATGGTACACGAGATATTGCACTAGAGACATCAATAGCAGGCAGTATTAAAAGGTAAAAAACTAACCTACTGTGTCCAGGTGACCAAAGACTCACCTACTGTGTCCAGGTGACCAAAGACTCACCTACTGTGTCCAGGTAAACAAAGACACCTACTGTGTCCAGGTGACCAAAGACACCTACTGTGTCCAGGTGACCAAAGACACCTACTGTGTCCAGGTGACCAAAGACACCTACTGTGTCCAGGTGACCAAAGACACCTACTGTGTCCAGGTGACCAAAGACACCTTCTGTGTCCAGGTGACCAAAGACACCTACTGTGTCCAGGTGACCAAAGACACTTACTGTGTCCAGGTGACCAAAGACACATACTGTGTCCAGGTGACCAAAGACACCTACTGTGTCCAGGTGACCAAAGACACCTACTGTGTCCAGGTGACCAAAGACACCTACTGTGTCCAGGTGACCAAAGACACCTACTGTGTCCAGGTGACCAAAGACACCTACTGTGTCCAGGTGATCAAAGACACCTACTGTGTCCAGGTGACCAAAGACACCTACTGTGTCCAGGTGATCAAAGACTCACCTACTGTGTCCAGGTGACCAAAGACACCTACTGTGTCCAGGTGACCAAAGACTCACCTACTGTGTCCAGGTGACCAAAGACACCTACTGTGTCCAGGTGACCAAAGACACCTACTGTGTCCAGGTGATCAAAGACTCACCTACTGTGTCCAGGTGACCAAAGACACCTACTGTGTCCAGGTGACCAAAGACACCTACTGTGTCCAGGTGACCAAAGACACCTACTGTGTCCAGGTGACCAAAGACTCACCTACTGTGTCCAGGTGACCAAAGACACCTACTGTGTCCAGGTGACAAAAGACACCTACTGTGTCCAGGTGACCAAAGACACCTACTGTGTCCAGGTGATCAAAGACTCACCTACTGTGTCCAGGTGACCAAAGACACCTACTGGGTCCATGTGATCAAAGACACCTACTGTGTCCAGGTGACCAAAGACTCACCTACTGTGTCCAGGTGACCAAAGACACCTACTGTGTCCAGGTGACCAAAGACACCTACTGTGTCCAGGTGATCAAAGACTCACCTACTGTGTCCAGGTGACCAAAGACACCTACTGTGTCCAGGTGACCAAAGACACCTACTGTGTCCAGGTGACCAAAGACATCTACTGTGTCCAGGTGACCAAAGACTCACCTACTGTGTCCAGGTGATCAAAGACACCTTCTGTGTCCAGGTGACCAAAGACACCTACTGTGTCCAGGTGACCAAAGACACCTTCTGTGTCCAGGTGACCAAAGACACCTACTGTGTCCAGGTGACCAAAGACACCTACTGTGTCCAGGTGACCAAAGACACCTACTGTGTCCAGGTGATCAAAGACACCTACTGTGTCCAGGTGACCAAAGACACCTACTGTGTCCAGGTGATCAAAGACTCACCTACTGTGTCCAGGTGACCAAAGACACCTACTGTGTCCAGGTGACCAAAGACTCACCTACTGTGTCCAGGTGACCAAAGACACCTACTGTGTCCAGGTGACCAAAGACACCTACTGTGTCCAGGTGACCAAAGACACCTACTGTGTCCAGGTGACCAAAGACTCACCTACTGTGTCCAGGTGACCAAAGACACCTACTGTGTCCAGGTGACCAAAGACACCTACTGTGTCCAGGTGACCAAAGACACCTACTGTGTCCAGGTGACCAAAGACTCACCTACTGTGTCCAGGTGACCAAAGACACCTACTGTGTCCAGGTGATCAAAGACACCTTCTGTGTCCAGGTGACCAAAGACACCTACTGTGTCCAGGTGACCAAAGACACCTTCTGTGTCCAGGTGACCAAAGACACCTACTGTGTCCAGGTGACCAAAGACACCTACTGTGTCCAGGTGACCAAAGACACCTACTGTGTCCAGGTGATCAAAGACACCTACTGTGTCCAGGTGACCAAAGACACCTACTGTGTCCAGGTGATCAAAGACTCACCTACTGTGTCCAGGTGACCAAAGACACCTACTGTGTCCAGGTGACCAAAGACTCACCTACTGTGTCCAGGTGACCAAAGACACCTACTGTGTCCAGGTGACCAAAGACACCTACTGTGTCCAGGTGACCAAAGACACCTACTGTGTCCAGGTGACCAAAGACACCTACTGTGTCCAGGTGACCAAAGACACCTACTGTGTCCAGGTGACCAAAGACTCACCTACTGTGTCCAGGTGACCAAAGACACCTACTGTGTCCAGGTGACCAAAGACACCTACTGTGTCCAGGTGACCAAAGACACCTACTGTGTCCAGGTGACCAAAGACACCTTCTGTGTCCAGGTGACCAAAGACACCTTCTGTGTCCATGTGATCAAAGACACCTACTGTGTCCAGGTGACCAAAGACACCTACCGTGTCCAGGTGACCAAAGACACCTACTGTGTCCAGGTGACCAAAGACACCTACTGTGTCCAGGTGACCAAAGACACCTACTGTGTCCAGGTGATCAAAGACACCTACTGTGTCCAGGTGACCAAAGACACCTACTGTGTCCAGGTGATCAAAGACTCACCTACTGTGTCCAGGTGACCAAAGACACCTACTGTGTCCAGGTGACCAAAGACTCACCTACTGTGTCCAGGTGACCAAAGACACCTACTGTGTCCAGGTGACCAAAGACACCTACTGTGTCCAGGTGATCAAAGACTCACCTACTGTGTCCAGGTGACCAAAGACACCTACTGTGTCCAGGTGACCAAAGACACCTACTGTGTCCAGGTGACCAAAGACACCTACTGTGTCCAGGTGACCAAAGACTCACCTACTGTGTCCAGGTGACCAAAGACACCTACTGTGTCCAGGTGACCAAAGACACCTACTGTGTCCAGGTGACCAAAGACACATACTGTGACAAAAGACTGACCTAAAACAATGACTGAAACTTCTGCAGTATCCTCGCCATGTTTGTTTGCGACTTTGACGGTGTATTTGCCAGTGTCTCCTCTCTCAGATTTGGGTATGTGAAGTTTGGCTTCTTTTTCGTCATTGGTTAACTCAGCCTGAATCAAGGCAAAGAAAAAAAAACATAAAAATATCCCACTCTTATAGAGACAGAAGCCAAATCCAGGAAACCTTAATGACTGTTGCCCAAAGCTATAAAAGCATGAAAAAACGACTTACTCTGTTGCCCAAAGCTATAAAAGCATGAAAAAATGACTTACTCTGTTGCCCAAAGCTATAAAAGCATGAAAAAATGACTTACTCTGTTGCCCAAAGCTATAAAAGCATGAAACAATGACTTACTCTGTTGCCCAAAGCTATAAAAGCATGAAAAAACGACTTACTCTGTTGCCCAAAGCTATAAAAGCATGAACAAATGACTTACTCTGTTGCCCAAAGCTATAAAAGCATGAAAAAACGACTTACTCTGTTGCCCAAAGGTTTCCCGTTCTTCTGCCATTCAACTGTGGGTTCAGGAGCTCCACAAATACCAAGATCAAGGTTGATAGGCTCTCCAGCACGGACACGAATTTCTTTAGCACCAAACAGGTTGTCTAGGTTTATTTTGGGAGCCTCTGGAGAATTTATGTAGTCAAGTATATAGTTACATATAGGTTTATTTTGGGAGCCTCTGGTGAATTTATGTAGTCAAGTATATAGTTACATATAGGTTTATTTTGGGAGCCTCTGGAGAATTTATGTAGTCAAGTATATAGTTACATATAGGTTTATTTTGGAAGCCTCTGGAGAATTTATGTAGTCAAGTATATAGTTACATATAGGTTTATTTTGGGAGCCTCTGGAGAATTTATGTAGTCAAGTATATAGTTACATATAGGTTTATTTTGGGAGCCTCTGGAGAATTTATGTAGTCAAGTATATAGTTACATCTAGGTTTATTTTGGGAGCCTCTGGTGAATTTATGTGGTCAAGTATATAGTTACCTATAGGTTTATTTTGGGAGCCTCTGGAGAATTTATGTAGTCAAGTATATAGTTACATATAGGTTTATTTTGGGAGCCTCTGGAGAATTTATGTAGTCAAGTATATAGTTACATTTAGGTTTATTTTGGGAGCCTCTGGTGAATTTATGTGGTCAAGTATATAGTTACATATAGGTTTATTTTGGGAGCCTCTGGAGAATTTATGTAGTCAAGTATATAGTTACATATAGGTTTATTTTGGGAGCCTCTGGAGAATTTATGTAGTCAAGTATATAGTTACATATAGGTTTATTTTGGGAGCCTCTGGAGAATTTATGTAGTCAAGTATATAGTTACATATAGGTTTATTTTGGGAGCCTCTGGTGAATTTATGTGGTCAAGTATATAGTTACATCTAGGTTTATTTTGGGAGTCTCTGGAGAATTTATGTAGTCAAGTATATAGTTACATCTAGGTTTATTTTGGGAGCCTTTGGAGAATTTATGTAGTCAAGTATTTAGTTACATATAGGTTTATTTTGGGAGCCTCTGGAGAATTTATGTAGTCAAGTATATAGTTACATATAGGTTTATTTTGGGAGCCTCTGGTGAATTTATGTGGTCAAGTATATAGTTACATATAGGTTTATTTTGGGAGCCTCTGGTGAATTTATGTGGTCAAGTATATAGTTACATCTAGGTTTATTTTGGGAGCCTCTTGTGAATTTATGTAGTCAAGTATATAGTTACATATAGGTTTATTTTGGGAGCCTCTGGAGAATTTATGTAGTCAAGTATATAGTTACATATAGGTTTATTTTGGGAGCCTCTGGTGAATTTATGTAGTCAAGTATATAGTTACATATAGGTTTATTTTGGGAGCCTCTGGTGGAGAGAATTTATGAAGTATATAATTACATATAGGTTTATTTTGGGAGCCTCTGGTGAATGTTTGTAGTCAAGTATATAGTTACATATAGGTTTATTTTGGGAGCCTCTGGAGAATTTATGTAGTCAAGTATATAGTTACATATTGGTTTATTTTGTGAGCCTCTGGTGAATTTATGTAGTCAAGTATATAGTTACATATAGGTTTATTTTGGGAGCCTCTGGAGAATTTATGTAGTCAAGTATATAGTTACATATAGGTTGATTTTGATAATTATATATATATATATATATATATATATATATATATATATATATATATATATATATATATATATATATATATATATATATATAATGAGAAAAATTGGCAGTGACCTTTAGCTGGCTTAGCTAGAACTGGAGCTGAAGCAGAACTGGGCTCAGATAGACCCGCCTCATTGACGGCTGACACCCTGTACTCATATTCCTTGCCTTCCTGAACTTTCTCGTCTTTGAACTGGGGTTTCTGGTGGGAAAAATTGAGAGCTTTGAACAACAGTGGCATTTTAAGACTAGATTTTAATTAATAAACCTTTTTTTAATTCATTTGTATGTATCTAAGTTTCAGTATTTATGGGAAAATGCTTGCATGCATCAGAGATTTCTCAACATATTGTAGCCATGGAAATGGCAGCTAGTTTGAAAAAAAATCTTTTGTGCAGGTCCAACGGTTCAAAAACTAACATATATACAGATCATATAAGCATTGATCCTTATTTAACTAACTTTAATAGAGTCAGCTATCTAGTTTTTGTACAAAAAAAAAAAAAAAAAAAAAAAAAAACGGTAATTTTTTTCCTGAAATTTTCAAAATTGTATATGGTAGGATACCATTAATTTTAGCATTAATTTTAATGTTAATTCACCATAAAAAGTTTTGAAAATTTGAAAAAAATATTTCTAGAGTATTTTCCTCTAAAATACCCAGCCAGATGACTCTAATGAGGTTAGCAAAAAGTAGGATCAATGGGTACATGATTTGTATATATGTCTTTTTTTTACCTTTAGACCCTAAAACAGTTTTTTTTCAAGATGGCTGCCGTTGCCATAGCAACCATTTTTTTTCAGTATTGTCCCAGATGCAAGTAAATATTTTCCATTAATTACCCTAACTTAGGTAGGCACAGATAAATAAATAAAGCTTAATACTTAAGAATTCCTTGAACCTACCCCACCCCCCCCCCACCCCCTTAAAGTTTAACTTGAGGTAAAGATATACTAGAGTTTTGTTCTGCAGTGTGTATCTTGTCATTGGTTTTCTTATAATAAATGCTAATCTGAGCAGGCTCAAGCGTGTAGAAGGCACCGGTGCTAGAACTTACAGTGATTGGTGCCTTGGTCAACTTGACCCATCTGTTGGTCTTGGGTTCTTTTCTTTCCACCTCATAGCCCGTGATTGGGGCGCCACCGTCATTCCTTGGTGGCTCCCACTTCATCTCAATAAAGGTCCGGTCTCTGTCCACGACCTCAGGTTTCCCAGGAGGTTCGGGTTTTTCTGTCAAATCAAACACCAGGTTTAACTTAAAACAGTAGCGTTAAGATTTCTCAATGACATAGGCTTTTTAAATAGCAGACTTTCTAAATGGCCTAAGCTAATTAAATGGCCTTAGCTACCTAAATGACTTAGGCCATCTCAGTGGCGTAGGTAGGGGGGTGGTTATAGGGGGGGGGTCAAAACCCCCCATGGATCCCTCTGTAAAAAAATTTGTTTACTGTCATAATACCAATAATACCACTGTTACTTATTTACATATGTTTTTGAATCAGTATATATGTGTATTTGTATAAGTATTGACGTGGATTGTAATGACTGACGAGAAGCCGCGTTGGTTGTTAACAGTCTTTATTATGTACAGACGCCATCATGGTAAGAGAGAGAGTAAGACGGAAGTGGCGAGAGACTTATATACATAACAACATGTAAGGGACATCACTCAAGATAACAATATAAATATAATACTAATACAGAAGAGTGAGTTCCCTTGACCTCACAATTATTTCAATCTATTACATCCCTTTACCCTTAGAACACAATAACACATCTCTCAATAGAACAATTGATAGTATCCTAAAATCACCAATTATATTGTAACATGAATACTATGGTAGATTACATCCTTACAAACAATGCACAATATGCCACAACATAATCAAAATACAAAACAATAATGTCAAAGTCCTTTTGACCTTTAGAATCATAGGTCTAACTTATTTGGGACTTTGATTGTCCTGCTTGACCTTCTCAGTGGCTTTTGATTTGGTGACTCAATATTCTGACCATCTGGATTCTCTATCTCAGGAGGTCTAGGATTTAAATCATTAACTCCAGAATTTACATTTTCTGACTCCAGACAACTTGGTTCACTCATATCAACAGAACTTGGTTGTGAAACAAACTGAGTTGGTGTGAACTGTTCAGATTTGGTGGGATTGATAGATTCACACTTATTATCTGCACAAGTTATTTTTAACTTTATAAGACACAGGTCCTGTACCTTGAACAATTTGACCTGGTATCCATTTTTCCTTTCTCCCATAATTTCTTAGATACACATTCTTATTAACACCAAATTCTCTTTCAATGAATGTTTGTCATGATCTAATGGAACTATTTTTGAATTGGCATCTGAAAGTATTATGCTGTTATTCAGATCCTTGACTGACATAGATTTCTTTGATTGATCAATTTTCTCAGGTAATCTGATAGTGCTTTCCTGGTAACCAAAAATACTGTTTATGAGTAATATTCTGGACCATATCACTTTGCAACTGTGATCCAGTATTTGAAGTGGGTGTATTAAATGGCAAAAATCTTTTTCTTTTCTTTTGATGTTACCCTTTTAGTTTCTGTAAGTGCTAATGATGTTAGCAAAGTTGTTTGATGATCACATTCCTTCTTACTAATGTATTCTCTTTAAAACATTTGAAATTGCCATATCACCATAATCATTTATTAAGTTACAAGTACTTTGTTTAGGCAACTCTGACTGATAATGGACTGTATCTTCTCCATCTTTTATATTATCTTCACAAAAGTTTTTAATTTCTTATTTAATATGGCCTTAAGTCATCATTCACAGACTCTTCAGGCCAACCATTCTTACAGTACTCATATACTTTTATTAAGCACTCATCTTTTTGTGTTTCTCTCTTAATATCATTCACATTTATATTGGAGTTATCCATGATGGTAAAGAGAACAAATACATCTTCTGGTACATAGCTCAGGCTTTGGTTTTTTAAAGGTAATCTGCTAAGACTATCTGCACTATTCTCAGATCCAGGTTTGTATTTCAATTCATAATTGTATGCAGTTAGTGTGATAGCCCATCTTTGAATTCTTGGTGAGGCATGCTCAGGTAGGGTTTTGTTTTCTCCAAATAAACCTAGCAATGGTTTATGATCTGTAAAGATGGTGAACTTCCTACCAAACAGAAACTTATGAAATTTCTTAACACCAAAAATGATGCCTAAGCCTTCCCTATCTAACTGAGAATAATTTTTCTCAGCCTGGTTCAAAGATCTACTGGCAAAAGCAATGGGTCTGTCACCCTTCTCATCCATGTGGGACAAGACTGCTCCTACACCATCTGGTGAAGCATCACATGTTAATATAAGTCTTTTCCCTGGGTCATAGTGAGTTAGTAAGGTGTCAGCAGACAAAGCCTCTTTTGCTGTATTATAAGCAGTATCTTGTTGTTTACCCCAGTGCCAAGTTGCATTTTTCTGTAGCAGCTTGTACAGTGGTGATAGTTTACCAGACAGATTTCCTATGAACTTTGCATAGTAATTTATTAAGCCCAAAAAAGCTCTTAGTTGTTGGGTATTTTCAGGTTTTGGTGCTTCTTTAATGGCTTTTGTTTTCTCAGGTTGAGGTCTGATACCTTGCTTGCTTAATATATAACCAAGAAAACTAATTTCTGTCAACATGAATTGACATTTATCTTTGTTTATCTTTAAACCTTTTTCACCAACAATTTTCAATACTTTATCAAGTGTTTTAAGATGTTCAGTGTCATTCTTACCAGTTATGTACACATTGTCAAAGTACACACAAACATTTGGAATGTCCTTAAAAATACTGTCCATGACAGCTTGGAAAATTCCAGGGCTAGATGATATGCCAAAACATAGTCTTTCATATTGGTAGAGTCCTTTATGTGTGTTTATTGTCGTATAGACTTTTGAATCTGGATGCAGTTCTAGTTGAGTGTAAGCATGACTAAAGTCTAATTCAGTGAATTTGTCTCCTCCTGCCAAATTCAAAGAAATTTCCTCAATGTTAGGTATAGGGTACCTATTTAGCTCTATTTGCTTATTCAGTGTAGTTTTATAATCTCCACAAATTCTTATAGAACCATCCTTCTTTAACACTGGCACAATGGGTGTCGCCCAATCGGAATAGTCTACCTTCTTTATAATGCCATTAGATTCCAATCTACTTAGCTCATTTTCAATTTTATTCCTCATTGCATAAGGTGGAACTCTAGCTTTGCAGTATCTTGGATTTGTGTCTTTAATGCTTAACTTCACTGTTCTATCATTTAGTAATCCAGAGTTACCAAAAACACATTTATTTTCAGATATAACTTTATCTAGTGAAGTAAGACTAGATTCTTTTACATTCTTCAATGAACAAATACTCTCCCAATTTAACTTAAGATCACTTAACCAGTTCCTACCTAGTAATGGCGGTCCATTTCCTTCAACCACAAGAAGAGGAAGTTTAACACTTTGACCATTATAACTTACATGAACCATACACTCTCCTATTACCGGAACATTGTCACCAGTGTATGTTGTTAGGCACTTGTGACATGGCTGTAGAGGCACTGATCCTCCAGTGACAGCGTCAAAATCTTTCTTTGTTATGACTGTTAGAGATGCGCCAGTGTCAAGTTGGAAGCTGATGCTCTTACCGTTGATATTAACTTGTACATTGATGGGAGCATGACTTATTGATTTCACAGAGAACAGGTTGAAATCCGGCTGCGAATCAGTTTGAGCATTTTCACAGGTAGAGTGGTTCATTGGTTGGGTTAGGTAGTCTTGGTGAGAGTTAACATAGTGCTGCTTTTGGTTGCGGTACTGTCTTGACTGGCTAGATTTAGCAACAGACGAAGACTTTGCAAAGCAGGCCTTAGCAATGTGACCTTGCTTACCGCACTTATAACAAGTTGCAGACTTGAACTTGCACCGATGAGATGCATGGGGACCTTTGCATCGATGACATTTTTGATAATTATTACTAGATTTAGATCTAGGATTTGAACGAGCAGGCTGTTTAGCATAAGTTGGAATGCTCTGATGGGTTTGATGTTTATTGACTAACCTGCTGTTTACTGCATGGATCTCTGAAGGTGCTAAAGATCTCGCCGCATCTGATGACTGCTGGAATGACATTGCAAGTTGTATTGCTTTTTCCAATTTTAGATCTGACTCGAGCAGCAACTTTCTTTGAATATCAGGGCTGTTTACACCTGTCACAAACTTTTCACATAGTCTGTCAGACAGCGTGTCTCCGAATTCACAAAATTCACTTAAATGACGTAAAGCAGCAACATATTCTGGTATTGACTCGTTTGGTTGACGAGTCCTACTGTCAAATCTAGCTCTACATAGAAACTTTGATGGGGTAGGCGCATGGTGGTCTGTTAGCAATTTGCTCAGCTCGTTAAAGCTCTTGGTATCTGGACTAGCTGGTGCGCATAAGTCCTTTAGTAGCCTGAATTGTTGAGGCCCTATGACTGTTAACAAAACAGCTCTCTTTTTGGCTTCTATCGTCACGTCGTTAGCTTCTAGGTAAAAGCTTAACCTCTCTAGGTAATCTTGAATGATTTCATCATTCGCATCAAATTGTTTTATTTGGCCATACAGCGCCATAATTCTAGAAATAATTAGCTAATAAGCTCTAGCAAACCTCTTTTTTGCGTAAGTAGGTGCTCTTTCTAGTAGATGTTTATCCTTCGTCGCCAATTGACGTGGATTGTAATGACTGACGAGAAGCCGCGTTGGTTGTTAACAGTCTTTATTATGTACAGACGCCATCATGGTAAGAGAGAGAGTAAGACGGAAGTGGCGAGAGACTTATATACATAACAACATGTAAGGGACATCACTCAAGATAACAATATAAATATAATACTAATACAGAAGAGTGAGTTCCCTTGACCTCACAATTATTTCAATCTATTACAAGTATGTTTAGAACAGTCATCTAAAAACTGACGCTATGTTCACTCTGAGTTGGTTATCCCACCTTACCACCACAATTGTGAAGAGCGACATTAATGTCACACCTAGGTATACGCTGGGTAGGATAATTCACCTAAAGTGGCTGGATAGTGGTGAATGAAGTTGAACCCCCCTCCAACCCACCACGAACTGATCTGTTAAGTACTTTTGGGAAAACGCGTAATGAGGTACCAAAGTACCATGCCGCCAGAATCATAGCTTTTGAAACAGGCAAAACTCTGTAAATAAAATTTTGCAATTACCAGTAAAGAGGTGTGTGATCAATGCATTTCATTATGTTAAAAATGATTTTTAGAGAACACAAAAAATAGTAGCAGTGATCGGAACTGCAAGACCAATAATTTAGTTATATGTAAGCTATTATTCAGAATGTTCCCCATGTTAGATTTAGTTTTTCTATTAGATAGAAAAGTTTGATTTTATACCAACTCTGATTTCAAAAACTTTCATTATGCTGTAATATTTTAGCTTTTATCATAACAATATATTTAATTCTGATTGTAGACAACATATTTTTGTAAAAACAAATAGTGTAAAGCTACTATATTACATGGTCTGTTTTGACATGTACAATTAAATTTGAGAAATATACATAGTCATATTTAGAGAGTGATTATTTCCAATATTTTGCTTGTCTTAATTAATATACTAGGAATCATTATGTTGAATTGTTTTTTTCAAGGATTACAAAACAGATTGTGTTGCGTTGTTTTTGGTTGTATTGTGTGTATATATATATATATTTTTGGTTTTTTGTTTAGAGTGATAAATTGTTTTGTTTTGTCGGCCTACATTGTGTGTTTTTCTTATTTCTTCAGAGTACTAATTTCAATTTATTTTACATCATAGCAAAGCAATGACATACTGCTGGATATATATATATATATATATATATATATATATATATATATATATATATATATATATATATATATATATATATATATATATATATATATATATATATAATGCTGGAAAAAATTGCCCCCCCCATGAGACGATCCTGGCTACGCCACTGGGCTATCTAAATAACATGGTTCCAAACTTTTCAGACACGAACTGTGACATTGAGGTTCATGTGATTAAAGTGAAAGTTTCTGAAATTACCAAAAGGATTTTTGGCTGTGATTGGGTTTTCCAGCTCCAGGGGCTCGCTGTCTCCATTAGGACCTTCAGCAATAACCCTGAACTTGTAGTCGTGGCCTTCTTGCAGCTTGGGGACCACGCACTTGTTGCCTTGCACTGTCGCCACTTTCTCCCACTTGCCTTTCTCCAGGTCAAACTTCTCCACGCGGTAACCCCTGCAACACAAAACTTGGCCACTCAAATCTAACATTGATTGTAAACTCGCGTTTCATTCAATCACTTTGGAGGTGTTTGTACAATTGTAATCAGTGGTGAAATGCTGAGAGAGGAAATGTTTCTTCTTACTTGATATCACTTCCCCCATCGTCTGCCGGCGGCTTCCATGTGAGGGTGGCGCTGTCTTTGGTCACTTCCTTGACTTCAAGTGGTCCACCCGGTCTAGCGGGGGGCCCTGAAGGGAAATAATCGATAGGTCAGTCAAACACCGAGTAAGTGATACCAAGTAACCAAAAGATGAAAGACTTACCGAGTAAAAGATTGAGAGACTTACCGAGTAAACAAAATATGAAAGACCTACCAAGTGAGTAAAGTATCAAGAGAGACCTAGCGAGTAAAAGATTGAGAGACCTACCAAGATTGAGAGACCTACCGAGATTGAGAGACCTACCGAGATTGAGAGACCTACCGAGATTGAGAGACCTACCAAGATTGAGATACCTACCGAGAACGACGACGCTGATTGTGGCCGAGTCTGAGCCATGTTTGTTGGAGACGGTGAGGGTGTACTCCCCTGTGTGTTTCCTCGCCCCATCTTTACACTCAATAGTTGTCTCTCTTGGCTTGCTAGCAAGACTGAGTACATCAGACGGTTCCAGAGGAAGTTCCTCTTGTTTCTGAAGGAACAAACACGACTGAAGTCTAGCTGTTTTATTAATCTCTCACTAACCCTAAAACTTACCCTACTGCTTACCTGAAGCAATTTATTCAATAATTGATAATAATAATAATGAAACTGACAAGGCAGCTGCTTAATTAACATAATTAATTGTTCTCAAGTTAATTAAGAATCTTTAAAGCATTACTGTTTAATTCTCTGGAAATAAAAACTTTCCTATCTTAAAATAAAGATGAAAAAGGTTAGCATAGTAAGCACACATTAGAACTAAGACGGCTAAACACTGAAGCCTCCCACAGCAACTTCTGAAATGTTGCAAGCAAATCTAGACAACGCTAGAGTCTTCAGTGTGGAGTTACCACAAACAAAAATCTGGGCAACTTATGGAGCTGTACAGTAGGACAAAACTGTCAGCCAAAACTCAGGACAAACAAGAATGCTTCTTCAAGTTGAAAAACAAAATACAATTGAAGTCAAGCAGTCTAAGTTGTTTTGGCCTAGACAGACCTACAGTTCCATAGTGTCTTTAACAAGTTTTACCCAGTGAAGTAACAGTTAGAGACAAGCAAACACCAGTAGTAAGATTGGTTTACACACAAGAGGACACATTTTAAAGTTAATTCTTGTCAAACAAAAACATTTTTAAAGTTAATTCTTGTCAAACAAAAACATTTTTAAAGTGAAGTTCATGAACAGGGTACAAATAATTTCATGTGAAATGTAGGAAAGTGTTTGTGCTGGCTGAATGCATTATCTGATGTGAAACTGATGAAAATCTTTTTACCGGGTTTCTTTAAAAACTGTTAATTGAGCAGCATAATATTATTTGTACAGAGCTAAAGAACGTTAGTTTAGTATGACACATGTTAACTGATGACGTCACGTGGGTTAAGTCTACATACAAGCCTCAGGTATTAAATTTTACAATTCCTTTTTTATATATACATGTATTTAATCTTGAAATTATTTTTCCTTACAATACGGGTAACCCTAAGACTTGACTGAACCCTTTTGTTGACTTTAGATTGGGGACATCCAACCAACTAGTTTAAGATGTGTAATAGACAAAGCAACTGTTAATTTGTATGAGTTAGAGACCAATGCACTTGGTTGAGCCAGCATTGACAAGACGCGACATTATGCTCAACAAAGCATAGTGGGTAGCACATCCAGCGGGCACAGGCTGGGTGCCACCTCTACACCATGCCAACACAAGGCATACAACAACAATATTAGACGTTTAGCCCTTGAACAGAATGTGTGTGTGTTCGATAATTTCTCCAGTGTGATTTATTCCCCCTGTATGATTAATTTCCCATGTATGATTAATTTGTCCAGTGTGATTAATTTCTCCCGTGTGATTTTTTCCCCCTGAGTGATTAATTTCCCCTGAGTGATTAATTTCCCCTGTGTGATTAATTTCTCAAGTGTGATTTATTTCCCCTGTGTGATTAATTTCCCCTGAGTGATTAATTTCCCCTGATTGATTAATTTCCCCTGAGTGATTAATTTCCCCTGAGTGATTAATTTCTCCAGTGTGATTAATTTTCCCTGTGTGATTAATTGATTATACAGTGAGGCAAATGCTTCTAGTACACTTAAACACAGAAAGACAAAGGTTCCCTCACTTGTCCAGTTTCCAGATCCTAGACACAAAAATTGGGTAAAACAGAAGAAAAAATTAAAACTGAAACAAATCAATTGTAAACATCAAGTCACATGACAAACGTGGGGATTCACTTACTACTTTGATACCGTCTACATACTTCCTATACATATATACTGTCGACATAATTCCTAAACATATATTTTGTCTACACAAATTCAAGAACATATATTTTGCCTACTTAATTCATATACAAATAAAGGTTCATTGATCAGAAGTTCATAAAAGTTGTATCATAAAAAAGGTCAAACAAAGATTTGGCTACAAAACAAAGCACACAATGTTCTAGCTACATGTTTGGAGGATCAGCTGGAAGGCCAGCTGGACGGTCAGCTGGACGGTCGGCTGGACGGTCAGTTGGACGGCCAGCTGGACGGTCAGCTAGACGGTCAGCTAGACGGTCAGCTAGACGGTCGGCTGGACGGTCAGCTAGACGGTCAGCTGGACGGTCAGCTAGACGGTCAGCTGGACGGCCAGCTAGACGGTCAGCTAGACGGTCGGCTGGACGGTCAGTTGGACGGCCAGCTGGACGGTCAGCTAGACGGTCAGCTAGACGGTCAGCTAGACGGTCGGCTGGACGGTCAGCTAGACGGTCAGCTGGACGGTCAGCTAGACGGTCAGCTGGACGGCCAGCTGGACGGCCAGCTGGACGGTCAGCTAGACAGTCAGCTGGACGGTCAGCTGGACGGCCAGCTAGACCCCTCTAAACATTAGTGTCCGCCCAGTAGGGCAGGGATTATCAGGGGCAGGGCACTCTCAAATAGACAGAATCCAACTTACCCCTTTTGGTCCCTAGGAAGATAATAGAGGAGAGATTGGAGTACAGGACACATAAATGCAAGACAAAGTTCTAATCAAAATAAGCGTCACTCAACACAACCCAACACAACTTCGTATGTCAGCATAACATACACGTATTATCAATTTTAGAGCTATAACACACAGAACACACAAGAAAAAATAAACACAAAACAGAAATAATGAACAGAAATAATACATAAATAAACCGGGACTGATCTCCCCTAAACTTTCTCGAATATTCTTATATAACTCGGAAAATATACACGATTTTTAATTACTTAAACTTTTAAAAATAGAATAGAATCTCGTAGAAAAAAGAATTGCGCACCAAGCGAACGCCAAAACAAAATGTGCATAATAGTGCGCAATATTATTAGTACTTTTTAAATTTATGCGTTTTTTGAGAAATCGGAAATAGCGTAAATTAGTACTTCCGGTGAACAGAAATTACTCAAAATTTGATAGAAGGTAGAAAATTAGATCTTTGACTTTTTTGTGAAATTTCATTTATCTATCTAAAATAGTACTCAAGTTATAGGCTTTTTAAAAATTCAAAGTAGAAAAAGTACCACTTCCGGTTTTTGGAGATCGCTCAAAAGTTGATACGGATCTACGATTTTGATAAAATACTTATATATGAAATTTCATCAACCTAGCTGTATCGGTACTCAAGTTATCGTGTTTACACACAGACACACACACAGACAGACAGACAACGCAAAATTATGTTTTTCTGTATCAGTGAGGTGTAAAACGTCGAGATTTGTAAAAATCTCGATTTTTTTTGCACTATTACAAGACTTTCTCTATACTTCGTATAATCGAGAAAGTAAAAATACTGAATAGACAAAATACAACACAAATAATTACTGGCAAAATACCACAAAAATAATAAACAAAACAAACATAGTCAACAAAAGCAATAAATAAACATGAAACAACAAAACCAACGAACAAATATATAACAAACAAACCAATAAATAGACCTACATAAGACAACAAAATCAATGTACAAACATAAAACAACAAACATAATGAACTGCAATATCATAAACAAAAATGTATACATACAAAGACAAAACAAGCAAGTACATACAAATCATCAAACATCAGAATAAACAAAAGGTGAATTAAAAAAAAATACTGTTGAAAAGAGACAGGTTGAACAGGGTGTGGGGGCTGCTGGGAAAAAGTTCATCTCATACCAAGTTTTTGACCAGCCACGAGACCTGGGGAGTCGGCTCGCCCACGAAGGTGATTGGTCCAATGGTAAACTTCTGGCCCACCTTGATGCGGATGTTTTGTGGAACCGTTTTTTGGTCAATCCTCGGTTTGACTGATAAAAAAAACATCAGAAAACAAGTTAACAAGCGGCTTGCTGATGAATTAATCACTTAGGTAACACATAATGACTTTCAACATCCAGGTCTCATCTTCTGAACTCATTAAGTCATGACTTCGAATGACTATAAGTCCAAAAGCAAGAACAGAGAAAAGATTTAAAGTAAATCAGAATAATAAATAATATAAGCTTTATCATAAAAACATGTTTCAGATACTAAACTATCTAAAAAGAGAAATATTTTTAAAACCTTTTCTGGACTTGCAAAGAACTGGCTCTGAACATTGGCTCGGCTCCGAGGGACCTGCCTTGTTTTTGGCAATGACGCGAAACTCGTACTCCTTGCCCTCTTTCAATCCCTTGACGGTTCCCTTGTTCTCGGGGCCAGTCTCAGTTCCCTGGGGGAACAACTCTTAAGTCAAATTGTGGTGGGAGGTTTGTGTGGTGTGAGGTTTGTGTGGTGGGAGGTTTGTGTGTGATGGGAGGTTTGTGTGATGGGAGGTTTGTGTGGTGTGAGGTTTGTGTGGTGTGAGGTTTGTGTGTGGTGGAAGGTTTGTGTGTGGTAGGAGGTTTGTGTGGTGGGAGGTTTATGTGTGGTGTGATGTTTGTGTGTGGTGTGAGGTTTGTGGGTGGTGTGAGGTTTGTGTGTGGTGGGAGGTTTGTGAGGTTTGTGTGGTGGGAGGTTTGTGTGGTGTGAGGTTTGTGGTGGTGGGAGGTTTGTGTGGTGGGAGGTTTGTGTGGTGTGAGGTTTGTGTGTGGTGGGAGGTTTGTGTGGTGGGAGGTTTGTGTGGTGTGAGGTTTGTGTGTGGTGGGAGGTTTGTGTGGTGTGAGATTTGTGTGGTGTGAGGTTTGTGTGTGGTGGGAGGTTTGTGTGGTGGGAGGTTTGTGTGGTGTGAGGTTTGTGTGTGATGGAAGGTTTGTGTGTGGTAGTAGATTTGTGTGTAGGGCAGGTTTGTGTGGTGGGAGGTTTGTGTGGTGTGAGGTTTGTGTGCAGTGGGAGGTTTGTGTGTGGTGGGAGCTTTGTGTGGTGTGAGTTTTGTGTGGTGTGAGGTTTGTGTGTGATGGGAGGTTTGTGTGGTGGGGGGGGGTTGTGTGTTGTGAGGTTTGTGTGTGGTGGGAGGTTTGTATGGTGTGAGGTTTGTGTGTGGTGGGAGGTTTGTGTGGTGTGAGGTTTGTGTGGTGTGAGGTTTGAATGGTGTGAGGTTTGTGTGTGGTGTGAGGTTTGTGTGGTGGGAGGTTTGTGTGGTGTGAGGTTTGTGTGATGGGAGGTTTGTGAGGTTTGGGTGGGAGGTTTTTGCGGTTTGAGGTTTGTGTGTGGTGGGAGGTTTGTGTGGTGTGAGGTTTGTGTGTGGTCGGAGGTTTATGTGTGGTGGGAGGTTTGTGTGGTGGGAGGTTTGTGTGTGGTGGGAGGTTTGTGTGGTGGGAGGTTTGTGTGTGGTGGGAGGCTTGTGTGATGGGAGGTTTGTGTGTGATGGGAGGTTTGTGTGGTGTGAGGTTTGTGTGTGGTGTGAGGTTTGTGTGTGGTGGGAGGTTTGGGTGTGGTGGGAGGTTTGTGTGGTGGGAGGTTTGTGTGGTGTGAGGATTGTGTGTGGTGGGAGGTTTGTGTGGTGGGAGGTTTGTGTGGTGTGAGGTTTGTGTGTGATGGAAGGTTTGTGTGTGGTAGTAGGTTTGTGTGTAGGGCAGGTTTGTGAGGTTTGTGTGGTGGGAGGTTTGTGTGGTGTGAGGTTTGTGTGCAGTGGGAGGTTTGTGTGTGGTGGGAGCTTTGTGTGGTGTGAGTTTTGTGTGGTGTGAGGTTTGTGTGTGATGGGAGGTTTGTGTGGTGGGGGGGTTTGTGTGTTGTGAGGTTTGTGTGTGGTGGGAGGTTTGTATGGTTTGAGGTTTGTGTGTTGTGGGAGGTTTGTGTGGTGTGAGGTTTGTGTGCTGTGAGGTTTGTATGGTGTGAGGTTTGTGTGTGGTGTGAGGTTTGTGTGGTGGGAGGTTTGTGTGGTGTGAGGTTTGTGTGATGGGAGGTTTGTGAGGTTTGGGTGGGAGGTTTTTGTGGTTTGAGGTTTGTGTGTGGTGGGAGGTTTGTGTGTGGTGGGAGGTTTGTGTGGTGTGAGGTTTGTGTGTGGTCGGAGGTTTAAGTGTGGTGGGAGGTTTGTGTGGTGGGAGGTTTGTGTGTGGTGGGAGGTTTGTTGAGTGGGAGGTTTGTGTGTGGTGGGAGGCTTGTGTGATGGGAGGTTTGTGTGTGATGGGAGGTTTGTGTGGTGTGAGGTTTGTGTGTGGTGTGAGGTTTGTGTGTGGTGGGAGGTTTGGGTGTGGTGGGAGGTTTGTGTGATGGGAGGTTTGTGTGGTGTGGGAGGTTTGGGTGGTGTGAGGTTAGTGTGATGGGAGGTTTGTGTGTGATGGGAGGTTTTTGTGGTGTGAGGTTTGTGTGTGGTTGGAGGTTTGTGTGTGGTGGGAGGTTTGTGTGGTGTGAGGTTTGTGTGTGGTGGGAGGTTTGTGTGTGGTGGGAGGTTTGTGTGGTGGGAGGTTTGTGTGTGGTGGGAGGCTTGTGTGATGGGAGGTTTGTGTGTGGTGGGAGGTTTGGGTGTGGTGGGAGGTTTGTGTGGTGGGAGGTTTGTGTGGTGGGGGGGGTTTGTGTGGTGTGAGGTTTGTGTGTGGTGGGAGGTTTGTGTGTGCTCTGAGGTTTGTGTGGTGGGAGGTTTGTGTGGTGTGAGGTTTGTGAGGTTTCTGTGGTGGGAGGTTTGTGTGATGGGAGGTTTGTGTGTGATGGGAGGTTTGTCTGATGGGAGGTTTGTGAGGTTTGGATGGGAGGTTTTTGTGGTGTGAGGTTTGTGTGTGGTGGGAGGTTTGTGTGGTGTTAGGTTTGTCTGATGGGAGGTTTGTGAGGTTTGGATGGGAGGTTTTTGTGGTATGAGGTTTGTGTGTGGTGTGAGGTTTGTGTGTGGTGGGAGGTTTGTGTGTGGTGGGAGGTTTGTGTGGTGGGAGGTTTGTGTGTGGTGAGAGGCTTGTGTGATGGGAGGTTTGTGTGTGATTGGAGGTTTGTGTGGTGTGAGGTTTGTGTGTGGTGTGAGGTTTGTGTGTGGTGGGAGGTTTGGGTGTGGTGGGAGGTTTGTGTGGTGGGAGGTTTGTGTGGTGTGAGGTTTGTGTGTGGTGTGAGGTTTGTGTGTGGTGTGTGGTTTGTGTGGTGGGAGGTTTGTATGGTGTGAGGTTTGTGTGTGGTGGGAGGTTTGTGTGGTGTGAGGTTTGTGTGGTGTGAGGTTTGAATGGTGTGAGGTTTGTGTGTGGTGTGAGGTTTGTGTGGTGGGAGGTTTGTGTGGTGTGAGGTTTGTGTGATTGGAGGTTTGTGAGGTTTGGGTGGGAGGTTTTTGCGGTTTGAGGTTTGTGTGTGGTGGGAGGTTTGTGTGTGGTGGGAGGTTTGTGTGGTGTGAGGTTTGTGTGTGGTCGGAGGTTTATGTGTGGTGGGAGGTTTGTGTGGTGGGAGGTTTGTGTGTGGTGGGAGGTTTGTGTGGTGGGAGGTTTGTGTGTGGTGGGAGGCTTGTGTGATGGGAGGTTTGTGTGTGATGGGAGGTTTGTGTGGTGTGAGGTTTGTGTGTGGTGTGAGGTTTGTGTGTGGTGGGAGGTTTGGGTGTGGTGGGAGGTTTGTGTGGTGGGAGGTTTGTGTGGTGTGAGGATTGTGTGTGGTGGGAGGTTTGTGTGGTGGGAGGTTTGTGTGGTGTGAGGTTTGTGTGTGATGGAAGGTTTGTGTGTGGTAGTAGGTTTGTGTGTAGGGCAGGTTTGTGAGGTTTGTGTGGTGGGAGGTTTGTGTGGTGTAAGGTTTGTGTGCAGTGGGAGGTTTGTGTGTGGTGGGAGCTTTGTGTGGTGTGAGTTTTGTGTGGTGTGAGGTTTGTGTGTGATGGGAGGTTTGTGTGGTGGGGGGGTTTGTGTGTTGTGAGGTTTGTGTGTGGTGTGAGGTTTGTGTGGTGGGAGGTTTGTGTGGTGTGAGGTTTGTGTGATGGGAGGTTTGTGAGGTTTGGGTGGGAGGTTTTTGTGGTTTGAGGTTTGTGTGTGGTGGGAGGTTTGTGTGTGGTGGGAGGATTGTGTGGTGTGAGGTTTGTGTGTGGTCGGAGGTTTATGTGTGGTGGGAGGTTTGTGTGGTGGGAGGTTTGTGTGTGGTGGGAGGTTTGTGTGGTGGGAGGTTTGTGTGTGGTGGGAGGCTTGTGTGATGGGAGGTTTGTGTGTGATGGGAGGTTTGTGTGGTGTGAGGTTTGTGTGTGGTGTGAGGTTTGTGTGTGGTGGGAGGTTTGGGTGTGGTGGGAGGTTTGTGTGATGGGAGGTTTGTGTGGTGTGGGAGGTTTGGGTGGTGTGAGGTTAGTGTGATGGGAGGTTTGTGTGTGATGGGAGGTTTTTGTGGTGTGAGGTTTGTGTGTGGTTGGAGGTTTGTGTGTGGTGGGAGGTTTGTGTGGTGTGAGGTTTGTGTGTGGTGGGAGGTTTGTGTGTGGTGGGAGGTTTGTGTGGTGGGAGGTTTATATGTGGTGGGAGGCTTGTGTGATGGGAGGTTTGTGTGTGGTGGGAGGTTTGGGTGTGGTGGGAGGTTTGTGTGGTGGGAGGTTTGTGTGGTGGGGGGGTTTGTGTGGTGTGAGGTTTGTGTGTGGTGGGAGGTTTGTGTGTGCTCTGAGGTTTGTGTGGTGGGAGGTTTGTGTGGTGTGAGGTTTGTGAGGTTTCTGTGGTGGGAGGTTTGTGTGATGGGAGGTTTGTGTGTGATGGGAGGTTTGTCTGATGGGAGGTTTGTGAGGTTTGGATGGGAGGTTTTTGTGGTGTGAGGTTTGTGTGTGGTGGGAGGTTTGTGTGGTGTGAGGTTTGTCTGATGGGAGGTTTGTGAGGTTTGGATGGGAGGTTTTTGTGGTGTGAGGTTTGTGTGTGGTGTGAGGTTTGTGTGTGGTAAGAGGTTTGTGTGTGGTGGGAGGTTTGTGTGGTGGGAGGTTTGTGTGTGGTGAGAGGCTTGTGTGATGGGAGGTTTGTGTGTGATTGGAGGTTTGTGTGGTGTGAGGTTTGTGTGTGGTGTGAGGTTTGTGTGTGGTGGGAGGTTTGGGTGTGGTGGGAGGTTTGTGTGGTGGGAGGTTTGTGTGGTGTGAGGTTTGTGTGTGGTGGGAGGTTTGTGTGTGGTGTGTGGTTTGTGTGGTGGGAGGTTTGTGTGGTGTGAGGTTTGTGAGGTTTGTGTGGTGTTATGTGTGTGTCTGGTGGGAGGTTTATGTGTGATGGGAGGTTTGTGTGGTGGGAGGTTTGTGTGTGGTGGGAGGTTTGTGTGGTGTGAGGTTTGTGTGATGGGAGGTTTGTGAGGTTTGGGTGGGAGGTTTTTGTGGTGTGAGGTTTGTGTGTGGTGGGAGGTTTGTGTGTGGTGGGAGGTTTGTGTGGTGTGAGGTTTGTGTGTGGTGGG